TGAAGAAACGCCGATCCGCTGGGCGAATAGGGATGTGGTAAAAGGCGTCCGCCAAATCAACCTTCACCATCCAGGAGCCCTCGAGGCCCATACGCCGCAGGGTGCGGAGGGTTTCGTACCGGCACTTGTAAGCTTTCTGCGCTACGTTCATCCTCTTCAGGTTGACGACCAAACGCCAAGAACCACTGTCCGGTTTCGGGACACAAAAGGCGTTCACCACATGATCAACCGCACGGGAGGGGTCTACCCGCGAGATGGCCCCGAGCGCCACCAGGCGAGGCTCCTCCTTCTCCAACCACCAACGGCTCTGCTCGTCTGTAGCAGGAAAACTTGGCAGGTCAAAAGCAGGCGGGGGGCGGTTACCTCGAAACTCCACCGGGACACCATGCTTCAAGACGTGCAATGTGCGCGCATCTGCTCCAATTGCCTTCCAAGCGGCCAGCCGCGCCGAGGCCCTAGCATGCAGGGGCACGGAGGTGGTGGACATATCGGACTACTCGTGCTGCCCCGGAAACTCCACGCCTGGGGTCGTAGAGCCCGTCGCCACGCGGAAGGGATGGGGCGAAGTGCCCACATAGCCACCACCGGTGTGGGCGGACGTCGAATTCCTGATCCGCTGAAGAGCAAACCTTCAGCGTCGCGCCCAAACCTCGGGGACGAGCTTGATGAAATGCGTCGTCAAGCGGACATTTAGTGTTGTAGCTGCAGGGGCAAGCTTGTTGGGTCCGGGGTGGGCGGGAGTTGTTGACCCGCTCCGGAGAAAGCAGGGGGCATAAACTGCGTCGCAGAAGCCCTCGAGGAAATGCCAGTCTGTGACATTCCAGTTAGCTATGTAGGATAACTGTGAGTTGCCTTCACCAGCGGAGTCATGCCTAGCGATACCGGGACATCCGCCGCCACTAGCACTACTAAAGGTGCTTCAATAAGGTGGGCTAACTCTATGGTGCTAGTGCTTATATTCTCCACTGCACTCTACCCGATGGGTCTCGCTGACGAGCCGAAGGCACAGCGGTATAGTAACAGAAAGCGCGCCGAAGGCGCGGGACCTGTTTTGTTGATCAGCGCGCGCTGAACAACAAAAACAAGATAAGCTAACCAGCTTAATGCGCGCAATAAATGACGGCCCTGAGGACACGGGCCGTTGCGAAACAGTTAGTCTAACAGTTACGCATTGGGCCTTACGCCCAACTAACCCAGCTTACTTAACGCAAGCTCGCAGTATTTACGCGGCCCACAAGACGTAGCCTGCATACCCCTAGCCGTGGGACAATTTACTGAATATTTAACTAGGATTGATTCAATATGTCATTCCTAGCGTGATAGGGTTGCTCATGGTCTTGGTGGACCATAGGTCAACCTCCGCAAGGGCACGTCTGGGAACCACATGATTGATGCAACCAGCGGCTGATGTAAGACATTTAATAATAGGATTTTCTTATATTTGATTTTCTCTAATACTTCTTGTAGTGGGATGGAGCCCTAGGGAGCATGCCCCAGCAGGGCTTTGCCGTTCATGACGTAACCAAGAATCTGTTTCAGGTTGCGCATCGCCACATCATGTGGACACTACCTATGGATGGTAGCTCGTAGATAGTTAAGCAATTTAAATTGATCTTTGGTTTACCTTGTAGTGGGGGGAATGGTGCCACCAGAGCGGGTGCCATTAATGCCAATTTTTGCCTGATAATGTGCCAATCCTCCAAAAGTTGTGAGCTTTCCCTAATACCATAACAGTGATTAAAAGGTTTTTAATTACAGAAAGGCTAGAAGTTTCAAGCCGTTCAGGTCTGGCCCTGCAAACTGAACCCACGTGACAATTTACTGCCCTGCCTTTTGGCCTCGCCGACTTTGCCGCAAGGGAGTACCAACCATTAAACGTCTCTATGGATATTGCTTTATTGCCTATGCGAGAAGTGTTATATTTCCATGGACGCGACTTCTTCATTAGACTGCCCGGCGCGTCATGGCGCTCACTTATCCCTATCCGAGCACACGGCCTTAAACGTTGTTCGTGGAATCGTTCGTGAATGCTGTAATTCAGTGAGCTATGGATCGGCGCGTGCTTTAGGCCGCGCTTTGGCCGAAAAGCAACTGCTCGTGACGGTTCGAACCAGCCTTCCCAATGGATTCCACAGCTTGAGACATCAATATCTTCTCGTTCAAACGCAATTTGGCGGTAAGCACAAGTCTTTCGGAGGCCTGGGGCTGCCAGCTGAAAAATTGTCCTAAGGGACAAGTTGGAACCCTATCAACAACCCTACCGCTGAGGAGCGTATGCCAAATGTGTGTAGTTATGGGTTAGCATTTCTCAAGTGTGCTTTCCTCGACTAAGGAAAAAATTTTACAATTCGTTGCACGACCGTTATCAAATATCGTTTGGGTTCACCGCCGCCACTCGCTTCGCACTCTTTTGCCTGCAGGTGCCGCCATCGTCGTCGACTTAGAATTCCGAGACCGATTTCATTATACTGGTCTCCCAGGCGGAACTTATGCTGCATGCGTTACCGCGCTTCCGCAGCTAATGATCGGCACGATGGCGTCAGTCACCGCCATCGTCAGCCTGATGGCGGACGCCTTGGAACGGGAAGCTGCGGTTAAGCGCCATGACCTGCCGCCATGGCGCACCAGGCACGCGGTGCTGGCCAACTGGCTACCGGAATGCTTCACTGATGATGTGTATGCCCCACCTGGTGCCGCTCTACACCCAGTCCTCCTCCACACCAGCCACATCCAACCACATCGAGCCTCTACCGCCTTCCAAGCTTGGAGCCCTGCAGCTCTCCCTACCGCTGTTCCTCCGCCTCCTGCGGCAGCTGCTGCTGCTACTGCGGGTGCCGGTCAAGCTCTGGATACAGTTCCGGCAGCTGCGGGCCTTGCCGGGAGTGTGGGTGGGCTTGATGACGGTGCAGCTACAGGTGCACATGAGGACATGGACGGCAGCTCGCTTCACAAGGCCCATAGGTTCAAGCGGAAGGCCGAGCATACGGCAGGCATTGGCTTGCCGACCAAGTCCCGGTGGCTCACACCGTCTGCGCTTCCACACTCGTACTCCTGCTCGCATACGATAGCGTTGCAGCTGCAGCAACAGCAACAGCAAAATCGGCAATACCAGGAGCAGCAGCAACAACAGCAGCGGCAACGACAGCAGCTGCAGCTGCAGCAACAGCAGCTCTGGCGGCCCCCGCTTCCTGCCGGGGTGTTGCGGCAACCGGAAAGCAGCGCCGGGGCTACCTGTCCAGCAAGCGCCGCGGCGCCCTACGTCAGCACCGGCTTCTCCGCCGCCAGCTCGTTCACATCGTCGCCAAGTATGATACACGGCCCTCTGGGCGACACCTCCCCCAGCAGCGAGAGCAGCAGTGGCAGCTGTGACGGCAACGGCGGGGTCGGAGTGTACGGCGGCTGTGGTGGTGGCGCCGTGTGCGGTAACGAGTCTAGACCCTGTGACGCCGCCGACAGCGCCGCTGCCGCTGCCGACAGCAGTAGCAGCAACAGCTGCTGCCGTCCAGCTGCACCGATGCCGTCACTCCAGCTGCGGATGAAGTCCGTGCGATTACCCCCGACCGTTGCTGGCGGGGGGTCGTGAAGCCCCGGCAGTACATCAGCACCCGCCGACCCATGCGACTGTTACAAGCGCACCCGCGGCGGCGGGGCGGTGGGAACCGTTCCCATGAGGCGAAACGCGATGAACCTGACACGGGCCAGAAATCTGGTTGTTTTGGCTTGTGCGCGTGCGGTTGTGTGCGTGCACGCAGCTTTGCCGTACACAACCGTAAAAGACGATCGTAAAAAAAGCGGAGAGCTACTGCGGCGGTGCTGTGCGGGAGGTCCCGGAAGGATAATGTCCTGATCAGGCCATGGCGGCGTATGAGGGGACGGAGGTGGAGGAGAGGTAAACGTTATCGCACTGCCTGGGGGGGGCGGAGGAGGCGGAGGAGGCGCCAGGAAGGTGCTTTCTATACAGTGTTTATTTCGGGGAATCAGTTTTGTTGACCGCCGTGTGTTAGCCGGCCTGTGGGTTACAGAGGTCACAATAAGTAGAGGTCTGAGGAGGAGCAGGGGGTTGCGGTACAGCTCCCGCCTGAGGTGTAATCCGGCTTTATCCCGCTGAGTGATGGTTGGCACATTGATTGAATCTTCAAATGAGATGTGATGTTGAGCCGCATTGATAGACATTCCGGAGACCGAGGGGATGGAGGTGCGCCTTTCGGAAGCTTCCGAGCCGGGCCCCCGCAGGCTCGGAGCGGGCACGTACTTTCTCAAAGCGACAGCCGCCCCCCTGCTTGGCCCGCTTGCACTAGCGCGTATTACATAGATAGTACATAGGTGCGTGAGTTATCAAATTTTGCCTTCTTGCGCTGGTCTCTTTTCCTCACGCCTCGGAGGGGACAGAAGAATGGACGGGGTATGGCTTGGTTGCATGTGCACGGAAATGGCCGGAAGGGAAGAAGGTACTGCAGTGCAGTGCGGTACAGTGCGGTACAGTATTGTCTCAAGGCTCCGGGCGGAGCCGGGCGCTTGCTCCATTCGCCGACGGCTGAGCGCCTTTGAGGGGTTCCATCGTTACCTGTCAGCACCAGGTCGTTTTTGCTTCGTGATATCTGGAGTTGGAGAGAGGCTCCCATTCTTACACCGACATGCTGTGTCGTACGGCGTCGTACTGAGCACATGGCGGAGAAAACTCGAGTGCTAGATGAACAAGAGTATAGGTGGTGACACATGCTTGGGCTCATATTCGTTAAGATTGCGGGCGACTGAGGATTATATAAGACATCTTTTTATCAGGGGGCATGGCCAGTTGAGCTTTGAAATGCGTGTGCGCATGTATGTGTGTGTGTGAGAGAGAGAGAGAGAGAGAGAAAGAGAGAGAGGGTGTGTGTGTGTGTACGGAGCAGGGCGAAGAGGGTCCCCCGGACGGGTGGTCCGCGGGGGCTGAGCACGGAAGCCACACGGCCACAGACACGGCGTGTGTTTTCCTTTTGCATGTCACAGCATGCCGTGCCGTGCCGGTGTGGGGAGCTCGGGGGAAGAAACGGGCGCCCGGGGGTGGGCAGCGGCAGCGACCGAACCCCCCCGGAGGTGGCGCACATCACATCATCACTTCATACATCACATCATACATCACATCATCATACACCACATCACCGGTAAGCGCCATGCAGTGCAACAAAGGGTCCCCGCTGCGCCTCATTAGCTCCGCCACCGGGGAGGAGGTGAGGTGGGTCCGTTTCGTTGGAGGAGAGGTACGGACGGTGTGCAGCAGCAACAGGAGGAGGAGGAGGGGGAGGGGGTTCCGGAGCGGCTGGTGAGCTGCAGTTTCAGCGGCTCTATGACGGTTATAGTGACCGGCACGACGGCATGGCCCGGCCAGGGGACAGCCCCCAGCAAGGTGTCCTGAGGCGACTGTGGCCACCGCGTGCGGGTCGGTGGTCCATTGGGCGGGGGGCGGGGGGAAGGAAAGGGTGAGGGGCTTGGCGATCGCGGACTGGGGGGGCTGGTGCTCACCCAACCCGTGCATGCTGAGCAGGACATCATGGTTTGAAGGTCTTGGCAATATCATGCAGCGCCTCTCAAAGGCTTGGGAGGATCTCAGCTTTAGGTCGGGTCGTGCTGTGGAAGCAGGAGGGCTCAGAATGTGCAGCAGCAGTGTTTGCAATTGTACCTTACATTGGAATCCTTGAGCAGTTGATGCTATCACAAACATATTGTTTATCTTTCGTAATCGTTAACGGTAACATTATTATTATATTATCGTCATCATAATAGCTATGGTTACCTTTCCTTCTTACTGAATATGACTGTTGTCCTCTATTTGAAAGAAATGGTCGTTTTCGCGTTACGGGTTGAGGAATCCAGTTCCGCCTTCCAGTCCACTCTACAGCAAGTAAGCAGTTTCTGAAACGTGCGGCAACCTGCACTCGGCGACATCTTGGTTCTGGAGCCTATTCCTGTGTGCCGTAATTTATGCCGTAATTTATTTCGAGCCTCGTATGTGTGTCTTCTGCCCCAGCTCATGGCGGCGCACGTCAAGGACCACTATTTACAGGTATCCGAGTCCTTAACCCACCCAACCCAACCCAACCCAACCCCGTAGCGAGCAGCTGCGACACGCTAATGGGTCGTCCCCGATGATGAGGCAGGGGGTGTGGGATGTGTGTGCGGCGGTTATGTGCGGCGGCCTGTTGGTGATGGTCACGGCGACTGGCAGTATGTGTTGACCTTGCACATACATACGTATGTATGCATGTATGTACGTACGCACGTATGTATGTATGTATGTATGTATGTATGTATGTATTATGTATGTGTCCAGCGCGTGTCAAGACGGGTACAGAAAACGTTGGCTTGTGGGCAAACCGCAGTCCTAGATATGCTAGCATTTTGGGATAAATTGAATTTTGCTCTTTGAAGGCTGATTTTCAGTCAAATTATTAAAAGCGGCGGTGGGCTTTGTCCCGGGGGACCACCACTCATATCGCAAGTTTTTCGTGTCACACGTGGTAGATATTTTCTTAAGGTATAATAAGTTTAGGTACATAATCAGCATAAGTCGGCTTTTACTTTTTGGCGCGTATGGCTTGATGCACTCATCACGTCACTTCTTCGTATGTGCAGATTTAAAGATTTAGCCTTGGTCTTAACTGCGCTTAAGGAAGGCAACAAAACTTTGAAGCTAGAGGTACAGAACGGAATCGGAAGTGGCTGAAGTTGGGACATATCGTCGACATCGTCACCGGTCTTCGCCCGTTGCCCGAGGGTGCAGTGCGGCTGGCTGTCATGATTATTGCTCACTTCTCTACTACCATCTGAGATACAGGATGGTGGGAGGTCTGGTTCTGAGGGCGCAGCGGTAAGGAGGGCACCGCTGTGTATATGTGCATACGTATTTATGTGCGCCCTCTGGTGTGTTCGCGTGTGTGTCCTCTGTTTGCGGCAAACCAGCACACACGTGTATGTGTGTATGTATGTGTGTCCGCCTGTGCGTGCACACATGCGCGTGTGTTTGGGTTTGTGCACTAAGTCGTCAACAACCAACAAAGACGCGCATGTCTGTGTGCTAAATCGGGTGCGGTTGTTGGTGCAAGTAATTTTGGGTTTGAACTTTATGCTACTGTGGAAATAGCCGCATCATAGATTTGATATCCAGATCCTAGCAGACGGGGACGAGATGCCCCTCTCGTGGACCCCATGTGTATGTATGTATATGTTTCAGTCGCTCCCTCGGGTTTTTTTCGGAAGAGTTGTGATGAGTTTGGACGTCAGTGGCCTTCACGCGTGCCGCAATTCATACTTCATACGCCGTACACGCAAAAGCAAGGACGTATCTATCTGGCTGTAAAGAAGACACCGATGTGTTGAGAAGAACACGGCTCATCAGTCGTACGTATCACCCGGCAAGCAGTCTGAAACGGGCAACCTGTGCCTTTCAGTCAGTTGCCAGAAAGCATGTGCCGCTACTAATTGTCAACAACAACGACAGTAAAACGCCGGGATGCGGTGCACACGCACATGAAACAGCTTTGGAAACAGCCATTTAAAGGTCTAAAGATATAAATGCGTGACAACATTCCACTTGATTTGGACAATGATGCTTATTTTTTGATGAGACGGTCTTCAGGGATGACATCACAGACGATACGACGATCTATCTGGTCGCGCTAAGGGGCTCCCCCCCCAGCGACGACCATTCCAGGTTCTCCCGAGCCCACATGTCTCGGCACAGCCACAAGCGCAGATGATGTGTGCACAGATGCAAAAGACAATGAAAACGCAAAGTAGCGCAAGGGTCCGTCACTTACGCTTACGCTTTTATCTTGTCCCTGGATGTTGGCGAGCCGCCGCTTCCATGAGTGGAAAACCGACGGCACCTAGGGAGGGAGATAGCAACGCACTTCCGTACAATTGTACGTCCCCGCTGCTGACCAGCAGTGCCCCACCACCGCCCGGTAGGTCCCCCCGCCCGCCCGCCGGAGTCGCACTAGCTTCACCCCGCCGCCGGCGGCGGCGGGTAGGGGCGCCGCTCCCGCGCTCCGCGTCAACAAGGCCCAGAGACAACGGAGGCTGGGTTGCTGCTATGTGACATGTGCTATGTGGCTGGCCGGGCCACTGGCGCCATACAAGTGGCAGCAAACAAACGGCGCACGTTTCGCGACCACATTGATCCGACCGCTGTCCCTGGTCCGTCCACAAGAAAACTAATCATGGAACAGACCGATGCCAAAGGGCAAAAATATCTTTGCTGTCGATCCAGGCTTGGGTCTTATATATCTAAGACTCCAGGTTGGTAAGAAGCACCAGACATACGGGGTTGGAAACTCCAGTCAAACAGAAGCAAAAGCAATATTGAACAGAGGTGCGTACGAACATCAACAATCAACAACAATCATCAACATTTGCAGATAGCAGCAGACGTACAGACAGACGTCCCAAAGACACAGCATACGAACCCTCAAAACCTAACCATCCCCTAAGTTAATATCATCCAAAATTTGTGCATAGTATGAATCAATGCAATGCGCCAAAACGTACGACGGCAGCGGCGCCGCGCCGTGCCGGTCCGGTGTTCGCCGGACGTCTCGATGTGCAGTTGGGTCACTCCAGCCCCCCCCCGCCACTTTGCGTCCCTCCTCACCCCCCCAACCCCGTTGCCACACAAAAATCATTAGCACAACGACTACAACTCAACCCTTTCATTATTCCTGCCAGCTTGCTGCCGCACTGAGCCATACAGCCAGCCAGTTGTCCACTCCATCGCGCCACCTACGAAGGTGGGTAGGTGGATAGGTAGGTGTGCCACCCCAAGGTGTGTGTCCGTTCGAAAATGACATCAGTGACCGACCGACGGCACAACCGCCGCCGCCGCCGCCGCTACGCTGCAGCGATGTCGTTGTGTCTGTGCTCTAGCTCCGGCGGCGGCAATTTAATAATTTAGGAATAGCGGTCAGGTGGCATGTGGACACCGACTCACCAGACGGCTGTACGGTGGTAATCATTATTGCGCATATCTATCATACCTATCAATCAACCTGCTTCTGTTTCCCGGCTCCCACACCCCCCGGGCCCTACAGCGGGCATGAAGCCACCCCGGCTGGTCCGACCTCCTTCCTCGTCCTGGCCTGTGGGATCAGGCCAAGGAAGCAGCTGCCGCGACGAAGACCACCCACCGCTTCAAATCATTCCTCTTGACGTGTGAACGTCAATATGCAATCCCTTTCCCCAGCACATACATACATACATACACCCACCTACACAACAAAGGTATACCATATCGCTGCTGGTGACTGCTTCCTTCGGTGTGAAGGTACTCGCGTGCCACCCCACCGCCAGTTCGTTCATGCGCCCCCCACCCGCTCAGGTAATACAAACACGACACCTCCTCCCGCCTCCCCTCCTCCCCCCTCCTGGCCCCTCCCGGCCTCTCACTACACAGCACCACAGTAGTTCAGCCGCCTGGTCAACGTAACCTCGCCGCAGCCACAACCCACCTTCCCACTGCTCCTACCCCTACGGAGGGGACGGAGGCAGATCCTTCCGCCTCCCCTTCCCTTTTCCCCCCTCCCCTCCCCTCCCCTCCCCTCCCCGGCTCCCAGCGCCCCAGCCCCCTCTCAACAGAGGCCTCTGAGGATCCGGTACTGCAGAGCGAAGCGGTCGTCCTCGGTCAGAGTGGCGAAGGAGTCAGAGGGCAGCGAGTCGAAGGCTTGAAAGTCGGCGCCGTTGCTGCTGTGGCCGTTGTGGGAGTTATGCTGACCGTTGTTGTGACCGTTGTGGCCGTTGTTTGCAGCGCAGCACCCGCTGCACGCCAGCACGTCGTAGGTGGCCCCCCGAATGGCGTCCCGCTTGGGCCCGCACGGCCTCAGGGAGGTGAGGTACGAGTAGGCCTCGTCCAGCTGCAGCTGCGTGAACCTGTGCAGCCGGGGGGGGGGGCAGATACCCACACGCACACATATGGCGTTTCTCCATCGCCAACGAACCAGTGGCGGCTGCCGTACAGCACGGCACACACGTCATCTATGGATACGCGCTAAAGCGCTCTGCGAGCATCTTGAGAGAGAGGCCTCTTCAGCGACCAGCAGCTACATCCCCCCCTGGCTTCCTAATTTCATGTCGTTATGCAGCGACCGACACAGACACGTAGGCGACGGTAGGCACTCTTCACGATTAGTCCAATGTATGTATGTATTTATGCATGCGGTGTTTGGCTCAGTCAAAGAAGTGGAAAAGGACTTGGCACATTGGACGCAGTGGCTCCCATTGCCCTTAACCCAGGCCCCCGTCCATGTACTGCGTGTACGGTCCGGTGAGTACGGGTACGGGTACGGATACGGGTACAGCGGCCAGAGTATTGAAACTCACCAGTACAGGTAGGCAATACACACCGCCGGAGCGCGGCCCAGTCCCGCCGTACAATGGACGTACACTCTGCTCGTGAGGCAACCCGCCAGGGAGCGCGGTGAGGGACGTGCGGCGTGTATTCGTGTGTGTATTGCTGTACGGGTGAGTCCGTAGGCTTTTTGTAGTGCATATGCGCGTCCGGATGCGGATGCGGCCGGTGTAGTGGGCGGCAGACCGGCAGTGGAGGCGGATCCCTCAACCAGGTCCTCAACCGCACAACTATCTCGGGGGGCCTCCCCGGTACGTGTACACGCTTTCGTACGCACTTCGTCACCCGGACGGCCGCCGTAGCGAGGTCCAATGCTGGTCTCCGGCCCTTGGGGGCTGGTGAGCAGGTAGGTAGGTAGATCTAGGCGGTTTCCCCCAACTCTCCCCCCAATCATCGCCACCACCGCCACCACAATAACAACCTTCTCGCACCCCCGGGGCTCCTCACCTGCCCCCGCTGTTGAGCGCCTGAGCCAAGGAATGCACCGCTCCAGGGATCGTACGACGGAGGCTGTGCGGGTCGAAGTCACGGGCCTGGGGGTTTCGTGATACCCGGGGAGGGGCAAGGAGGGGGCACCCGTAAAGCGGGGCAGGGTGGGTGGCAGCAGCGCGCAACAAGGCAGGTGAAGGCCAGTCGGGAGGGCAGCGAGGGGGCGAGGGGCGCAGGATCCCAGAGCATCAGTGCCCCACCTAGAACCCCCTAATGAGGCGCAATGCACATGAGAGCCGAGACCCTTGCTGACAGGGTAAAATGTTCATCCCCCCGGCCAGCCCTTCGCCCTGCTCCTACCCTGCCCTAACCGAACCTATTCATCATGCGCCCAAGATCAGTCCCCTCCCCGCCCAGAGCGGAGTCACTAATCCCGGCGTATTTCCCCGTACGGCCCCTGTACGGCCCAGTACTGGGGGGCCTGCTGACATCCCGGGAAGGATCGAGATCCGCTTCAGGCCTTGCTCTGTCCCCCTCCTCCCACCTCGCCCCTCTGGGCACTCGGCCCTCCTCCCCTCAACCCCCGGGGCCCCACTCTCTCACCGGACGCCGCATGTGGTTGATGGAGTGGCGCGAGCAGGCCCGCCGGATGTCCTCCAGCTTGACACCCCAGTAGTGCATGTCCTTGTCCTGCTGCAGGTTGAGGATGTGGGTTATTCGCTCCGACTCCGCCAGAATGTCCACATCGCTGGCATTGCGGGGCTGTGTGCCGCAAATCAGGTTGGGCACGATTTCGTGGTAGTAGAGCCCCCGCTCAAAATGGTACTCCAGGGGGTTCAGGTGACTCCAGCCCATCTGTTGCTGCATGTTCCTAAGGGGGTGGGGACAGAAATCCATGGAGGTGAAGGGGAGAGAAAAGGTATTGATGACGGGTTGTTAGGGGCACAACCGATTGCCGGGTGGACAATAAAGCAAGGATTGAGTGGGTGATGGGAGGATTGGACCTCAGCAAGACGGAACAGGACAATATTGCTGCGAGTCAGCAAGGGAATCCTTCAGCCACTTAAGTACTTGGATTTTTCCACAACCAAAGTATTTTTCCGCAACCAAAGTAAATGAAGACCTAAGGAGTGCATACCAAACTGTGGGCCCCCCCGCTGCGATTACAGTACTTCGGCCTGTAAAATGCAGTGTTTCAATTGGATGACTCAGGTATGGATACAATTACAAATGTGTGCTTCAGATACTGAATAACTGTATAGTGACCTCGAAACCCTGTCTGAACACTGCCGGGATAGCCGATAACAGGACCGTGAGCAGGTGCGTGCCTGTTATAAGCATCATCCTTGGCATGATGGTCCAGTTTGGAAGACTCCACGCGCGTAAGCACCCGCTGCGGCTGCGGTAAATGTCCTCTACGCCATGAGTCAAAAATCGAAACTTTGTGAAGTTCAATCCTCTCTTGGGCAATCTTTGTGTTAGTGCTACCAAAAGCCGGATACTGCCTTGTCAACATTGTATCGCAGCCTTCTAGTCCCCCAAACTCTAGCGACACTGACGGCAAGTTGCGCGAGCTACCGGAAACCAAGGTGTTAATCAATTCGTCGAAAGGAAGATCAATTCCTGATGAGCATCGAGGCATCGTAGTTGCATCGGCGCCGTTGTCGGAATCTCGCAATCTGATTTTGGCGGGTCGTACCGTCGTGGACAGTCCCCATAAGTAGTAATGGTTACAGACACGTTCAGGGTTGAAACGTTACAAAATATCAAGCATATCTCACTCTTCGGCTTTAAGTAGCACCGATAGAAATGCAATGCCCTTTACAAGCCCCAATACATCGAAAGCCGCCGGTTGCAAAGATGTCAACGCAGCGCTTTGCGGTCTCAAGGACATGACAGGCTCAGGCATTAAGGATATCAAATTAAACATTGCGCTCGATCGCTGCCTGGCCCCCATCACCCTGTATTTTGCGATGCCCCTGCCTTATAACATGCGCCCGACGGCGCGCACCTTTGTGAAGGTGCGCGCCGCCACAAACCAATGTTGCACCGCCGCCAATGTACTCATGTGATGGGTGGGTGCAGAAAAAATAATTTGACTGTGCTATCCAGTTTGCTTTCCCACGTTCTGGCATGTTTCCCTCAGTTAAGGGGCACCAGTACAGCTTGCGCCGCTGCATCCGCCTCCACTTTGCTCTGACGACCGTGTGACCGGTCACCAAAGAAGGGCCCATTTGGAAAGAGCATTTTTCGTTGAACCGTCGAGCACATGCAAGCAGCAGACAGGAAGTCGCGGCGCGGCATAACGAATGGGTGGGTGGGCTAAGAGTCAGAACGGGATATGAAAATGTAGTTGCAGCTGCGTGTGCGCGCATGTCGTGTGCGCGGAAACATTTCTCCTTGGCGTTCTGTAGCTCTTAAGGGCAGCCACCGGCCGCCATTTCTAGCGACGAAATAATAGCAGACACCAGCAACTTGAGACACCGCATGATGCACAACGAAGATTGGTTCATTCATAATTCGAAAACAAGAGGCACGCAGCTCGTTACTTGGCCCAAAGCAAAACATTTATGACATCCCAACACGCCGGCCCAGCGGACACCCTAAACCCGCCACCAGTCATCAATCAGCTCACTGCGTTTCAATTACCTTTTCCTTCTTTTCCTTCTTTAACAGATTTACGAACCACGAAACTTCCAACACGCAGCCGCCGCCGTTTTAATTGGGAGAGGCATGTAATCAGCACAGTCACGCCTCATTGCATGCGACAGGCCGAGCTGATGAGGAAGAAGTCGTGTCCCGGGCGGACCTGCTTGCCTTCCTCCCTCCCCGATATCCTCACCCTGACAGCCGACAGCTGACACCCGGCAGGAAGCAGCTGGGCCCGGACCTGAGGCGTCCTGGACCCCGGGCACGGCGAGGCCAGGCCTCTCCAAGGGCTTCAGCTGACCCAAGGCCGGCCGCACCTCCCCCCCCCCTCCCTCCCACCACATCTGCCAACACTCCGCCATAGTGCTTCTTTGTGCCCCCCCCCCACACACACACAAACAGACATAAACACCAACAGCTTTCCGATGAAACAATGCCATGCCGTGCATCTTTATCGTGCAAGATACAGTTGTTGCGCCTGGTGTCCCCGCCCCACCCCAGTGCAGCAACGTGCATTTGCCATTGCGCACCAAACCGTGGGGCTGCTGCTGCAGATGCTGCATACGAGGCGACACAGTACGACACAATACGACACAATACGACACAGGCCTAGCATCGCTGTTGTCCCAACGCCGGCTAGCAACAACAACCAACGATATCAACGATACCAACGATGGAACTACAAATGAAAAGCAACAATGTAGAAATAATGCCGCAGGTCACCGGCGTGCTGCCTTTCAAGCACACCGGCGAACAGCCCACATCACTACTCCCATACGGGCGCCTTGAGGCATAGCCCTTGCGCTGAGAGCTGCAACACTGTACTGCTGCCGTTGTACTGCACTGTACTTCTTTGCAGAAACAGCCGATACAGCCCAAATGTTGATTCGACAACTTTTTGGCTAGTGCGCGCTTCGTTGAGATACGAGGAGGGAAGCGGCTCCCAAAAGGGACCAAATGGGATTAAAGGATCGCTGCAAAGGTTCTGACGCTGCTATTTATCTGTGACGAACCGAAACTTTAACACACCCTCCCCCCCAGCACCCCGCGGTCCGACACGCGACCCTCTTTCCTCCCGTCACCCACCGGGGGGCCACCCACCTCTTCCTTTCGACGCGCCGATACCCCCCCAACATCCTTAACCACACACCCCTGCATTACCCCTGCACTACCCGCCCGCCCCTCATGCGGCGGTCCTCAGGACCAGCTCCTGGCTGCCCCCCACGGAAACAAGTACCTGCTTCAACAGTGGCTGTACGGCAGTGTAAAAGTCCCGAAAGAAGACCGCGGGGCGGACTTCGGATGCGATGCGCTGTTTGACGTCCAGGGAGGGCGCCGACAGGTAGTCGATGAAGGCGTTACGGAGCCCCACCGGCTGGCTGTCCAAAACGGCGTTCAGCAGCCTACAGGATACGGAGAGGAGGACGTGGGGGCGCAAGAGAACGGCTAGGAGGGCTAGGGGTCTATACCGAGGATGCGAGGTGGAGGAGCGATGCAGGGAGCCCTAGGACCTGCATAAACACGACGGCTCGCAAGGAGCTCAACCGCGGGCGTTTCGGGGATTCGTTTTAGTTTCTCCCGTTGCCCTCTCAGCTACTTCCACCTCGCCGCGCCTCGCCTCGCGGTCTGTTCTCCTTTACCGCTCCTCACCCTCCCGGCCCTGACTCCCCGCAACCCCCAGCTGCGGCCCATTCAGACCTCACCGAGTGCGGGTGCGTTTCGCCGCCACTTGGGCCCTATGGTGCCCCGCAGTGCCCGCTACCGCGCTGCAAGCCACCGTACCCACACCTGGGTGAGCGGGTGGGATGGAGCCACGGGGGCATATTGGGGAAAGGAGGAGCGGTTAGCCGCACTGACAAACGCATCATGGTGCGCACGCTAAGGGTTGCCACCTGCCCTTTCCATTCCATCCCTCCCAATAGCTCCAACGGGGCATTAACGCCCATGTCTATTCAGGATACCGTACCCCTACCCTCCACCTCCCCCCTCCCTAGCACGCCAACACTCCTCCCCACCTGGTAGTGCCAGATCAGCCCACCAGCCCACCAGCGCGTAGCAGGCCAGGCCCCCGCCCAGCATGCCCACCTGGGGAAAGAGAAGCGGAAAGAGGGGGACTGGGTTGGAGGTACCGCGAGGAGCGAATCATCATGTGGTACGGAACCGGGGCCAGGCGTAGAGGCTAACAATGGCACAATGGCTCCTGGTTTGGCCGTGTGGACTGTAGCCTGAAGAAGCAAAGACAAGGGCGCAGCAGTTCACCTCAAGAAAACCAAAATTCAACCATTCCAATGCCTTTTAAGGACCCCCTGCCCTTGCCCCGACTACCAATACCCCAATACCGTACCGTATTGGGTACCCAATACCGTACCCCGTACACCGTACCGTGAGGCCCGACACCTCAGCCGATCTCTGGGCTTCCATGATGACCGAGTCGATGATGTCGTCCAGGATCAGAATCTGCGCACCGCCGTGTCGCCGTAGGGCGTAGTGGCCAGGGAAAGGTCACTGGCTTGGCCCCGCCATGGGAGTGAACCGCGCCTTGACTCTCACCTTTTCCGACAGAGGCTGCTTTTCTAGCTGGGAGTAGAAGGCGGCTGGCTCCAGAGTGGGCGCGGGCGCCTGCTGGCCGAAGCTAAGTGGCGAGAGGTTGGAACTGTCGGTGTCTGCAACGGAGAGGAAGGAGAGCCCCAACATGAGGGGTCACCGCTGGCATCTACCGGTGCGCCAGTCCGACCCTGGCTGTGCAGGATGAGCTATTGAGTTCTCGGTGAAAGCGACGGGCCCAACGAACTTCCTAACCAATAAACGCACCAGTCCGGGAGGACACCATGGATTGCAGGGGAGAGTTTTTCTGGTGTTTTAACGTCTTCTGAAGTGCTGAAGTCACAAATCCGTTCACATCCTGCAAGTGAGTTGTATAGCGACAGAGCAGCTGAATGACAACACCGTGAAGGATCACGAACCCACAACAAATTTCTTCCTTTGTAGAGCAGTACCTGAACGTCTTCAAATCCAGTCAGCGCAATTGAGACCGTTGCTGGCAGTTTGCTACCCGTCTGCTGCGCTTCTATCTTCGCGTCGGCCCTCGCAGCAGGGATAACGTCCGGGAGTTTCAACCGCGACATTGTTTCATTATCAGGGCGTCCATCTGTCATTCCGCACGCGATGAGACCCGCAGATGCCGCTGTCAGGGCGAACAGCTGAGTCCGGGCCCTGCTTGCCTGGCGCACAAAGCTTAGAAGCTGTTGGGACATTGCTCAGCAATTATGCGTGTCTAGGGAAGAGTAATATTACAGGTAGGCAAAGTCTTTGACGCGTCGAGTAGTTCCGACGCGTCAGAGCTTTCAACACGGCAACGTAAAGCACTGTTCATAAACACACCTAGCCTATATATGTCTGATGCTTATTGCATGGCGAAGCAAGAGCTTGGGTTCTGCCGCAGAGTGGATTGGGGCTGTGGGCTGACAAGGACCCTGGGTAGCTAAGATCCCGGGTGCAGCCCGATGATGTTCATCATTATAGTTTGGCGTACAGTGTTGCGAATTAATAGAAAAACTGACCACCTGAATGCTTGACGCACGCGGAGAGGATTCAGCTGTACACGTTGGACCCAAATTTTCCATAGGAATGCAGTCAGCAAGAGCTGCACTCCAAGGTAATTTGACCTTAACCTTCACCAGAAAATAGAGCAGCACGCTCGCGCTACAATGCCGTCCTGTGAGGTTGAAAACAATGAAATGACCCACGGGACGCACAAACAAGTACAACTTTACCGTTGCAGAAGAGCAGTGCAGAATTGGATTTCGGATTACAGACAAGCCTATTGAGTCAACGCCTCCCTCGTAACATGCATGTCGTCATTAATGGTAACCGTTATTTGCCGTATGCGTGTCTGTGGTACACGTCCGTGCGCGGCATTTCGTGACTGGCCTTTTAGTTAGGCCGCCATGGAGGTGGGCGGTGAGGCTTTAAAGCGAGCAGGCGGAACCCAAGCCTTCCTTAGCCTTACAGGCCCATCCGCCAGCTGCCGGCCAGAGACTTATGACCCTCCCGGGTCACCCCAATCAATCCGTCCGCTCACCAACATACCGGGTACAACGCAGGACTTGGTGCCCGAACCAGCGTTATCCTGCCCCCTTTCCCGCATAGGCCCCCTAACGTCTTAGGTACATCTTCCCCGCGCCGTTCCGCTGTCTGGCTGGACCGTGTACTCGTTGACCCTGCAGCGTGACTTGCCACCGCGGGCAGCGGGCCCTTATGCAAATGCACACCTCCGCCGGCCGGAGCACACGGGCAAGCAGAGATGGCTGCCGCTACACAGCTCCCTGCGAACCTCATCCGTTACAGCTTGCAAAGGTCACGACAGGTGCTTTCGTGCACAGAACAAAACACATCCAACACGTACACGTTCAGGCCCAAACCATTTTCCACCCAGGCAGGCCCGTCGAGCGCACACACCCATACGAAATCCGCGAAGACCCAGAACGGCCTCAGGCAAGACACAGAGTGGGTTGCACCTTACGTTCGGGAATATCGGCACTGATACAAAATTGTCCGCCACGGGCCGCTCAGCGGATTGACAATCCATTGCCCGGGAAGTCTCACCTAGACACAGGCCGCCGGGTACGCCTGCGCTGCTCAGGACACCAAAACGCCAAAAGCCAAGCTGCCAACAAACGTTTCACAACAGGCTTCCACTCACGCCTCCGCCACCTAGCGGCTGCGGAAGCCCAGGCGGCGGCGCCACTACTTCCTTGAGTCGGCGGAAGGCCGGCAGCAGCGCGGCGGGGTCGCTGCCTGGCGGCAGCAGCAGCTGGTTCAGCTGCACCCCCAGCTCCTCCACGTCCAGGTGCAGCTGCAGGGTGATCTTGTCCGAGTCGGACAAACCAGCCGCCGAGTCTGTCGGGGGATGGCGATTCGGTTAGGGAGGGGGCTTGCCTGGTTCAGCGCAGGCAATGTTGTTCCATGGCTAACGTTATCCCTCGTGTGATCAGAGAGAGGTTGAGTGAAAGGTGCGCCTTGTGCGATGGGTCTCTGAGCAAGAGCCACGATAACACCGGAACGCAAGCCCCGTTGCACCGCACGCGCTTTGCGCTAGTGCGTGATTCGTACAAAGAACCACGAGAGCAACTCAGCATGCCATGTCGCAGCCTTGTAGATAACCCAGGATTAAGTACCTAATAGATAACCCGCGTCCGTGCTCACCGCGACCGGGTTCATTCCGCACACAAGCACGGGATCACAAAACTCAACACCACCCGGCGACCGGTTCACCACCATTTGCAACAACCCATTGGTCGTTGGGCTTTGGCACTCACTCAGCCACCCTGACATGCGAACACCCCGTGACGAGCCCGGGCCCTACCTTCCTCGCCGCCCGCCCCTCCCTTCGCCTTCTTGAGCCTCTTGAGACTGCTCTCCGTCTTCCGCACCGACACCAGCAGCTCATCCGCCAGGGCCGCATAGCGCGAGCACACGCCCTCAGCCACGGGCACCACCACCAACTCCTGCGTCGTCAGGGTGGTTGAGGACACGTCACATTAGATCATGATACGTGCACAGCTCTCCAGGCGGCCCTTTGCCTCGCGTGATATCGCCAGCGGTCCGAAGACATCCTATACAGTACGCTATACATCCTATTGAGTCAAAATCCCCAAATGAGTGAAAATGTCCCCAAGTAGGGGTCCCCAAGCCTTTTCATAGCTCAACACATACCACCCCTCGCAAGCGTTGCGCTTATGCACAGCTCCTAAACTCCAACTCTTAAGGATAACAGTAAGCAAGCCCGCATCTGCAGCTACACGCGCATGCCGGGACGGCTCCACATCAATCATGTGGCTCTCACGCACCTGCTGAAGCTCCGGTGCCAATCGCTTCACCGGCCCAGCCTCCAACAATTGCCGCAATGGCGTAAGCACTCCAGAAACGTAGTGGCTGGCGCGAACCGGCGGCGCCTTTGACGTCACCCTGTACGTGGCGGTAATGCCCTTGAGCTGCCGTACAGCCGAGGCACAGCGCTCCACCACCTCATCCGTTACCGCCGCCGCGAGGCTGCGGCCGCTAGACTGCACAGCGGCGGCCACCTCCGCCAGCGCACCTCGCACTGCAGCTGCTACCGCATCAGAGGAGCTCGCCGCTGTCTCAGCGGCGCTGGTGGCCCCATCGCTGTTGGCCCCGGCGGGGGGTTTGCCTTGGGCCGCTTCTAACGACCCGGCGGCAGCTTGCTGTGACGACGGGGGTGCTGGAGGTAGGAGCTCCAGGAACGCTGCTGTGACAGAGCCCAGTAGAGCCTGGTTGACCTGTGGATGGGTGGCCCCGTCCCAGCAAAAACAGACGCAGCAAGGTCAGTCCGAACAGAAGACCTCCATGATGCCCGGCGTGCAAACTTGAGGGAAACAGCCGTGGCAGGAGGTGTCGCCACTGGGACACGGCGGCTCGCCAGTTGCATCAATGCCCTCCCTAGACAGCAGCATGCAGGCTGCCCTGCTACACAACGGAGTCGCAGAGAGAGAGAGAGAGAGAGAGAGAGAGAGAGAGAGATGTGTCGCGGAAAAATGTGTGTGTGCACGTGTTTGGACCCTCCTGGACCCGATGGGCATCTTGCCTCCTGTGCCCGGAGTGCTTATTGCCTTCCCCGCAACACGTGACCAGTGTCCCCAGCGATCGCAGCCCAACACGCACCGTCTCCGTGTCGGCCACGACTGCAAATACTTCGTCCGCAGGCAGCATCGGGGCCCATGCCGCCGGGCCACTGGGACTGGCACCACCGGGACTTCCGGTCGCACCAGAGCCGACGCCTTGCGCTAGTGGCGCTGCCGTCGGGGTCACCGGTGCCACACCGCTGCCAGCGGTGCCGGCGCCGGCAGCAGCGGGAGCAGGGCCTTCCCGTCGGGCCGTTGCGGCAGCTGCCACCCACGTGGCATAGCGCTGCGCAAGCTGCAACACCAGGCGCAGAAAACGGTCCGTCAGGGGGGGTAGTACGACGTCGGGACTGACGGCACGACGGAGACAGCGCAGCAGGGCCGCCGTCGCTGCGAGCTGCGGCGGTGCCGCGGTGGTAATGGGGCCCGTTCCACCGACCGAGTTGGTGCCTGCAAGAGCCGCCAGCTCCAGCTTATCAGTCGACAGAGCGTCCTCCAGCTCACCTGCAGAGTAGAGGGAAGGGGAAGGGCAATGCAACGGCACCCGCCAGAAAGGCTGGCTGGAAAGACCTAGAGGACTTGGTGTTAAAGGACACGAGGCTTGAAGCCGTGGTACGTGGAAACATAGGGCGAAGCAATACACATGTCAACTCCTTTGCTACACACGCGAATAAGCGATGCTGCCATAAAGACACACATGCACATTTTGTCAGCCCAAGAGTCCTTCCAACCTGCCGGCATATTCGCTTTTATTCGCTCTTATAGATGCATCGCAGTTTGAAGGCCTGTGTAAGCTTACGGCAACGCGCGTGCGGGTCTTACCCGCAACCTCTTGGTACAGCAGCGAGAAGTACACAGACGTGTTCCAGCGCCGCATCAGACTGGCATAGGCAGCTGAAGACCGCAGGCGCTCCACCGACCCACGGGTCGCGCACATGCCCTCCAGTTGCCGTAGCCAAGCCAGAGTAGCCAGATAGTTGGCGTGGAATGCGGGGGGCACGCCAGGGGAAAACACGCCTGTACGCAGGGGACGGCGGTCGGGTAAAGGTGTGCTGGCATGGTGGACGTTCGTTACGATGGGGCCCAGCTGGCTGCCAGGATGCAAGTGCACTGAAGGGCAGCACCGGACAACACTTTAGGCCTACGCGCCTGACAGGAGAGAGCAAAAGCATCCGTGCAAACACGAGGATGACACTGCAGAGAGCCAGGAAGACGCCGTCCCCGCCTTATCCCTGTGCTTCAGGCCAGACCCATCTATAGCTCAGCCCCTGGAGGCACGCCGCCTTACTCAACGGCCCCGCCGCATCCCAGGGGCCCCCTACCAGGCATTGCCGCGGCCAGCGTGCCTTGGACCTCGTCCAGCACCGCATTGGACAGCAGGTCAATGGAACGCAGGGCCGACCCAGGAACAAGACTGGCATCCAGCAGCGGCCCCAGCTGAGCACGGATGGCCGACAGGATGCTGCCCAGCAGGGCAGGAAGGCCGCCACCGCCGCCCGCGGAACCAGGGACGGCACCAGCGCTAGCCACGGAAAGGGAAACGGAAGAGTGCCTGCACGGATAGGTTGATGGAATAAGCGGGTTGCAGGGCAGCAGGTAGAGGACGCTAAACCGCAGCTGCGGTCGAACCGGCCTAAATTTTCGGTCGCCTGCCTGCACCAGGCGTCCGGCCACCTACCCCTTGTGCTCTCCAACCAGCCGCTCCACTAGCGGCGCCACTACTACCGAACGTACTGCTGCATCCGCCGTCGCAGCTTCCCCGAGGTCCGCGGCGGCATGCAGGGCATGCAGGGCCGCGGCTATACTGCGTGGCCCCGAGGGGGCAGCGGAGCCTTCTCCAGGCGGGGCGGGCGCCAGCGCCAGCGCCAGGGCTGTTGCAAGGCGGCTCCTCAGCGCAGCGCGGTGGGCGGCAATGCGGGGCTCCAGGGAGCGTACGAAGGCCAGGTCCTGGAGGTAGGGATGGCGGGGGAAAGACGAACCACACACGATGGCGGGGGAAGGGCTAGGAAATCCACCACGATGTCCGGGTGCGAGTGGAAAGGGGATTCGCCAGCCTTTAAAGCGACAATGGAAAATGGATCACGTGGTGGATCACTTGGACAATGGAAAGGGGATCAGGCGCCGCCCCGACCCGCATCGCCTACCGTGTATCGCTTCGCAACCTCCACACACCCTCTTCCATTCGCCAGTGCACCAGACCCCATTCGACTCACCTTGCCCTTGTTGGCCAGGAAAGCCAGCCGGCTGACCTCGGCCGCAACTCGCTCCAGCATACGACACTGCGCCAGAAGCTCCGCATCGCTGGTCCCAGAGCCGGCTCCGGAGCCATCTGCGCTAGCAGGACCGCCAGGAGCTGCGCCATTTGCTGCAGCTGCTGGAGTAGTACTCCCGCTTCGGTCCGAAGCGGCCAGCTCCTCAAGCAGCTTGTCGACCTGCCGCGGCAAGGGACGCCAGGAAGCGTGGTTAGGATGCAGGGGATCAGGAGATGTCGGGGCAGTCCGTGCCTTCCACGGCATACCAAAAGCCACACACACCCATACCAACGAATCCACCCGGATGCACCTACGCGGCCGGTCACTCGCATGTCCCTAGTCCCGTGCTAATCACCCAAGTCCATGCCGGAATCCAGCTTTGTTTCATTAATCGTTCTACTGCGCCAGCAAAAGCCGCCGAAGCCCATTACGGGTCAGTTCTTATTTCGTGTGCCCACCTTGGCCGCTACGTGCGACACCTCCAGGATCAGCTCCAAAAGCGCCCGCTGGGTGGCCACCTCCTTGCGCTTGCGGAGGCCCTAGAACGCGGACGTACGTACATGGGGGTTTGGAGTAGGAAAAGGCGCAGGAATGGTGCCAATGCCCTTTTGCCGCAGGATCCATGCGGAGATGGAATTTACAATCCCGTCCTCCACAAAGCCATCCCTGGCTCGGCCGAGCCCCAGCGCCTTGACCTGACTCATTAGCCGCACCTGGTTGAGGGAGTTGAGCTCCGAGCGAACGGCCTCCTGTACCGCATGCAGTTTGTCCTGCGTGTGGTATGGCAGAGGAGATCACGTCCGTTAGGATTAGGGCGGCCAGTAACTAGCTTGGCAACACGTCGCCAAGGTCCAGGCCCTTGGCGTTCATCTGCCACAGCGTCTGGAAATACGCGGCGAACGGCTTCCCGCGCGTGGGTCTGAGGTTAAGTCACTGCTCCCCTCGAATCCAGACAGATTCGACATGCGGGCGACCCGGTAGATGCCCTGGCACAAGTGCTCACATTGTCAAAGCACATTGTCGGCCCCATACCCCAACTGCTACGTCCCGTGGCCATCTCCCCCGTGCCTTCTGTGTATGAGCGAACCCACATGCGACGGTACGGTATTTGCCTCACCCGCAGGTCAAGGAGGGGCTTCCGCATGCGCACCACGGACCCCTCGACGTTCGCCAGCCGGCCACTAAGTCCCACATAGTCAGCATAGTCCTCATTGATGACTTCAACTAGCTGCGAATTACCAAGCAGGTGAGTTTAACGTGGCAGATATGCGCAACCCAAGCAACTTCAAAATATTATAACTACCTTGGTCTTGAGGGTCGCCAGGTAACTGCTGAGCTCGTTCTGCAGGGTCGCGAGTGGAACCTGGAGGACATTTCAAGGAAGAAGTTGCAAGTTGCTGCCTGATGTACTCCATAGTATCTTATATGCCTTTGCGATATATTAATGACTAAAACATGTGCGATACAGAGGACGATAGGCTATGCAACTATTGGAAGAATGGTTGATCGTGCAGATGAAACCTCAGCTATACTTACATAACGCCGCAAGTCAGCGACACAAGCATCTGCGTTAAAGTCCGGTGCTAAAAAGCGCTCAGGATTGAGCCATACTGGGCATCCGGCCCGTCCTAACAAAAGGGATGAGTCCCCAGTCGCGGTCACGACGGCCGTTTCTCCGACCGTCATTTTGTTGAGCTATACATAATCTTCACCGATTGACTGGGGCAACTTGTCCTTCCATGCGTGTTTTGATCACAACCTTGCTACATCCATAAGCAGCGGGAACAAAATATTTGCATAGTATAGCTGCCATGATTGTCTACAAGGATAGGCAACGCACATCAGGTAGCTAATTTTCGTTAATGGCAGTCTATCGTACCCTGCGTCGTACTGCTTACAACATGCCAACCGCTCCTAACCAACCAATCCAAAGCCCGACGACATGCACACGTCCCATTACATTACTCTAGTTGAGTTTAATGGTCTGCCTCTCCCAAGGTACCTGGGACTTATTCCTTGCCATCGCCTGCTGTGTAACCGGAAATGACCGGGAGGTTGCGGCGATTTGGCATGCTGTTGTTTCGCCGCACAAAATTCCACACGGACTCAACTGCGCGCATAATAACGGCACTCCCTCCCCTTGAAGGTCCATCGCGCATGTATCAGGCTGTTGAAAATTTGCACGAACCATATTGTAACCCCAGCGTGTTAGTCTTCTCGCACATCCCTAACAGGGAAAGCACACCGGTAATCATGGGGTGGGCATTTCCCAGAACATACGCCATCACTGCAGCCCAGGCGAACCTGCTCTATCAGCTATCCAGGTCCTCTAAACGTCACGGTACAAAAGGACACGCACAACAGAGCGGCACACGGCACCGCGTGGCTAGCCCGGGTAGCACAAGAAGCTGTTTAACGGAAGCCAAGCACCTCCCGCGCACTTCGCATCCGCCGTTCACCGCCCATCTATCCATCCGTCTATCCATCCAATCATCCACCCATCCATCCAAATCAAACACCAAGAAACGTGCTCTCTAAGCTCTGCTGCCAGAACACTATGTCATCGCTTTACAGCGGCAATGTTATCATGCAGGAGCGCCGTCTCAGCACCTCCTAGCGCCTCGCCACCGTCCGGCCCAACCTACTGCGCCGCTGCATTCGCCGCCTCAGACAGCTAGCCGCCACCATGACATACATACCTACCACTAACATCACCACCACCTGTGCTCCTCCCTTCTATTTCTTCACTAGACCTTCTCCTACCTGCCGAGTGCCTACCGCTCGTCCCGGCTACCCGCCCCCCCCTGCGAGCTCCTGCGACCGGCCTCTCTTGCCCAGCTGGGCCCCATTCGCCGGCGGCGCGTACTCCTGAACGTACTGCTCGTCATCTTCGTCTGGTATGGAGGAAACCAGCGGCGCCAGGATGTCGGCGTCCAGCGGCACGTCCTCGTCCCGCCGCGCAGCCCAGGCAGTCAGGTAGGCATCTGCGCACGGCCAACATCACCACCATCAATGCATTATTGCCGGAGTTCAGCCATACATAGAGCATTCGGTTCAAAGCTTGGGGTGCTGCACGGGAGACACGTATTGAACGGCGCTCGCCAGCCGCAAATGCCGCTGGAACGTTTCCCACCATGCAATGGTTGGGGATTTTGACCACACCCCAGCGTAGCCCGCCCTGTTCTCACCTGCGCGGGCAAAGGCATCCAGCACCTCATCGCTGCGGAAGGTGCCCTCCGTAATGTTGCGGCCTGGGGACACGAGTGGGGAGTCCGGCGGGTCCCGGGGCGGGCGGCCGGGGCAGGGAGGGCAGGGATTGCGAGACAACGAGCAGTAACCCGGAGAGATGATACACACATACATACACATAAGCGAGCGGCTAGCCGGGGGAAAGAGGCGCGGAGTGCCCGTGTGTGACGTGCCCAGGGATAGGCCACGATCCCGGAGGGTTCAGGCTGAACACACGGGGCCTGCGTGTGTGGCAAGCCCTTGCTGCTGCAGAAAGCCGCAGCCAGCAGGTCTTGGAAGCCCAAGCACGTCTTCCCCAGCCCTTCCTCCAGCTCCGAAACCTAGTACTCTTCCCAGGTCGTACTCCTCCCATCCGTTCCCCTCTCCTTTCCTCTCCAACACCACCTCCGAATCCGAGCCTAATTAGGATCCGTTTGCTCTTCCCTTTAAACTCGCAGGTTCCCGCCAACTCCCCGACATGTGAGTCTCGAAACGCCTACCCGTGAGGGGGTCTATGGTGACGATACGGTCGGCGTGCTCTGCATTGCTGCATACCAGCTGTCCTCTGGGCACCAGGCCCCCATGTCCTACGGACACAGCCATGGTGGCCATGTCGAAGGAGCGGCCGTAGCGCCGCATCAGCGAATGCAGCAGCGCGCCCACGTCGGTGGGGTCAGAGCCGCGACGGGACTCCTCCTGCTCATCGGGGTGTGAGGGGTAAGAGAAGGACAAAAACGAAGACATGGAGCGGGAGTGGGAACTGGTACGGGGTCCGCGGGCGCGCCAGCCAGGCCCCTGTGACATGCGTTCAGTAGCTCGGTCGGTTGGTTGGTTGGTTGGTTGGTTAGTTGATCACTCACAGCGGTTCAAGGAGCAAACCATGAGTTTGAAAGCCAGGAGATAGGCTCATCCAATCCAACCGGGACGCGGCAGACCGACACCGAGCTCTAATCCAACCTTCTAAGAACGTAAGTGGCTCCTGTATCCAATGCCTTATCGCGTTGATGAATCTTGTGCACGAGCACAACCAACGCTGCTGGTACGGCACCACGTCCCCGCACTGCACCCGAGAAGCCCTTCCGAAAGATCAGCAGCACCGCGAACCTTAAATCGACTCCGCGCAGGCCCCCCTTCCCTTCCCCCCAGCACAGTGTCGCCACACCATCAGATGCGCCATGACCATGTACGTCAGTCCGTAGCTGCTAATTCCTCCCTTGGCCACCTCCGCCAGGTCCAGCTCCCGCATGTAGCTCTTGAGGACCAGAACCAGCGGCCGCAGAGCAGGAAACGAGGACACCTGGTGCGGAGGGGGCGAGGGGGGGGGGAAGTGCGTGTGTCTGCGCGTATGTGCGGATGCGACGGAGGAAACCACTATAAACTGCAGATGCACAGGCAGGAGCAATGGTGTTGAGCGAGGATGTGGAACTACGGACAGGTCGCCAAAACCAGCTTCCCCAGCACCACCACTGCCACCACCACCATAGCCCCAGCACCACCATGGTGCCGGCTGAGCCTCCGTTTCCCCCAGAACCCACGCCATCCATCCGGCAGCTCTATCGCAGCTGCTGGCCCCGCAAACCCGCAAACCCGTCTCCCGAATCCCCCATCTCCTCCTCCCCCCCTTCGCGTCTGCCTCACCTGCTGCCTGATGTACTCCGCTGCCTGCGGCCCGCTCAACCCCGCTATGGAGATATCCACAGAGACGCCCGCGGAGGTGGTGATCTTCAGGATGGGTACCCGGGCGTGACGTACGGCGATGAGCTTGGTCACCCGCAGCCTGGAGCGCAGGTGCGGCGTGAGCCGGTCCAAGAGGCGGGCGACCTGGGGGGCCCCAGCGGGTGACGCGTCGGTGAGCAGGGGTTTGGGTTAGGTGCTTGGGTTGAGACAGCGCGGCGGGGGGGGGAAATGAATACACGGTCGTGATGGTGCGGAGGGGAAACCGAAGGAAGGAGATGGGGGATGGAAGCGATAGCTGACCGGCGGTCCAGGTGCAGCGGCGCAGAGCAAGAGGGACGTAGCTCCGCAGCGTCATATCCTGGTTTTTCGGTTTTTCCCTTCCTCCCCCCACCCCCGGGCGGTTGTCGCTTCCCTGTCCTCCGTGTGTGCCTCCCCCTCACACGCACCCTGGGTCGCTCCCCCTTGCTATAGAAGCCCAGGGAGGAGGACGGCTCCGCAAGGCCCACTAGCACCACATCGATGTCGGAGGACTTGGTGCCCAGGCCGCACCTTGAGAGTAGAGCGGGGAGGGCAGTGGAGGGGGGGAAGACGAACCACGAGCGAGTGAAGCTGATGGCAAGGAAAGACTGATGCGCCAGAAGTAAAGCAGGCGTAACGAACCAGTCAGCGGTTGAGTCGGCAGTGGAGGGGCCGGAAGGGGCAGGGTGCGCGAGCAAGCAAAGCGAGTAAGCAAGCAAGCAAGCAGACGGGGTAGGCAGGTAGGCGGACAGGAAGGCAGACATTTTTCCGTGCATGGAAAAAACGCTGTTCCGTTGCTGACTTCCAAAAAATTCAAAAAAATGCATTCAAAAAAATGCATTCAAAAATTCAAAAATGCATTCAAAAAAATGCAAGCACATTGCAGCACCCAACCCGGCAAGCAATAAGGCAGCGCAGGTGCACGGGAGGGGAGATCCACACCGCAATAACACCATCGCAACAGCCATCACGTGAAGGCACCCATGTAGAAGAACACCTCAAATCACCCCACTCAACAATCAAGGCGATCAAGCCCCGCAAGCAACCTTTCCGCCCTGCTAAGTTTCCGTACTATCGTACATGTAGCTACCAAACGGCTCCACACGCATGACGCCCAGGTACTCTGGAAAGGCGGCCTGTGCTGCCTGCCGTACGAGCTGCAGTACCTGCGGAGCAGCACCGTACGGAAAGCGGGTCTGCGGAGGCCCTAAGATCCCAAGGCCCGCACACATACGCGCTGTTCATTAACGAGCCAGCGCCACGGCGGTGATGCCCCATAGGGTCTACACATGCGTCATCAATGCAGCGGACGATAACTCCAGGGCAGGATGGTGCGCGTGGAGAGCTCCAGGGAAGACAGCGTCTTCCTGGGCTCCTCCCGTGTGGACGGGGCCATGCAGTGCCGTGAATGGATGACCCCGATAACCCAACACCACATCCTCCCTCCTCGCGAGAGCACCCCCGCGTCATTTCCTGACGCGACCCGATGCAAGCGACGACAGTGGATTTAGCTGACATGTCTCCTGAGCGTTCAATTACCTGGAAGAGAACGCGGGACCGCGCAGAGGGAAGGAAACAGCCGAGCAACAAACATTCACCGACAATGAACGGCTGACCGACGAGCGAGCGGCAGCAGTGGGAACCTTTGGGCCCCCCTGCTTGAACACCAACTTCTGGTCCTCCCAACCGCGCCACAGGCGACTCCATCCCCTTTTCTCCATGATACCCCAAAACTCCGTGTCCTGACCTGTTCCTTGGCCCGGACCTCCTGGGCAGTGGGCGACAGCTGCACCACCAAGTCCTGAATATTACGGCCCAACACGGTGTAGATGTGGCGTTGCTGCGGCCGCGACCTGTTGTTGCCGCCGCCGGCGGCGGCTGCTGTGACCTGGTGAGCCGCAGCGATGCCTCCTCCCTCAGGTCCTCCCACATCGCGTTTGGCTGCGGTGTGCCTAGGAGAAAGAGCACGGTCGGCGACATTGTTGCCGCGGTTGCCTTGGGCCCCCGCGACTCCATTCCCTGCCGCGTTGTTGCTCGCAGGCTGTTGTTGCTGCTGCCGCTGCTGACTCGCATCGTAGTGTCCCCCGCGCCCAAAGCGTTGCTGTTGTCCTTGCTGCTGCTGCTGCTGCTGCTGCTGCTGTTGTTGGCCGTACTGACCGCCCCACCCTGCACTGGTCCTATCTGTGTAGCCGCGGTTCCTCCACCCGTCCCCGTTACGCCGCTCCTCCCAATCCCCGCCAGCCCCGCCGCCCGCTCTCCACTCCCCGGTTCCCTTTTGGAACTGCGGCCCTGGTGCGGAGGCATCGAAGCGACGCCGACTCAGTTCGTCATCATAGGCGCCCTTGGCGCCTCCCTTAGCTCCCGGCTGGCCGCCAGGAGCCTCCGTAAAATGCCGGCGGCGATGGTCATCCCGGCTGCCATCACCGCCCCCCCTGAAGTCATGTCCGCGGGATGACTCCTCGGACTGGCGCTGGGGGGACCAGCGGTGCCGGTATGTCTGGGGGTGGGGGGCTGGCGGCTGCGGGAAGCCGAGCTGCAAGCCATACTGCCCGTACTGGCTATGCATGGGTGGTTGACCAGGTCCCTGAAACTGCCCGGATTGGGGAACAGGTCCCACTCCCGGAACGTGCTGTCCAAAGGCCGGCCCCGGATGAAAACTTATGAATGCCGGGAACTGCAGGCCGCCTGAAGGTTAAGCGATTAGGAGGGCTTGGTTGGGTATCAAAGGACGAACAGAGGTGCAGTTGCGATGATTTAATGTGCGAGCTCTGGTGACGTGCCGGCTCCGTGGGTCATGATGTCTCCATCCTCAAAGCTGGGTCACGAGCATCCGTCGTCACAACAATCCTATTTATGATACCCAAGTTACCATTGGTAAAGTGGCCTCACCAAGCGGAAATGGTGAAGGGAAATCTCCGCCTTGTCCACCGTAAACATTTTGGTACATTTACACAATATGAAGATTATTAATGATTTATTAGCATACACGCTAATGCATCATATCTCCGTTATTTGTACAAAGCGTTAATTTCTGGGAAGGGTACATAAAATTGGTGTGGCCAATGCTGTCGGAAACGTTTCGCACTCCGACAAAGGATCGTGGAACTGCGCGCATAAGTCCCAGTAATAGTGGGAATATAGCCAAGCAAAGTATATTTGTATAGCCATGTGCGGCCCGCTGCTGTACAATTGAAGTCCTGGGGAAAGTCAGACCAATAGTGCCCTGCAGTGCGAACGTGCCGTTACATCCATAATAAAGAGGCAATAAGGTGCAAAAGATGCTTTCCGGCGTCCAAAAGGCACACCGCCCACGAAACCCCACCCCAACCCCACGCAAGCGGGTGCGGCGTTTGGTGCATCCTGTCCATCAGGGAGACGCCACGCTGCGATGTCATCCGCTCAAAGGACCCTCTGCTTACAACCAAAGCTCACCGATGGAGAATAGAAGATGAGAAAAGATGGTAAGTCTGAAGCCCACATGTTACAGAGTATAAGAGCACACAAGCATGAAAGGTAGAACTGACAAACAATACTCCCACCTAGTTCCGCCAATCACCTGTTTAATCCTGACGGTTGTGTGTCCGAATAGGGAACCCTAACCCAGAAGCTACCTCGTCAGCGGCTCCACGCCAGAAGCTCCACACAACAAATGGACGAGGCAACGTGCGCAGGAGACGTCCCAAACTTCCCCAAACCTCCCCCCAAGAGACCCGAAAGGATCAACGGCAGATATAACCGAGCGTGCAACCCCATGAACAGGCAGCAACCCCAGCCTGCAAGCCTTCAGGCTAACACACCTGACCTCGGGAGACACCCTTCCATGTTCACCAGCGACTTCGTGTCGCGGTCTGTGCGGACAACACAAGTCGAGGCCTATCGCAGTCGCAGCTAAGCACAGCTGCCGCATTCGGCCAACGGCTGCAAACACATATATAAGGTAAGGCAATAACGGACGAAGGCCAAGTCCCAACGGCCCTAGGGAGCCCGCCTTTCTTAACGTACACAACATGATATAAACATTAAAAGCCACCCTAAGTATTGACTGACCAAAGCTAACTAAATACTCGCAAACATCGACTGCCATGCAGCCACCAGAATCACTGCTGGCTTCCCAACCCAACCAGGAAAAGACAAGCAACACGTGAAGGAAGAAAAGTATAAGTCCAACGTGTAATTCGGCTAGTCGACAGCCAACGTGCCTGCTCCTGAGGCGTTGGCGGCACCCTGCTTCCTTGCACCCTTTCAATGGCATACCGTGCGAGGGGCGACCGCGAAGGCCCCAGTCCCGCATGTTCCCCAAATCAGTGTGAATACCTAAATCGTTCCTATAACAACATTTCCTCTTGATATCTGTTGGCAAGGCGAACGAAGGCCAACTTTCATCCCATAATCCCCTCGTTGTACATGCGGGAACTTCGAGTAACTCCGGAACATTCAGCCGGCACACATCCACACCCTAGCAGACCCCTGCTTGCCAAGGTGGCGCCACACACCATAACGCGTCAACAGAGCACTTGGACGACACGGACCCTCCGCGTCTCAACAACACCAACAAGCACCCCGCTGCTGCAACGACTCAAGGGTCGTCCTGCTTGCCCACCAGAAAAAGGCATCCCACAAACCTGCGCGCCTTTCCTACACCCTGTTATCGCTAATGCGGTCACTAACTCGTCTCATCGCTGCTCCTCCTCCTCCCTGCGGACCGGCCTACGGGAAGGTGGTCACCTCCTGCCCGCCTTGGAGGGACCCTCAGATGCCGGGGGCGCCGGTCCGTCATCATCCGTCGAGTCAGCAATCATGCCCTCCAGGTCCAGCTCTGCTTCATACAAGTTCCGGATCCGGAGCCGCTCCATGTCCTCAATGGTGGCACCAAAGATCTGCGGCTCCGATCCGAGAAATGTGCACAATGTAAGGCCGCGTTCAGTTAGTGCCGTAGGATAAGATTGATATCATTGTGCAGAGGAGTTCGGCCATCCTCTCCCCCCCAAGCTCATTGATTTTCAACAGCCAAATGAGATCCCCTACCTTCAAGCCTGGACTCCTAACTGAAGAAATCCTTATCACCTTCCCCCACCCACCCACCCACGTGCCTCCATGGCCCGCCACCCCTCCCCCACATCCCCGGCCCATCACCCTACCTTGCCAATGTCCGCCACGCTCCCCGCACCACTGCCCCCTGGCTCGTTGGCCGCAGGACCCACTAACCGATCGCACTCCGCCAGGTAGAGCACCTTCACGGGGGGGGGGGGGACCGGGGGGAACAAGACATGGGAAGAGGGGACAGCAAATCAAGAAATGGCCACAATCTGCTAGATAGGAGAAAGGTACTAGTAGGCGGGGTCTAAGAGGAAAGAGCAGCGGACGCAAGCACTGCGACGTCTTGCGATATGTATGGCCAAGGGAAGACGTGAGACTGGCAAACGAGCATGATGGGGTTACTTAAGGGACAAGCATCACCAACGCCATGCGTATGAGGGACGCCCTAACTTATGTATCCATACTGCGGGCAACGCCGCCTACCTTCCGGAAGAGTGACGTACACGTGGCCTTGCGCTGTGCACCCGACAGTGTAAGGCCCTCGGTGTTTAGCATCAGGGTGCCGTACTTGTCGTAAATGCGGGTCGCACGTTCCCGGAGCGCCTCACCGACATCCGCGTCGCTCAGCTCCAGCCCTACCTGGTAACGGAGTGCAAAGAAATCCCTCAGCATGACTCGAAGGGCTAAAGGCTAAGAGACGGGGTTTCAAGCGATGTCGGCACGCAGGAAAGCAACAGAGGACAGGAGAGACGGCTCGACCACCCGCGTAACACGAGCCGCAAGATAGCTAAGAACACAACGACACGGGGCCCCCGCTGCCACCATACATGCAGGCGCCCACTCTGTCTTCCCCTCTCACCTTCATGGCCACCAGGTCCTCCACCGCCCCCTGGTCGAATTTGCGTTCCCGCAACAAGTACCACAAGTACTTGCGGAAAACCTCAACGGCGCTGAAGCCCGAGGCACGTTGCAGCTTCTGAAGGGGCAAGGGGCCCAACGCGGCACACAAGCAGCAGAACCAGGACCAAAACCAGGTTAGAGAAGCAGGAACAGAAGATCGCAAAGGGCATGAGACGAAGGCGGCTGACGCGGTGGAGAGGTGCATGGGACAAGAGGGCTTGATGCCCAACTAACTGAGCGGCAGCACCTCCCCATCCGACCTGCTTAATTCTTGAGCATCGCTTATGCATCACGACCTGTGTGCGGTCCTTTCCAAGGCATCTTCCAAACTTCCCCAAACCCGCACCCCGCCCTCCTCAACCCCTCCTTGACCCAGGGACACGCACCCTGAGCACCCCCGGCGTGAGTCCCGCCCTGTTCCCGTTCAGAAGGTACTTGTTAAGACCCTCCACCAGGTCCCGGTTGCGATCGATCTGCCGCATGCGCTTGGCCTGAGCCGTGTTGGACTTCTGCCAAGCGCGGTAGGTAGCTAGCAGCAGAGTACCCAGGAAAGCGACCGCCAGGCCGCCAAGAATTAGCTTACCTGGGCAGGGGCAGTGGGGCGTGGAAAAGAGAACGGGCGCGGGGCCTGGGTCAGCGGAGGTGGGGTGGGTGTGTAGCTAGGAGGGCATAAGGGGGTAATTGTCTCCTAAGAAGCCCCCTCCGCCCTATGACTGCTCAGGGTTTGGGGCTCCTAACAGCACCAGTCCGTGCCACCATGGTAGGCCACAGCCCCTTCCAGCTCCATGTAGGGGGAATGCCAGTGGTCTATATCCTCGGCTTTGCCTGCGACACAACGTTCCCGGGTAATTCCCATTTCGAAACCGCCGACTATTGAAACCCCGAACTTCCATAGGTTGCATCTTGAACTTTTGCACCTGCCCACTTAGCCTATAACCCAGATCCAGGATCTCGACCCTCCCACCAGACACCGCCTCCTGGCCTGGCGCTCTTACAGTGCATCCTTAATCCGTACCCACCCGGCAAAGTAGTCGTCAGGTAAGTTTGTGAGCGCGAGGCGACCAGCCTGAAGGTGAGTGGCTGGGGAATGGACAAGGGCGGCACAGGGATTCGGGTGGACGCCAGACAAGTGCTTCGGACGCAACAAGCAAATTAGAGACTGGTATCATTTTCTCCATAAAGTGCTCCACAGAGTATGTACAATCACTTTATCAAGGTCAATGGCTGAAGCACCTAGTCCCAGCGTGTAGCAGCAGCAGTAACAGCAGCAGTAACAGCAGCAGATGCAAGAGCAGAACGAATTGCCAATAAAACCGCCGCACCTCAACGACCTGCTCCACAACCTCCTCCACTTCCTCCGAAACCATTTGTTGCTGCTGGCCGGCCGCAACCGTTGCCTCCGTCTCCCCAGGCATGGCCGCCGCCTGAGCCGTCACCTCGCCATCCGCAGCTCGAGGGGCCGCCTCCTCCGTGTTTCGCCTCGCTATCGTCTGCGGCTCTGTCTCTTCTGTAAGCTCTTCCCCCTCCTCCTCCTTGTCCCCTTGGCCCATTCCTGTATGAGCGGTATGGTGTGGGGGCCCCCATGGGGTGTAAGGTACGTAAGCAAACGCGAGGGGAGGAATGGAACCAATGGGTGGGGGACCTGGTTGACCCAGACCGTGGCCTGCGCTCCGCCGGTATAATGCGGATCCACTGCAAATTGGGTCCCCAGGATTTGTTAACCATTCCAAGCTGGGCTCGGTTCGCCAGGACAAACGTGATTCCGATTGGTCGCCAGTTCCATGTGTCTCCGAGGTTTTGTGTAGCTTTTTTGTCTACACGGTATAAATTCCAGCTCATTACACTGGTGCAAGGCTTCGGAGAGCTTAAACCATGATTAGGTTCCCCCTCATGGTTCGTCGTTTCCCCCTCCCCACCTGTCGCGGCCGCCGCCACGCAAACATGGTAACGAGGTGTGACCCTAGGATTCTTGGCGGCCACGACGCACAGGGTTGGGGCCAGAGCCGTGCGTCGCCGCTGTGGGGGAGCTGCGCAGAAGGGAGAACAGAATCCAGCGCCGAGTGACGAGAGGTTTCGGAGCAGTGAGGGGGGGGATATCAGGGGTAGCAGGCCATGAGACATTGGATGTGATCGTAATGGTTATCCGTATTAAACAGCGGGAGTTCTGCCTACTTGTTAAGCCTCATGCCTTCAGGCGCGCCGCCTCTACAATCCAAACCCATCAGCTCGGAGCCGCCCCTATTTCCCCATCAACAATTATATTGAGAAATTAAACGTATGGCTTGATCATACCTTGTTGTCCTCGTAGACTTGCCTTGCAACAAAGCAAGGGAAAATCTGCCTTGGGGGTATGCGCCCCTTGACATAATCCCCATGCACCCGATTTTCGAATGGTCAACATCTTACGGGGGTTTAAGAATTAATCCTTAGCAGTGAATTGCAAAATAGACCAACGTTAAGGCCTTCACACGTTAAGGAAATAAATAACGGAAAGGCCTGGACATCGATATAAGAGTGGTACAATTCAAAATGATAATTCAGTCGTATATGTAGCTGACTAGGTCGTACGTGTTCTGGCAGGTTGGAAAAAGGCAACCAAGTGAAATTTTCCGTAAAAGTTTGTGCAGGACAAGTTGTTTAGAGCTTTACTGCTTCTAATGCATTATTTTGTATATTAAGTAATCTAGAAAATGCCGTCGGCTGCATTGCACAAGCTTGCAAGCGGTATTTCGTCTGGGGGTTCTGGGGGCAATGACTATAGTCCGTCAAGTGGCAGTCGTGGTGGCGTTATTCGTGGGCTCTTTCAAAGCATTCGCGCTGGCCTTTCAACTGAGTCTGGCTCCCCTCGCAGCAGCCGCACAGGACTTACAGACGGACCGGGTACACCGCGAGGCAGTCCAGGCCCGCATAACCTAACATTAAATGCAGACAGCCTCCGCGCCGACTCAGACGATTCAGATGCTGAGGACTTGCGAGCGCGGAAGCTCTCATCCGGGCCCAGCGGGCTATCTTTCGTTTCATTGGCCCCGAGATTTCTTATGTCGAGTGAAACCGGACACATTGCGCTGCCATTGGAGGTGCCATTGGCTGCGAGCCGCAGTTACTCTGGGCGTCGCTCGGGTCAGGCAACTCCGCGCATGGCAAGTTCTGCCCGGCCATCCTTTGAATCCCCAAGAAGTGAAACGCCAGGCGCATCATCATTACAGAGGCCCTCCGATTCTCGTGCCGTTGTCTCCGGGCCAGCGCCTGTACTCGGTACAGCGGAAGTAGTACCATTGTTGCCGACTCCCCTCGTGGCCTCCTCAGCCGCGTCCACAGCCTCCCCTGCCACAGAATCGCGACCCCAGCCGCACAGTCCTCCTGCCGCCGCCGTCGCAGTCGCCGTAACCGACGTGGTTAAAGGCGCCATGCCTGACACTATCGAGTCGCTCAGCGGCAAAACAGCCTCTCCTGGCTTCTCCGAAACCCCACCGGACAGCCCCACAGCGAGGACAGCACCTCTGGTGCCCGCGCCAGCACCTGCCGCCGAGAAGCGGCCTGCGAAGCTTGCGTCGAAGCTCCGCTCATTCAAACCCTCGATCCGGCGACGAATCCTGGAGGCTACTGTCAGCACCGGCTCAGCAGCTGTGCCAGCTCCCGCGGTGCCGGCACAGACCCTAGGTGATAGCAGCTCCCCCCACGTAGCCGGGAGCGGGGGCGACAGCGATGGGACTGGCGGGGGACCCTCCACCAGTGGGAAAGCGCCCCAGGTGGAAGAAGCTTTTACCGACGCTCCGGCCGCCGCCCTAGAGGGCCAGCAGCCGATTATGGCCGATGCCTCATTGCATTCACCTTTTCAGGCGCCACAGCCGCAGCAAGAACAACTGCAGCAGTTGATGCAGTGCCGTTTTGCCTCCACAAGTGCGCTATCGGCCATGGCGGTGAGCAAGGCGGTTCACCGCCTGCAGCTGCGGCAGCAGCAGGAGAAGGCCGCTGCGCGATACGCGCGGACCGCGCCGCACATTCCCAATGTCAGTGGCTCCGGGCTCCATCACCAGTATGCCTCCCCGCCACCACATCAGCGTGAACCCGCGGCCGCTGCGTCGACGCAACGCGTGCTGTCTGTCGCTTCTGACGGCAGCAGCAGCAGCGGCTGTGGCGGCAGCGCAGCCGCCGTTGCCGTCGAGAGCAACGAGAGTGGCATGTACTTACCGTACGGCAGTTCAATGGGGGCGTTGCCACAGTCGCACCCGCCGCTGCAGCAGGGGTATTCGCCAGCGCGTCGTCTGGGTTTTGGCATGAACCAGTCGCGCTCCGCCAGCAGCAATTTCGCCTTCCAGAAGGCCCAGTACGACGGTCACCGTAATGCGCCTGCCGGCGCTGCTGACGGTGGCGACGCCGCGCCTGATTCCGGCAGGACGTCAACTGCCCAGGCGACCAACGCTGACTTCGATGAGTGGCTGGGTGCTGACGTTCCCGACATGTCTCGTGGCCGCCTGACCCGCGTTGTCCCAACAGATCTGGACCGCCGTAGCTCAATGTCGTACACGGAAGGTCACATCAGTGCGGCGGAGCGCCTGCAGGTGCGTGTCCTGTCGGCAAGGGGGTTTGGGGTCGCGTGGCAGCTCTGGCTGCGAGCCAGGCCAACAGTCCAGCCGAAAGGAGTAGACTGTGTGTGTATAGGGGTGATGCGGGCGGTGATGGTAAGTTGGCGGGCACGGTGATGGTGGCAGTGCATGTCCGCCAGGATGCGATCTTGTTTTTGTTGGGCCTGCTTTGCGGCTAGGGAGCTCGGGAAACCTGGCCACTGGTCCCAGACGGACCTCTTTGCCATCGTGCCTCTAGCGGTCTTCTCTGCGTACCTATCTGTTTCCCTCCCCTGGGTATTGTCTGCGCCTTCCTCTGTGCCGTCCTTCCTCCGCTGCCTTTCGCACATAATGTAGAACGCGCGGCTGCAACTGCCTTCCCTCGTCCGTCCAATGGTCATTCCCCCACTGCTCCCAATCCAATCCAATCCAATCCCATGCGCCACACATTGTCGATCAGGCGATGGTTAGCAGCGCCGCATCCGCGGGTGGGGACGAGGCTGCCTCCTACCTGCAGCAGCTCCTCATCCCGGACATGTCTTCAACCGCCTCCGTTGACCTCCACTACAGCAACAACAGCAACCCCGTCGCCAGCGTAGTCACGCTGGCGTACGGCAGCAGCAGCGGGCCTGCTGCAGCCTCGGCCATGGCCACGCCCGTCCCCGGCGCTGGCGGCCTCTGGGGCTTGCTCCAGAACAGCAACAGCCCGCTGGCATTCAGCGCCAGCGAGGATACGGGCGGGTTCCTGCGCACCTCCCCGGCCACGCCGACGGTGACCTCAAAAATTGCCGCAGCGGCGGCGGCCATGGGCTGTGGGAGCAGTGGCAGCGCCCATGTACGGCCCCTGTCAGCGCAAGGTCACTGGTTGAACGGCGACCGCGTGCCGCGCTCGTCCACGGGATGCGGTAGCGGACACTTGAGCAGGTGGGTGGGTGGCGGCCACACCTTGGAAAGGCGGTTACGTGGCCTGCATCATACTTGTTCGGCACATGGATATGCCGTGTGCCATATCCCCATGCGCTTTCTGTGATCGGCATGAGACGCCCCATACCATGGCCACATATAACTGAACTGCTCACCTCTTTCCCTAAGGCGAGGCAACTCCGCTGCAACTTCGTTGCCGTTACCGCGTCCACCACCAAACGCAGGCAAGGCTCCGTGACTTTCACCTCCCAGAGTGCTCATTTTGGTGCTGCCCCGTCGCACTCTAGCGTTGTCGTGGGCGGTGCCAACGGCAGTGTCACCAGCGGCAGCGGCACCTCCTTAATGCTGGAGCTGCCCACCAGCTCCTCCTGCCCTCATGTCAACAAGACAGCGACACAGCTCGTAGAGGAGCTCCGGGAGCTCCACGCAACGGCGGTTGCGGCGGAGCCGCAGCCGCCCACACCGCAGCAGCAGCAGCTGCTGCTGCGCGACGAGCTGACAGCGGCCTTGTGGCGGCTCCTCCGCGCCAAGGACTCGGAGGCGGTTAGCTACCTGCTGGCTGTGGACCCCGCGTCGAAGCCCAACCGTCTCATCGCGCCAATGCTCGCGGAGATGCGCAGCTGGGTGTACCTGAACATGTGGTGAAGGGCGCTGCAGCTTTGGGGGGGGGCAGCTGGGGAACCAGTCCGCGGACGAGCTCTCGCGGACGAGCCACAGGCGCTGGCGGGGTGGCTGGCCAGGTCTTTTACCACGGCAAGGAGCGTCCCGTTGAGCTAAGACAAGGATTAGAATGTGTCTGTGTGCACGCGTGGCTTCCAGTCGCTCAGCTTTGGGCATGCATGGAGATATGCAGGGGTATGGCCCTGTCGAAACTGCAGCAGCAGCAGCAGCGCTGGTATCGGCGGCGGCAGCACGGGTGGTAATGGCAGTAATGGCGATAGTGGCGGCAGGTGGTGCCTTTTCTTAATGTTGCATGGCGAGAGCATCTGACCCATCTGGCTGTCTGAACAGCCGTGCGTCTGTCCGGCTGCCGGTTCCTCGCCAACTTAAGCCAGCAAGTAATAACCCCGCGATGTTTATGGTCCTACGTGGTATTGCATCATTCATGATTGATTGGCCCAAGAGCTCCGATGAGGGCCTGCAAGGCGACGGGTGCCGCAGGGTGGTGTTGGGAGCTGCGAGGGCTCTTTTGCCCGGCGGGGTCGGGGACCCTGAGAGAGCGAGTATGTATATCTGTATCGTGTGTGTTCGTGGTTTGGGGAACCCAGGGGAATAAGATTATGTCGCGTTTTCACACGGCTGCACCGGAGGGCAATCCAGGGTAGCGGTTGGATGGAGCGCCCATCATCGCAGCTGCTGGGGGATGGACTGCGGCTGCGGCCGCCATCGTCATCTCGATCCCTTTCCTGATGTGGGACGATAATTCAGGCAGCTTTTCGTTTGGTGGGCTCTGCAAGTGATGCGAGGTCTGTGGGTGTACATACATACATGCACACACACCATGAAGCGGCGTCTGGCATCTGCTATTCGCACACACATATGTGTCTCCAGCACTTCCTTCTCGCTGCTCAGTTAATAAACGCAGTGCATATAGACGCTAACGGTATAGGGTCCAAAGGAAACGCGCATCGAGGGGTTGTTGCGTCTTTTGAGGATTGTTGCTGGTGAGGATTTGGCAGCTACGAGGCTAAAAGAATTGCATAGCCGAATGCGCGATTATAAAGCTGGCGGAGGTTCAAGATATCCGTGCTGCGCGGAGGAGCCTTCCCGCGGTTGTGTAGTACCTAGCAGACCGCAAAGAATGCATTCGCAACCCCTAGTAACATCGTCTGGAATTCAGAGAAATTCTAGAAGTGACTCGAAGCATTGCAAAACGTTTCACTCGCTTGGAAGGCAAGCAGGCTTGCTCTTTAAGACAGGTCTTTATTAAAGCTTTGTGGAGATATCCTGTGTCGACGTGGTTGGGGTTGCTGGTGGTTGTGGCTGTTAGTGGTGTAGAGTGCCGGTGGTTGAGGGTATTAGTGGCGGTTGCTGTGGGCCCCACAGGGTGCCGTGTGGGGGGTTTCACGTGCTTGTGTGTTTTGGTTGTGCGATTTGTTTGATTGTGGTGACCGCTCACGCACCGGCATGGGGCTCGTGTATCGGCCGTTGGTGAGTCAACCGCCAAAACTAAATAAGTGGTTAGCATTTGGTGATCTGCGCGATTTCCTCAATGCCTGAAGCTTTTTATTGTTATAGTGTGCCTGTGCCTTCTACGAGGTGCGTGTGTTTGGCCTTGGAACGCCGGATTGGGTTGGAGGGAGGCTCGACGAGACGGAGTAGCGGTGTGACGTCGAGCTCCCAGGACACACGACTCGCCGGCCGGTTTAAATTTGGAACAGGTACGTCAGGACAGGACCAGAAACCAGACAGGACCAGAAAAGCGACCTTAGCAAATACCAAACTCGACGCTGAAGCATCCGCCTTTGTAGCACTACCTTTATCAGTTATTATCTATTTCCAACTTGGGGTGGGGTACGGGCGGTGATTTGGGACTGTGTGAGCGCTGCCCTGCGCTGGGGAGCAGCTCGTCGGCCCCGTCCCACGGGCAGTACGACGGCGTCCTTCGGCGGGTTGGAAACCGTTGTACGGATTGCTTCCCTGACCATGTTATGTCTGTGTCGGGATTCCGCATTAGTTATGTAATGTAATGTAATGTAATGTAATGTTACAGAGTGGGAGGCTTCTGGGCCGCTTTATCACATTGTCAGTTCTAGATCATTTATCACCTTATAGCACCATCCACCACTACCACACTGTACTTCGCCATACGAACTGTTAGTCCAAGGCGGCGGATCCAGCCTTCAGGGACCCCTCCTCATCCATTCACCCGAACACCCGAAGAGACGGAGGGTTCGGCAATCGCCACCAATCTAGCGTGCGAATCTGGTCCATCAACTGTGACCTCAACTCCACATCTCAGCAGCTAGCCATAATCTCGCGCTCCCGACTAATTCGGGGGTCTCCCCAGGAATCGAACCCAGGACCTTAAACTGCTAATTGCAGTAGTGTCAACCCAGACCAGCATTAGTTATATCCTGGCGATACTTCAAAAACGCAACACCTACATACGCGGGCGTCAACCTGCTGCAATTGCTTTCGTGCAGCGCCTGCTGGTTCCATTCCCGTGTCAGGCGGCGGAAGAGAAACTGTACTTTTTTAAAAGTAATTAGTATGGAATTATGGAGTGACGAAGAGTCGGTAAGGTTTGTGGCAGTTTCATGATTGTTTGGGTGTTGGGGGTTGCTTCGGCGGTGGCTGATGCTTGCTTCTTGTTGTTGGCGCAAGAGGGCGCAGAGATCGCTATCGCGGGGTTGAGCGCGATCACATACCACCAGGCTGGAAGGAAGGTTGGTTTGCGATTTGTGAGGCGGCGGCCTCCCCTGCCCAGTTCTGCGGCTCCCTGCCTGCGGCTTGCGATTTCCAAGGAGCTGCGTGACCTGATTCATGCGCTGCACAAGCAGATTCATTTGAGCTGGACTCAATCCTATCCGGGGTTTGCTCAGAGCCCGGACTCGCGAGCAGGGGACGTCCCTTAGCGGCGGGGGTGCAGCTCCAGCTGCCCACTTCTGTACGATGCTCGCCGTTTACCACATGTACGGTGCCATATATGTACGGCATTTCAAATGCTGGGAGAAGCTTACTTGCTTCCTGTAGTTCCATGTTGGTCGCAATAAAGAGCTTTGTCAGTGTGTTTTAACTGTTCAGGGGTTTGGCCTAATGATGGTGATAATGTTGGTACCAAGTGTCAGCGTTCAGCACCGGGCACACTCTTGAGGCTTGGCGATGCTGCTGGCTAAGGCTGCGATGGAGATGAGGTGGTGCGGATGTCAGGGCGGGGCAGATTTTGGAATGGTAATGGTGGTAATGGTGGTGTCCGTGACTCTTGACGGCCATGGCGGATAGAGCCGCCTGTTCGGACTGTCCTGCAGCGCCGTATGGGGCGTCGGCGCAACCCATGTATGCCTGATGCCGGGTCATCTGCGGGGTTCGGGATGAGGGAGGCGCACTGGGACTGGCGAGCATGCCTTCGTGACTTTGCGCTAGAATTCCTGCGCAGGAGACGGTGACAAGGCGTACGGTAGGGTGCGTGTCTCAAATGCGGGCGCGCAATGTCGTAATCCTTGCCTGACGAGCGCGTGTGCTTCGAAATCGGAAATCTGATATGGTCTTTGTGGACCCACTTGCTTTTTTATTTCTTCTTTTTCCAGTCGTTGTGTGCTGCCCATGGCTCATGGCTGCTAGGAATCACGCAGGTATGGAAATCCCCGTTTGCTGTGAGCGCCTTTGTGCATATTCGGTCCTTGGACTTGTCCGTGCCGAGATGCGGTTTTGCATGCGGGTATGTGTGTATTGCGTCCGTGTGCGCGAGTGCGCCTGTAGTCCCCATGTTGTCGTCTTTCGCAAGGCGCAACGGTCTTTGATATTATAAAAATGCGCAATTTTATGTCGTACGTCATCTCATCGCATTCGCGTGTGGTGCTGCACACCCTAGCGACATTCTCCTTGCCAGTTCCCAGGAGACTAAACAGCTGTCGATGTCTTTTTGTACAGTCAGGCGACTGTCGGCGCCTTTGCGGCCAATATGAATTGGAAATAAGATTGGTTGTAATCCGCCGCAGCGGGCCCAGCGCAGGCCAAGCCACTGCACGACCCGTCATGAGATGCCGCTGCCCTTGGTTGGCACGGTCAGGCACGCCGGCCTCCTTCGGGACCCTCTCCTCACACTTCCCTCACGGCGACATCCTGAAGCACTGTTGCCGTGCCATCTGGTTGCGTAAATATCACTACCGGGCCCTGGGTAGCATTTAGAGGTCCATGGCTCGCGGCCGGAAGGCTCAGGTTTGTGTGGGAGGTTGTATTGTATAAATTACAAAGCGAAGTAAATTAAGGAGATGCAATTAATGGCTGGTATGTACGTGGGGGTTACAGTTGACTGTGTACGGGCGACTTGCCTGCCTGGCAAGACAGCAGGTCTGTCGGCAGCCTTGCCTCTTGCGCTCATGCAGGAGCCTTGCGGCTCTCTACCCCGAACACGAGGGGTTGGGACACGCATGGAGGAAGGAAGGGGGGCCACCGGCAGCAGCATCGTTCGGATGGCGCGGACAGCTCTGTGCAGGTACCACCGCCCAGAGGGAGCGGCCGGTTGCTTTGTCTAATATTAATCATGATTAAGGCGCGGTGCGACCGTGGGTTGTTACCGCACAGTAATGGCATGTTTGTTTGGCATGTAGGAGAGGAGAGGGCTGCTGTTGCTCGACTTGCATTGCCGTGTGTCTACTGCAGCGATTGCCGATATTTAGAGGTGTAAAGCACAGTTGGCTCGGCGCCTCAAGGGTGGGAATCGCACCCGTGGTGAAAGCATAGTAGAAATACTGAGTACTTGGGCGTCACGGTCGGCATTGAATCTGTTGTGGCGGCGCAAACAGCGTCAAATGAAAGGGCGGCTTTTGTGCCCGGCATAAGGGTTGTCTATCGTTATGGTTGCCTTCAAGTTTAACAAGGGCCTGAATATCAGCCCTCGGAAATTTGTCCTGACGCTGCTTTTCCTAGCGGCTACATCCGTGGCCTGAGCCGCCGCATTGTTTGCCTCAATCACAATTGTCCTGCTTGCTTGGCCAGGGCTTTGTGTCACCTTGCTAAAAAGAAACTACACTCATGTCATGACCATGACATCGGAGTACTTGATAGTTCAGCCATTCTTGGTGGGTTATAACTGTTTGCGGCGTTACAACGCTGTTTACGTATGTGCACTGCCATCCAATTGGGGCAGCATGTAACGGGTAGTAACCAGGCTCCCAGAGCCATATAGCTCCTGGCCTGTGCTTGAATTTAGCAAGCTCTTTGGTGGCCCCCCCTGCAACATCTTCATTGCCATTCATTGCCGCTTCCGCCGGGTTTACACACTTCCCGTATCTATATAGGCTTAGGCGTCTCTCAATGCCGTGCCAGCTTTCCCATTGTGATAGGCTGAACTTTGTGGAGTAGGTTTATGCCAGTTCGCTCATGGATATGGGACGATTCGCCTTGGTTTGGGTATTGGCACTGCCCGCCTTGTTTCGCACTGTTCGGGCTAGTTGGAATAGTGGGTAAAGCGATTTTCATTGGTGGGGTAAGCTGCATACAAAACTCTTGCTTCTTGACGCCAACGCGTGTGCAGGATCAGTTGTGTGTTCAGATATGGCTGCGAAACTGCAAGCTAAGATGGCTGAAGACGCCTAGGGAGAAGATTGTGTTGTCCGAAATCCGGACGCGTCCTTTCTTCCCTTCACGGGATCCTCCAGGGTGGGCTGGTCTGCTGCGTGCCATGCATGAATCCGGTCCCAATCGATTACTATCCGGGATGTAATTCTTGCGAGAGCGCGCCCAGAGGGGAATCTGCTCGTTTTCTTTTGCGGGGAAATCTTATCCCCGATCCCCTGCCAGCTACCTGCGGTTCCATGGCCGGTTTCCATTTGTGTCCGTGGTTCGTGTTCCTTAGGGTCGGTGGTGTGGTCTGGTGTATCTGTGGTGTCATCGCATTGCCGCGTTGCTCTCTGGTGGGGGAGTCCAACACGTCAGGAAGCGCCGCACGGTTGGCAAGGTACCCTTGCCTCGCTCCCTTGTGCTATACAACCAGAAATCCTTCCTGTCAAATAACAGCAAATTTGTGCCTTCGGGATGACTTCACCGGTTTGTTTGTCTAGGGCATATGGAACTAGGTCATGCGGGACTATCAATAAAAGTAATTATGTGACATGAGTGGAATAAATTCTCTTGACTTTTTTTTTGATAGCACGAAAGAAATGTTACGGCCGGCTATCATGATTTAGTTGGATGTCCTCATCATCATCATGGGATCCATGCTGGCTTAGGCGCCTCGAAATACAGACGCCTCGCGCTCACGAAGCCGGTTTTGCAACCGGTCCCGCGTGTTATTTTTATATGGAGCCGCGGACGTGCATGTGCGTGCACGTGGCTCTGATTATTCACACAGTCCCCTCATGCAACCCAGTACGGAATCTGCATGCAAGTAAACCTGTTGCAGGCAATATATGTAAGATGTTGGGGGCCTTTCTTGCCCCGGGTGTCCCGATGGTGCCTCGGAGGGGCAACAATAACTTCAACCACTTTCCTCCAGAGCCTGTCCTGCACTCGACACTCCTGTCCGGCAGGGCCCAACCGTAACACGAAAACAGGTCCTGCGGTCATGCAAAAATGATGTCACCAAACTTCGCCCAAACGGTTGCTTTGAAGGAGTCCTTGGACTGCGGGTAATGATTAAAGCAGCAGACCATCAATGGGCTTTACTAATGAGCGTTCGCATGGAGGCACGAGGCACGCTTCTGCACATCGCGTACGGAAATCCAGCAAAGAGGGGGGTTTGAGTAGGTTACATGTTGGATGCATTCAGCCTCCATCTTGGATCCTATTCCCGCGAATCCGAAAGGAACGTCGTTGTACAAATTTTGATGGATGTGGGTTAGAGCGCGCCCTAAGTTCATACGGCGCTGTCGAGCCAGAACACACGTGGACCGCAAGGAACCAGAGATCTAGCGGGAAAAATCCACGTTTAAGCCTACAGAGGGTAGCGTGATCGGCAGACCTCGGATAAAACAAAACACGAACACAGACAATCATCTACGAGTTCTCTACGAAACACGACGGACGATCGACGACGAGCGGCCCTGCCCTCCTCGCTTGGGGGATCGGCTAGAGAGATGACATCTTTGGAAAAACCCATGTTCGGGTCGACATGTTTGAAGTCAACAGCCGTGGTCATTTTTCCGTTGTCCGTGAACCTGGCGGTCTCCAAATAATTGAGCATCATCCGCGCCTGCGTTCGCCCCTCCGGCCTTCCGTAACACCTTTTCGGCAGCAATGTGTACTTCCAGGAGGAGCTGTGTGCAGCAATGTTCGGGGAAATATCCAGCCAGAAGTTTCTGGGCATGCCGAGCTCGGCGCGGATGTAAATGGTGCGGAGATTTCGGTGCATGTAGCTTGTCGGGACAGGAGCTGACTGAGTGCATGGGTCTCGCTATAGGGGTTTGCCAGCGTGCGTACATGGCGGAGACTGTTTGGAAGGAATGGTTCTCGAGCCTCCACGCACGCCGGTCCCGAACAGCTCGCGCAACAGACAGAAACGCCTGTTCCCCCGACCCTCCTTTGCTGTGTTTGTCCTCTGCTTCCCACTACCTATGTCTTGCACGCTCATGACCGTTGTGACACGACGCATATACGGGCGCTGTGCATACTGCGCACTCCCTTCTCTCATCTTGAGTTTGCAGTTCTCGCATGCAGCTTCTGGCACCGGTAATAAGGATCGCTGGGGAGGAAAACAGCACACTCAGGCACCCCGCTGGGCCTGAAAGCCACTTCGCACGATACCGGGCACCGGAAGCCGACTATGTATGTGGTTGTGCAAAAGTTGCAAAACTTCAGCTCAAACCTTGAAACGTGAGTAGAAGTTGGCGAATGGAAGCCCTTGACAATCGAACTTGTCTGAGGTACTCCGACAAGCGTGTGAACTTACAAACGAATGCTTTCTGACCATGTGTGCACAAAACGAACTTGACGACGCTACTCAATTTGGAGCTTTACTAGACGTTGTACGCCCAGTCAACGGGTCAACGCGGTTCTCGTCCATAGTAATTGTAATGTGCTCAGTTCCCTAGAAATTAATGTCTAAACATCTGAGCCCCATAATAGTTTTAATTGCTTTAAGATTGCCTTGTTTGCGAGTCAACATCAAACCCCCTGTGCAAACCGGCAATCGGAGCTTGAGACCAACTGAATATAAAAACACTTGAATTGCGACCCAATAATGAAAATAAATATCTAATTGGAAAGGGGGATGTTGCGATAGCGCCAAGGCAGGGCTGGCTGTCAATGTTGGAATTTCAGCGAGGCCGCGAGCAGCGGCTGCGGAGGTACCCGGCTCGTCATGCCCAGTAACAATCTAGCTTCCACGGAGGTGTCCCCGCTGCGGCACGTACGGTAAGCAACCTCCCTGACTTCTTGCTTCACACCAGCTGTCGGCTTTACCAAGCCTTTTCTGCCCCGGTTCCCTCGCAGGGACATCACAACTTTCCATAAGGGCAAAGACAACACTACCTATGACACTTTCTGCGCGCTGCCCAGCCCACCCAGGCCGTACTGCGCCTATGACTATGCGGTTATCGCTGAGATTATCAAACATGCCGATACAGCCGTAGCCAGAGCGTACAGAAAGGGGACAGGTGCGATGGCCAGGGCCAGGTTTGCAGGGAGTAGGCCCGAGTCAATAGCACTTTTAACCGCCGCGTCCCGTCCAGGCTCCGGCTTGGTCACCCTGCAGTCCATACTTCAAGCGTATGAGCACATTCTGCCCCGCCATGGAATTAAGCCGGACGAGGATACGTACTACTACCGTCTTATTCTTAAGCTGAGCCTTGACCCGGAGCCGGATTGGTGGGTGAAGCTCAACCGTGAAACCGGCACCACCGGAGGGTAAGTTTCCAGGTCGCTGACATCATGCAGTCCTTCCGGCTGTGTAAAGCCGTGAGCCTGTGTGAACCAATGCGCCAGAAACCCGCTCTTGCAATGCTTACTCCCACCGCAGGCGCTCCACTTTCTTCCCCTCCTCCACCAGCGCTGTATCGTCCAACCGTTCAACACCGCGGGCAGGTGATTCCCGTCCATCCAGTGTGTACCGCGTGTCGCCGACGCGATTGCCTCGGTCGATTGGGACAGGGAACAACGCAAAGCCCAGCGTCCATAGCGCCAGCGCGACGCCTTCCGTCCGGAGCAGAATCCCCACTATCGGTGGTGGGCGGATTCCCGGGCGTGCATCGCCGTATCGCACTTCAAAGTCGTTGGCGCGCTCAACTGATCTTGAGCTGCAGGACGCGATACGGACGGCAGTGGCCCAGACAGCACGGCTGCGTGCATCATGGGAGGCCTCTCAGGACACAGCAAGCCGCAGCGCGCACACTTCGCCCAGAAATCCATCTTCTCAGAGGGCATCGCCGCGGAAAGGGTCGCAGGAGGCGGGCCGGAATATAGATCAAGATGCGGAAACATGGGCTACCCGAGAGGCAGCTGCCAGAGCTCTGGTGATACGGCACGCGATAGAGGCGACGCAGGTGCCGCAGCATGCAGCGTGGGATGGAACCCAGATCGGCGCGGACGATAGGTCCGTGCGGTCCATTGCTGGTCGGTCAGCAGTGTCGCTCCAGGCCGCGGCCCGCCAGGCGGCCGCGCGATTGGACGGGTCCGGTCCTGGCATGGGGGAATTCAATGAGGCCGCACGTGCCCTCCAGGAAGCGGCGGAACAGGCGACAGCTGCTGCATACGCTGCAGTGGATGCGGCGCGCGGTGTAACGCAGGGTCATGCTCCGCTTCCATTGGGTCGATACGAAATGGACACGCCATCCGCAACTCTGACGGAAGGCTCCCTGCGTGCTTTGTCCGCGGCACCGCGCTCAGCGCCTGCGTCCGCCGCCTCTGGAAGCGTCGACGGGCGGTCCATGATGCTGCACAGCGTCACGAGTGAAGGCGGTGCACCTTCGTCATTCTATAGAGACGATTTTGGAGATACCTCTGATTACGGCGCGGCGAGCAGCCGGTATGCTTCTTATTGGTCGCAGGGGACCCGGGATCCCAGCGGTGTCATAGAGCATAGCAGGTCCTATCGCGATGATGGTGTTGGTATGTCACATCTTGGCTCTCGTGTGCCCTCCAGCCAGTTTTTGCATCGTTCCCTGAGCAACAACACCGGCGGTAGTGCTGGCTTGAGCTTCGGTGTGAGTCAATTCATGTCGGAACCGGGCACCGATAGCCTGAGCGCGGACCGCGGCAGTGGAGGCGGCGCCAGCGGCGTCGGTGCAAGCGTGTCCAGCGCGAGGACGGGGCTCAGCGGTAGCAGCTTTCCAACAGGCACTGGCAGCGGAATCGTCCGGCTTGGTGGGGTCGCAAGAAGTGAAAATGGCGCCAGTGGGATGCACCCAACGGCCAGCTCGACACATGGCAGTGTAATCAGCGCAAGCACACGTGGGGGTGGCGTCGTCTACGGCAGCAGCATGCGGAGCGACGGAGGTCTCAGCACGCATACTCACACTAGCGGCCGCATGAGTTCTGCTGACCCGGGCATAGGTGCGCGGAGTGAGAGCGGCGTTAGCGTCGGCACCCACGCTAGCGGTCGTGATGGCGGGCACCGAGGCACTGGTTTAAGAAGCGACATACGTCCAAATAACGTAGGAATGCGAAGCGAAGGAGGTGTTAGCATGTCAACCCACACCAGCGGCCACATCAGTCCCGTTACATCCGTAGATCCAAGAGGGAGTGGCGGCCATTTTAGCGGCCATGCAAGCGAGTATGGCGGGTCTACAAACCGGGGTGGCAGCGTGCGCAGCGCCAGTGCAAATGGTGCTACCAGCGTCCCCGCCTCCGCCGGTGCTGGCGCTGGCGGAAGCAGCGCGTATAGTTCCAGCGCCCCTGGTGACGTGGGCGCTGGCTCTGTCCGCGCCAGCAGTCAAAACCTTGGCAGGAGTGCCAGCTCTGGCAGGAGCGTCGGCGGCCTCAGTTCCAACACCGGCTTTGGCGGCTTCCGCTCGGACATGGGCGAAAACAAAGGTCGGGGCGGCGGTGCCGGTGATCCAGGCTTAGCGGCTGCCAATAGCGACAGCGAGGCATCCTTTCGACCATCCAATGGCACGGTGCGGGATGATGGTGGCCCAGGACCGGACGCCATTGCCAGGAGCCATGCTGCTAGCTTGCGCACTGGCAGCAGCATTAGTCCCGTGCCCCGAGGCTCTGGATCTTTTGCATCAGGTACACAACACGACCGAAGCTATAGTGCCTGGCCGGACTGTCCAGATGGCATCGGCGGCGGTGGTGATGGCTTCAGCTTCCATTCGAGTGCCGTTGCCAGTGGTGTCAGCTCGGGTGTTTTCAATGAAATTAGAAGACCTGGAGTGGCGAGCGCCGGTGGATTCGGGCATGTCTCAGCCGGCGGTGCTGAAAGCTTGGTCGGTGATGCTGGCGGGTGTTACGGATACCCGCCCGGGGCCAGCGGTATCTTTGGCGGACGTCCTGACGAATCGAGCTTTAGCTTTGCCACGGGCGGCGGAGGGCCTGGTGAGTGGCGCGTAGCTGGGAACGGTTATACCCCTTTTGCCCCAGCAGCCGATGCTATGTCCCCGCTTGACAATGCCGAAACAGGCTACATTCTCCCGCATGGTGCAGTACCATACGGCCAATTCCCACCGGATGGCAGTATTGCTGGTGGCTTCCATTGGCCTGCACCTGAAGCAGCTGCCGGAGGCGGCGGCGGCTTGTTTCCTGCGGCTCCAGGCAGCGGTCCATGGGGACCGAATGACGATGGCCGGGGCAACGCTTCTGGCAGCGGAGGCGGAGGCGCACCGCTTGGACGGCCTCCTTCGCCGCCTGATGATGAGGATGATGAGGATGATGAGTCAGATCTGCCCGAGGACGCTGAGGCGTACATGGACTTCAGCCGCATGGCACGTGCGTTTCAGACGTGGCGACGAAACACTTGCACGCGCATGATAACCAGGTGCAGTGGGCATCGCTCCTGAAGCCGGGCAACGGGACCAGTCCGCCAATTATCCAAACTGTCTGCGTCCTCTTTCCCTCCATGTGCGACGCCGTGTGCTCCCGTTGCATGTTTCTATTGACGCCCACACTTGCACATACCCGCAGGTCTGAGCGCGACCAGGCCTTGCACAACTGGGCCGTTGCGGCTTCGTTCTGGGCGGTCCAGTTGCTGCGACGGTGCTTCACTAAATGGCACAGCCTCGCTCCTCGCAAGGCCCTGATGGCCATGTCGATCTGGGGAGACAACAGCCGTGCCGGATGCTTCAGGTGAGAGACTGGTTGTGCCATTATTATAGGTCCATCCGGTACACACACATGTATTTGGGGGATGCTTGCCTTCCACGCTGGTGTCGTGCTTTCAAAAATCGTTTCCACGTTTTGGCCGCTTAAGCAATACTCCCCGTTGCATCCACAGGCGCTGGCTAGTGTTTACGCGATTCCTCCGATCAAAGAATGCTCAGGGTGTCCGCCTCTGGCGGGTCCGCCTCCTCAAGCGCTCCTGGCGGCAGTGGAGGCACTACACTTGGTCCCGGCAACGGAAGGTGCGACAGCACGGATGAATGGATTCCTGATACCGGCCCGCGTATATGCGGCTGTGTAATTGTGTGAGGGCGTTGTGTTGGGTGCGAGGGGGGCTATAGCGTTCAGAGGCGGGCTTCCCTAGCTGAGTCGGAAGCCGATTTGGATGGAAAGCTTAAGCAAGTTCTGCGTGGTTGGCTTGCAGCTTCCAGCGGTTTTGCTCGGGTTACCTGGCCAACCCCTGTCGCAGGTGATGGCGGCCAAGAAGGCTCGGTTATTCAGGACCGACAGGATGCTGCACAGCAGCTGGCTTTCATGGCAAACCTTCACTGCCTACAGGGTACACAAGGTGCGCACATCCTTACTCCCGGTAGCAATGAAGCGCTGTGCATAACCATTTCAACGACCAACGCTCATCGCGCCTATTGTGTAGCAGCATGGCATGGCATAATGTTCACGCGGGAAGTCTACCCAGAATGGAGGCCCGGCCTTCAGTTTACATGAATCGGGCCCAGACAGTATGTGCAATGCAGTCGCTCTCACTCAACTGGCTATAGATGTTGTACCCGACCAACAGTGCAGTTCTGTACGTTGCCCCTTTGAGCAGGCGCTGATGGTTAAGAAGGCTGTGGGCTTCTGGTCAGACCTTCGGATTCGTGCCTACTGGCTGGAGTGGCGCTACTTCACCGTGACGAAGCGCAGGGTGGTAAGATTGCCAGTGGCATTCAGGCTGCGTTGCATGAATAGCTTTATTCTTGGGGTTTCACTTTCCTCCGCCAAAGTTCGGCGTTCATGGCTGCCGGGAATTGCATTGCAGTGTGTACTGATGTAAGGCATAACTACTGTACCGCGTAAGCTCTCGCGCTCAAGCTATTCCATGTCGACCCACTTCAACACCTGTCGGCTCCCGCAGACACTGGGCACCAGAAAGGCGCTGGAGTTCTGGTCGCGACGTCAGCTGCAGGCAGGCTGGCAGGCATGGCGGCGGTTTACGCTGGGGAGGCGGAGAAAGGTATCGTTACTGCACCAATTATTCCTTGCCACTGTTCAAGACAACACTCCGGGGCAAATCCCGGCAAATCCTATGGCACAGCTGTGCCTATATGTGGCTCGCAATCGTTTCACTGACTCTTCGGGCCCTGGCATTCCTTTGCACCCTTGCCGGTTCGTGCTCGTAATGTCAAATGCAGCGTAATTGCCTAACCCATTGAAGTTTGCACTTTCCCCCGTCGCGGTCGTTACAGACGCGTGGAAACAAACGGGCCCGCTCGCTTTGGGTTCGCCGTCGGCTGCGTGAGCGCTGGGCAGCGTGGCGCTCCTTCACGGCTGCAAGCCGCCGTAAGGTAGGCTGTGGAAATGTCGGCAGGCTTTGCGTGGTTTTCTGCGCAAGCCCGGAGTAATAGGTGCCGTGTTCAGTGAACGGAATTCTTGCTGTTCGTTCCCTTCGTCCCCTATCCTTACCTTCGGGCTTCCAACAAAGCCGTTCGATGGAGCCAGACCTGTCGCTCATGTAATTTCATGCGGTACTACTCGTTGAGCCTTTGCTGAGTGCACGCTGAGTTGCCTTCACGCTGATGCCGCAGACGCTGCATCTCTCGCTGGCCGTCAAGTTCTGGACCGGCTCTACACTCCGCAGTTGCTGGCGGCAATGGCGAGAGTTTACCGTCAAGCAGAGGCACAAGGTAACGCGCGCAGTCTCGACGTTACGGAGTGGCTGCACTATCTTGGCGGCGGTGCCGTACATACAAGTATAGAAGGGCGCGCCTTGTATAGTGTTCTACTGTTTTTGTTTCGCACAAACATGGCTCAGCTGCAGTAACAGGTTTCGGTGTAAACCAACCACGGTTTCTCAATTTCCTGACGCAGGCTCTGGCTTTGGAGCGTGCGTTGAATTTCTGGGCTACGCACATTCGATCTGCCTGTCTGCGCTTGTGGCGACAACATACGGCTGCTCGGCAGCGCAAGGTGATTCTCGCTTCTTGGTGCGCGTGCTGCCTTTCAGCTGACCTAAGATGTGGTCCTTCGCTTCACATGCGGTTTTCACCTATTGGAGGCGGCAGCCATCTTGTGCGGCCGCGTGCGTCTCCTCCAGTGACTTATCCTCACCCGTACATGCCAACGTATTTGTAGGCCGACGACACTAGCAAAGCGCTGCGATTGTGGACTGGTCGCACACTGGCCGCATGCTTGTCGACGTGGCAGGATTTCACGGCCAAACAGAAACGAAAGGTACGCGGCCCCTTGCTCTCAGCTACACGCAGCTGCGACTCTGCTCACCTGAGCGCTGCTCCAAGCTGAGCTGACCTGATAGTAACTTTAGCTTGATGGTTATAGGCGCTGGGATTGGCCAAGGCAGAGGGCTTGTGGAGGATTCACACGTTCCGGAACTGCCTCTCCGAGTGGAGCTTACTAGTACAGGAGGCGCGGCGGAGCTGGCAGTTGTCAGAGCAGGTGTACATGTGAGTTCTAGGGTAGCAACACGCACGAAACAGGTGATTAATCCGGGATTTAGGACCCATGACTGATTAACTAACTAAGGTGGAGTATGCTTGCGGCTACGCCAAGGGCTGCTTGGTTGGCGGTTGTTAGACAAAATTTCTAACGGCCTGACCCATCTCAACCAACCTCGCATGTATTTCACTGCATTGCAAACCCTAAGACTAGATTGGCCGCTGCCAAGAGTTCGTCTCCAGGATCTCCTGGCTATCGGCTTTTCCGTCCCTCTTGTGACTTGCCTATATCCGTGACTTTCTGCGCAGGCGTCGCTTACTGCACAACTGGCACTTGGTGGCTTGCTCGCTTGCAAAACTGTCGGCCGCATACAACACCATCCAACAAGTGGACCATCGACGGCTTTTGCTAGTGGTCATGCGGGCAAGTTTAATATCTTATTTTTCAACGCACACACGTTTCCTTGAACCAATCTCCGAAGAATAAGGTCATGGGTCCGCGACTAAAGTACAGTCTTGCCGCATGGCTGTGTTCGTGGCGTGTCTTAAACCCCTCGGGATTACGAGCTGTCGCCGTTTACCTTGCCCCTGCTTGGTAATGTATCGTGTAAATAATTATACCTAAGCTCTTTTCCGCAAGCTTATTTTCCCGGCCCTGTAATTGGCCGCCCGCCAGGCCCTTACGGACGCGTACTCAGTGCGTGACGAAGCAAGCAGACGACTGCGTGCGGCACTTACGCGCTTACATACCAGGCGCCTCCTGCACGCCTTCAATAAACTCCGAGCAGCTCGTGTCCATGGTCAGCAGAAGCGTGAGAAAAACGCAATGGCGGGACAGTGGTGGAGCAGCAGGTTAGTCATCGCATTTTGCAGCGCAGGAGCTGTGTCTGTACTCTTGACCCTTTATCCTGAGAGAAATGGTGCTCTTATAACACCTCGCAGGTGTCTCGAGAGGTATTGGGCTGTATGGCGCAAGTCTCAGGAGAGCGGCCGCAGGGCCATGGAGGTAAAGTCCCGGCAAAGCGCTTCCCGCATAGCCGTATGGTTGACGTGCACCGCTTATCCGGGGTCCATCCTTAGCGCGGGTGTGTACGCGCTGGGTGCGTAACTCGCCAGGGGGCGCACTTCCGGTCATCCCCCATGGTTCATTAACAGCTGGACGCATACCCGGTCTGCCTCACCAGTCCCGGCCAGCCACAGAGTCGCAGGTATGCTGGTTACCAAAACGTTGTAAACTTATCTCCTCCAATCCTTTTTCAGGCTGCTTGCAACTACGCCCTCAAGATTCTCAGACCGCTGCTGCGCGACGTCTTCTACTGTTGGCTGGACTGGCATGAAGGGAGGATGCTGCGCCGGTAGGTACAGGTGCAGCAGAGAACCTGTAACTGTTTGATATGCGCCTTGGCAACGCAACCCATACACTTGAGCGGCACCTTTCTGGCCCTACCTCTAAATTTGACGTGGTATGGTTTTGCCTAGCTAGCTTTTCCCATGCTTTTCTCTCGTCATTGATCCTTACCATGTCAAATATGTAGCGCGATATTGCCTAAATACAGTATTTGCTTGCCCTGGGTCATGGTGCTCCTGCCGCCAGGTCCCGTGAGACCGAGGCGCGCCATAGCATGAATGCCCGCAAGCAGCGGCTGGTAATGCGAGCGTGGTACGGCAATGTGGTAGCGAGCAGGAAGCTGAAAGCTGCCTGCCAGTCCATCATGCGGTAAGTGTCAATAGGGGTCGTGCGCGCTGTGTGTAAGTGGTGTGTGTGTGTGGGGGGGGGGGTGTTCGGGCAGAAAGGCTTCACGTCCGACTCAAGGCGAAAGCACGCAGGGCCACGTTGTAGTGGGCCTTGTATGGACGTTTGCACAAAACGCGTAATGCCGATGCAGATTATATAAACCGAGAAGGCTAGTGAATAGCCATTGTGTGTGGGCCTTTGTATGCATATCCCTTGTTTACCTGCGCAGGAACGAGGTGAAGCGGGTTATGGTATCCGCCTTGCGTCAGCTGCGGCGGGAGCATGACAATGCGCGGCGGGCGGCTGAGGGGCGCAGGGCCGTGGAGCGCGGCGCAGCCCGGCGCTGCCTGCGGCACTGGAAGGTGTGAACTTTCCCGCGGCATGTATTTACCGTCATTGCAACCTCAGGTCAACACAGCAAAGCAGCAAACGCCTACAGCGTGCGTGATGGAGTGCGTGTTAATAGCACATTTGGATTTTTGATTCGACCGAAACCCAGGTTGCCGCTTGCTGGAGGCTCAATTCTGGTTATTGCCTGCTGGTGATAGCATCAGCCATCCTAGTGCTGGCATGTACAGGTTATGATCTGTGGAGCGCGATGCTGCTGCCTTCTTTCCCGTCCTGTCTAGGCGCTGGGTCAAGCTCGGCAGGCCCAAGACGAGTGGCGAGCTCAGCGGCTCCAGCTTGTGACAGCGCAGCGCACTCGGCGCGTAATGACAGCATGGCAGCTGGTGGCCTGCCTGCACGCGGAGCACGAGCGTCTGGTGCATATCTGGTATGTCCTTGTCTACGTGGAAGGTTGAAACCTGTAGCTGGCAGGCCTCAAGCCTATGCTGATGCACTGCTGGTATGTGGTTAGGGTGGCAACGTCACGTGCTCTATGCGGTCAGGAGGGCAGTGTTACGCGCCGTCCGTCGCTTAAGGGTGTTTGTTGCGTTGCCTGGGGTCAACTCCGATTTGACAATGTCTTTGACAATGTCCCGTTGTGCCTCCTCGCAGCACTGTTCGGATCCATCGGCGCCGGGCCGCGACCATCATCCAAGCATGGCGTGGGCGGGTCCTCGGTTCGGTGACCAAGCGCATGAAGATGCTCGCGGCGCTTTTGGCGTGGGAGCGGGGTAGGTGCCTCTGCAGTGCGAGTATTCCCCTGTCTAGCACATGATCATCAGGTGGTTCACTTGAAGATGGCCTTAAGGTCCGGGTTTAAAGCGCACCATCCAAATTAATTCACCTGCTGGCTTGCACTTGCTAAGGTATAAATGCTCTTGTTAGGGGTAAGCGGTCTTGGTTCTGTTGTTGAGTTCGGTCTGCTAAGTCTCAGCTTGGAAACAGCCTACCCGGGTTGTAGCCAAGGAACAAGCAGCTTGGAAACAACCCCTAGAGGTTCCAGCATCCCGACTTAGAACGCACTTAAGACCTTTGCATCGTCCTAGGCCTTCTAGCCTTTGCTGTCATGGGTGCTCCCGTTCCCATTATGTGTGCACTCCCAGGCTTGAAGACCCGCGCATGGCGCGCCTGGAGCAACCTTCTTGCCGCTTCGCGTGCCAGCGCCAGCCGCTTTGCCATGGCAGCCCGTCATCATCGCACCAGGCGCCTGGGGCTGTGCTTCGGCGTGCTATTGAAGCTGTGGCGCGCATACCGCGAACGGCTGGGGCGTGCGCTGCGATTCCGCGATGTGCACGCCTTGGGGCTGCTCGCAGAGGTGCTGGCGGCCTGGCGGGAGCTTGTGGAAGTGCTGAAATGGAAGAACATTCGGATGCGGAGGTTAGTCAACACTAAAGCAGATTCGCATTGCAATAGGGGAGTAGGGACGCGTCTCAGTGACACTGCATGGGTGGCGACGCTTACATGGTTAAGTGCTAAGCTGCTAGGGATCACAGATTCAGGATTGTGGATTGTCAGGTGTTAACTCTCCTCTGCACCGTTCAGCTGCTGTTCGCGTGTGGCTATCATGCCATGTCGCTCCACAAATCCCCCAACTATTGTGTTATGTGCTGTGTCCTTCGCTTCGCATGCATTTCCGATACTCTCCAAACTGCTATACATAAGTCCCAACGCTTGCGATGCCCAGGGCTGAGACGCACGGCCGCCACCGGCTGCTGGCTGGCTCTCTTTACGGCTGGTATTATGTGGCCCGGCACCGCCTGGCCTCAAAGCATGCGGTAGCGGTAGCCGTATTGCACTGGGTGCGACGTCGTCGCGCCGCTGCGTTGGCGTGGTGGCGCGCCTGGGCTGCGACCCATCGGGCGATGCGGCTGCGCGGGGAGGGATATGCGCGGGTGCGGGCAACGAGAACAAAGGCATGGGTATTGGTGCGACTGAGGTGCGTCCGATTCTCTTGGTTGGGCGGCTCTTCTGTCCATGCTTGTTGAACAGGTAGGACTCACGACCAGGCGGTCCAGAACCAACAACAAGCGTAGCATGGTGGGGGTCCTTAGTCGCACAATACGTGCGGCCCAGGCCCTGTCCAAAAAACGTTTTTGGAAGAACGGACCTTGAGATATTGTACCACACGTATTATGCCTCTAGCCGCTTGGGTTCTTGGCCGTGACAAGATCGCTGTACTGTTACTGGGTGCTGAACCCACATCGCGTTCTTGCATACCGCTCCTCGCCATGTGTTCTAACAGGGCCAACGTGATCCAAAATGCGCGCATTGCGGGCGCTATTGCCCACCGCAACCGCTACATGGCGCGTCTCGCTCTGTCCGGCTGGTTGCTTCGAACCCTGCTCGCGGGGGAGTGGGTCAGCCGCTTGTGGGTAATTGCTGAGCAGGTGAGGCGCGATAAGGGTTGGAGACCTCTCCTGGGCTCGACATCCGCATTTGAGCAATGCGGGTTGTTGCGAGAGCGAAGTGCTACCGCCCGCCTGCAGCAGTCACTGTCTTCTGCCTAACCCTGGCCGTCAACGTCCTCTCCACCTCTTGTCTCCACCGCGCGGTCTGCCCCGAGCAGCTACTGGCATCACCTCTGCTAATTGTTTTCCATAAATGCATCGTTCCTCTATCTTGCTATCTTGGCCCGTGCTGTGAATACCCCGGCCGCTTTGCAGCTGTCATGGCAGCTGCTGGCGGACTCGCTGGCGGCATGGCAAGAGTTTATCCTCCACCGCCGTAGGAAGCACGGCATGATACGGACCGCCATGCACTACTGGCGCCTGGGACGCCAACGCAACGCTTGGGATAGCCTGCGCTGGCACGCCACGAACCGCCAGATCATGCGAGCAGCGATGGCACGAGGGCGTCAGGGTGCGGCATCACGCGTATTGCGGGTAAGCGCATGTGCCCGGCGCGTTGCAAAATGGGGGAAAATCGGGACACCGCATGCGAGTCGGCGTCGCAGCACTTCATGTAATGTGCAGTTTGGTGCTATGCGCGAGACATGGACAGTTGGACAGTGCATGCGTCGCTTTTTTACAATATGGCGTTGTTTGGGAAGGGGCAGAGAGGACGGCCTCCCTATGTCTGCCAGAGCCCCATGTTTGTCTTTGTATCAGGTCCAATGATTGGGCTTGCGGTGTCCTTATGGTTCCCGGAAGTTGGCGCATGATACGAGCTCTCATGATGGCTGCTCCGTGTAATTACGCTCTGCAGGCCTGGCGGGAGGAGGCGCATTACCGGCGTGGGCTGCGGGACCGCTTTGCTCTGATACAGGCGCGCTCCCGGCGGATGGTAAGCTTCGTCATGTTGAAGCCAGCGATAAGTGAGTGCTGACCCAGACAAGCATGCGGCCCTGGCCAGAAACCCGGTCCAGTCGCGAGCTTTCCGTCTATAAACTCGCCCCAGTCCTTTGCCCTTTCAATACCGTGCTTTTCAGGAAGCGCAAGCACGCACTTCTTAACCTCTTCTACCACCGTCAATGCCGTTTTGCAGGCGTTGAGGCATGGTATGGATAGATGGCGTATCTTCCTGGCACTTCGGGTGTTCCGCCGGGAACAGCATTTCGTGTCGGGGCAACACTACCTGCGGAGCACTGCGTGGCGAGCCTTCCGCAGCTGGTACAACTACCATATGCACCTGCGCCACGCATTTGAGGTAAGCCATCGTAAAATGTAACAGGCACATACTGACGTTTGGGTATGACGTACATGCTGAGCTTGTGGACTAGGGCTTTGGAAGGGAGGGGGTTTCGCACAACCGACGGCTTACGGCGTTTCAGCTTCAAATTTTAAGTAACTGAAGAGCAAAGAGCTACAACAGTCACGGAGATTTGAGGGCGCCTGCGGGTCTAGTTGAATCACTTCATTGTCACGGTCACTGGTCAATTAGGGACTGGGTTTGGAGAAGTACCGGTACCAACACGTGCAACCTTCCCTGTGTTCCTTTCTGCGTGTAGATCCTTGCACGCAAAGCAAATGCACAGATACCCACGCGGATTGTGTCACGCTGCACGCGCAGTCCTCACCTGTTGCGGCATCCTCATTGTGCATAGATTTGTATGGAATAACGGGTCTCCTGCACTGCCTGCAGCGGGCGCAGGCAATCACTCACCGCTGGCGAAGGCGCGACGCGGCAGAGGTACTGACTGCATTCGCCGAGAACGTTGTATTCCAGCGCCAGATGCGCGACGCGGCGGAGGTGTTCCGTATCACCTGCTCGCGGCGGGTCTTGGCGGCATGGCAGGAGTTTCTGGGCATCAAAAGGGCGACTGACTTTTGGAGCCATAAGCGCCTGATTGGTGAGCTTGTCTTCGCAAAGACGACGAGAGGTTGCACGATGTTTTACCCTCAATCCTAATCGCCCCGTTATTTATGTTATGCGAATCTTTTCACAGCCATGGCCTGCCCACACTTAGACTGGAGTGTGTAGGGATCCCTCTTTCCCGCGAAGACACCGCGGACGGACTTTAGGTGGTATTCATGCGGCAACCACCCGGACATCTTTCCCTCGCCCCAAAGTTGATTAGTTGCAAGGAATGGTTGTCAGTCCGTACGTTAAATGACCGGCTGGTGCTGAGAGACATAGGGACTCCTCCAAATGTCCGTCGTTAAACACCATCCTCCGTGAACCTCTATGCATGTAGATGTGTTCGGCGCCTGGGGGCAATACGTGCTTTGGAGGCGAGGTTTGCGGGCCATCGGTGCACAAGTGGCGCTGCGCTGGCGCAGCCTGACCGCTGCGCTGGTGCTGGCCACCTGGAGGGACCTTACGCGGGAGCGCCTGCGGCTCATGGAGGTGCGCCTAACGAATGGCCATGCATGATAAATACGGCCTCTAGTGCTGCGTAGGAGCCGCAGGAACTCGGTCCCTGGGATGGTACTTTGCTGAATCGCTGTGGCTATAACAGTTGTTCCGGGGGGTTTCCGCCCAGGCTTAGTCCACTGGGGAGCTATTGCTGATTGCCTTGAAGTTGAACTATTTCGTTGCTTTGTACATCGCGTTCCGCCTTCTTCTAGGGCCTATGTTTACCTTCTGTAATATCTCTCCCGCCGTCCGGCTGCGTGCCTGGCATCGGCTTGCATGTTGGGTACACTGGATGTCGGGGAGGTGATTGCGTGAAGTGATTGCGTTAGGTTGCAGCTACGCCGAACTAGCGCATGAGATAAGCAGCCACGACTTTACGGAACGGAGGGTACCGTATTACTCGCGTAGGCTTGGCATTTCATGTGCCCTTGTAACTTGACACACTAGGATCTTCGACCTTTTGCACCTACGAAGTTTCAATGTACGTGGCGTCGCTTTGTCATGCCCCAACTTCGCGTGTAGTCCGAGCGGATCCGCAGCGCCGCAGCAATCGCTGCTTTTGCCGTCATTGTATGCAACACTCCTCGCTAGGCAACCTCGAGCCGTGCGGCTCCCAAATGCCGAATGCGTAGTAATGTCTGGTCCGTCACGCCTTTCCATTACCTAATTGTTCCTCCTGGACCCGTTCCGTTCACACGCTGCCGGCTACCCTACAGCTGGGCTTCATGCTAGCGGCCAGAACCACCCGCACTGCAGTGTCGGCACTGCTGTACTCCTGGCAAGCTTATGCGGTGCGGAGCGCCCGCCGCAAGCGCACAGGCGCGTTGGTCATGGCGCGTAAGCGCGCCGCCACCCTACACGCTTGCCTGAACGGCTGGCACACCGCTGCGACAAGGCGAGCCAGCCTGAAGCGCGCTGCCGCCACTACCATCGCTAACTCTCAGCGCTCCACCCTGTTGGCTGTCTTCGGTTTCTGGTACTGGCACGCTGCGAATGCTGCGCGACTGCGGCTGATCTCAGAGCAGCTCGCAGCACGGACGCGACGTTGTCTATTGGCCGCCGCGATGGCGGCGTGGTGCTCTCACGTAGGTCGCGCGGTGCGGCTTCGAGCATTGCAGGAAACCATTGCCGCAAGTGCGAGATTCGCGGCGGCACGCGCTACGTTTGAGGCATGGCACGAACGCGCTGCCTACAAAGCTCACCTTCGGTTCGCCGAGTGCCATGTGTCTGCGCAGCTGCAGCTTAAAGTGAGTGGCGCAGTGTTCGACGAGTGGCACGCGCGAGCAGCATACAAAGCACGTCTGTGTCGGGCAGAGCGGGCCCTGGCGTGTCGTATCCGTCTGGCGACCCTGGGCAACATCTTCAGCAGCTGGCTTGGCTACAGCAACTATAAGGTGCAGTGCAAACGATCCGTGCGGGTGATGCGGTGCCGCCGCCAGCGGCGCACACAATTGGCAGTGCTACAAGGTTGGCGCATCTGGGCGGCCTACATGGCGCACCTGGCGGCGGCGGAGGCGCGAATGGCGCGACGGCATCGGGTACGCCTGCTGGCAGAGGCGTGCTGCGCGTGGCGTGCGTATACAGAATATAAGGGCCAGCTGCGAAAGGCGGAGGAGAGGGTACGGGAGCGGTGGCAACGGAGGCTTTTGGCAGAGGCTTGTATGGAGTGGCACTTGTGCGCGTGGCGCATAGGCGGGCTAAAGGCCCTGTTGGAAAGGGTACTGGTGCGGCTTACTGCACTGGCCTTTTACGGCTGGAGGTGGGTTGGACAGGGTTGGGAGCAGCCGAAATTGTTGCCTGCAGTAGGGATTGCTAACGTAGGCTGAGTGGAAGTGTGGCGAAAATATGTCGTTGCTACACCAGGGCACGTCCCATCTGATTGCAGCATTGCCGCAGGGGGTGCAGTCACTCGAGTTTTTGCCGTCAAACGCTGCAGGAACGTTCTTCACCAATGCTTGCGGAGCACTTTTCCTACACACGCATACACGATATTCTGCCCCTTTTCTCACTATTGCCCGCTCAATGTACGGTGCTCACTTTGAATACAGGGAGTTGGTTGCGGAGGGAAAACACTGGCGCGCGGTGCAGAGCGCAATGCGGGCGATGATTGCTCAGAAGCCTGCCCTTGGTGAGACTGCTTGCTACGCCATAGTCAGGTGAGAAGGGCTAACGATTTTTTTCGAAGTGCGGAACGTGCTGCATGCAAGCACCGAAGCACGCCGTTCCGTGAGAAGTCCGTCTGTACACGGAGCCCAGCACTACCCCTGATGAGAGCTCGCCTTTCGTAGTTGTCCGAATGTAGCGTTATATTTACTGGGTTGTTTCCATACCTTCCTATGTTTGGGTTGCAAGCCGTCGTGCACCGGTCTTAAACCCTTCTGATCAGGCTTCGCATGTGGCCGCTGTCATTGGTATTCTACACGTGGTACGACAACGCGCAGGAGTGCCGATACCTGCGTGACAAGACAACCGATGCCGTGTTTACGTACGCAGGTGGGGATGCAGGGTCTTGGTTGGCAGTGTCGTGAGTTGAAACACGCCATGGGAGCGGTTGGCCACCGGCAAAATGTCGCGCTCACTGCCATCTGAACGTAATGCGCTAGGGCATTTAGCGTGTTCATTCCGCGCTACTTTTACGAGCAAATGCCTTTGTGCTTCTCGCCTAATCTCAGCTTCTTGTTCGCGATCAAACCCTCACAGGCAGCTTGTTGCGCAAGGCTCTGGCGACATGGTTGGCCTATGCGCTGCGGCGCCACCACATGCGTCAGAAAATCCACCGCTTCGTCTCATCCGTCAGTGCCAAGATGCTACGCAAGACATTAAGGGAGTAAGTCGCCACACCCAGAGGCGTAGGTTACAGGTGTATCGGTCAATCTGTTGGCAAACTGCTGGCATCTGCCCAGGCGTACTATCCGCTGGGCGCAGCATGCCTCAGTACGTCGAATCGCTGGGCCCCTGGCGCCATAGGCCTTGCTTGCTGCCTTACATTTTTCGATCGCATAGCAGCTGCCTGTCCTTACTGGTTTGCTACCTGCACCCCGCAGGTGGCACCGTTTGGCAATGTACTTGGGGCGGCTGCGGCTAGCGGCGATGGTCTTGAAGCAAAGAGTGAGCGGGAAGCCCGCGGCAGGGTAGTATGACCAGCTGCGGGTCGATCACAGTAGGAGTGTGCGGTTAGCTGCGCCACCGGGATGGACCTGGTATGGAAGTGGGGAGGTGATAGGCACAGACAAAACCGTTATGGAGCCCCTTTTCTAAGGACCGGCAGGAACACTGTTCTGAGTGATGGCTCGCCGCGCAGACGGGGAAGAAGACCCAGGGCGGTGTATCCCGGCCCCAGCCAGTGTATCCCGCCACAGCTTGCTCTACTTGCCTACGCACTTACTCTCTGACCGCACAGGTGGACGACCAGATGCTGCGCTTCACGCTCGGTTTATGGCGGGAGACGGCGGCGCGCTGGGCTGGACTCAAAACTATCCTGGCGCGCAATATGGCCCGGCTGTTGTCCCTGGCCTGGGAGGTGTGGCTGGAGGAGACAGTCGCAGGGCGCAAGAAGGCGCGGGTAAGGCGGCTGGCGGAAATATTTGGGCGTATATACCACCTGCTTAGCTAGCTGGCAACCTGCCAACATGACGCTCGCACTCTTTGACTCTGCGCATGTAAATGATGTAAGATTGAGTTTTCGCGCTTGCTGCACCGAGTCCGTTACGATTGTGGGCAATTGCGCTGACCTACCTCACCTCTATTCGGTTTCGTCTTCACAAGGATTACTCCATTCCATTCGTGCCTTCCGTCCTGTGCAATGGGACCGTACTGTGAGTTGCGTTACCCTTCATGGTGCTGCCTGCCCTTCAGGCGGTCAGCTTCATTGGTGCCCGCTGGGCACGTCGCGACCTGGCAGCTCTCTTCGCCGCCTGGCACCGTCTGGTGACAGCCCTCAATGCCGCGCGCCGAATCCTGGCGCGAGCGCAGCGGCGGCACAAGGAGTGGGCATGGGCGGTCTGGCAGGAGGTTGTGTTCCAAATGGCCCTCGAACGCGGAAATGAGCTGCATCAGCGGCGGATCGCGGTACGAGCCTTGCAAGGCTGGCACGATGTAGTGGTGGACGCGCGGCGTGAAGCGGTGCTTAAGGCACAGATGCAGCGTCGGGTTGTTGAAGAGGTAAGTTGTGGAACTTCGAGGGAAGGGGGCCTCGCCCAGGCGCGCAGTCTTGGCACGGGTGTGAGAGCGTCCTGTTATAGTCGTCTTGTCGGGATATGAACATCATGAACAGAAAGGCGTCCGTGGGTGCCGCACGTGTGCAGGGAGCGTCCGGGTGTATCATCAGTTGGGGGAGGCTATGGCTCTGCCTGGTCACCCGCTTTTTGGATATGCATGTCGGGCAAAAGTCCAAAACTCTGAGATGAGGGAGAGCAAGGCCCGCCGATTGCACTTTGAAGGCTGAGACACTCCCTTGATCCATGGCTGCAGGCCTTCATGGAGTTGCGGCGACAGTGGCTCGCGCAGACTTACTACCGCAGATTGTACTACCGCCGCACGCTTGGGGGCTGGTACAAGCGCGCTCAGGAGCTGCGCCAAGAACGGGCACGCCTTTGGCATGCCTCCCGCGCCATCCTTTACGGCTGCCTTGCGCGGTGCTTCACTGTCTGGTGGCAACACACCCAGGTCGGTTGCCTACGACTCGACAAATCGAAGGGGAAAGCCCTCGCCGAACGATGCTTTGTTTCCGTGAGAAAGGAGGAGCTTTAACAACTCAAAATTTAATTTGGAGATGCAAGAGGACCGAACCAACAACAGCGGCCCTGAGGAGCGTCCGACATAGAGCGCCTTCTCCTGGATGAGTGTAGGAATGCGTACCACACACGTGGGGATTGTCACGGCCGTCTGCTGCTCCATATCATCCCATCCATTGCCAATACGTAAGCGCTTCTTGAAGTTTTCCATGGTCCCTTTTTTCAATTCAGTAATCACCTGCAGCCCCGCCGCGCCTCTGCTGCGCGGAAGCCAATTGCGCTGAAAGTTTTCTTTCTCCTCCTTGCTACTTCGGCATGTGGCAGGCAATGACCATCAAGCGCGCCGTGTTCGTTCGCAAGCAGCGGGCTTTGGCTGAGGCGCTGCGGCGGGGCGACGAGCTGGTGGCCCGCAGGAATGCGGAGCTGGCGGAGCTGACTTTCAGGGCCTGGCGTATGCTGGTGCGTCGCCAGTCGGGGTGGGATGGGGCGCTCGGTAGTGCGCCCGACCGGGTAACTGGCGTCAAAGAAACTCAGACGGACTGGGCGAGATAAGCGCTACCAGCTGGCCTCACGTTTGTCGAGTACGTAGGATCGGTCACAGGAGGGCTGGGGTACGCAAGAAAGTACCAAGTCCGTTCCGAGTGGTTGGCCCACTGGGCATAGCTGCAAACATTCAGGCGTGGTAATCGCTGTGTGCTCTCCGTAGGCTTGCTCTGAAGGGCCGTGAATCGTTACACGGCGCTGCGTTTGCGAGCACACTGATGAGATGGCTTTAAGTGTTGAGTTTTTGTGCCGGCGCTGTCGCAGGCGAGCCGTTACAAGGAGGTGCACCGGCGGCGGGCAGTGCTGGGTGCACGCCTGGTCGCGGGCGTGTGGGCAGATTGGCGCGAGACCACCTTAACCCGGCGGGCGACGAAAGCCAAGATGGTGCGCATGGAACAGCTGCGGGGTTGTAGCGTGTCGTGCTATTGCGCTATCGTCATCATTTTCGAGCGTTAGAGAAGCCGCGGAATGTCACGAGCAAGGCAAATCGTCTGGCACCTTCTGTTCGCTTGGCTTGCAGGATTTTGCAAAAGTCTTGGCTTATCGTGGGCCAACGAGAGCAGTAGGGTCACCATGAGGGTCACATGGACTAATCCTGAACGTCGTGAAGTCGAGCCCCTTTCATCTTGTTCACCTCATGAAGAATTTCCTACACCAATCATTTCCATCATTGGGAACCACCATCCAGCTCACGACAAAATTGTTGTGCATAGAACCACACGTAACATCTCCTGCACCTAAGTGCACCGAACCCCCTTCTCTGCCACGGCCCCTCATGCCGCAGGCCGCTGTGCTTCGCCGGCGTCTCCTCGCACGGCCCTTCACCGCTTGGCGCAAGGCCGCAGCCGCAGCTGCGTCCAAGCTGGACATTGCCGACTCGCATCGCCGCGCGGTGTTGCTGGATGCAGCCTTGAGCGCCTGGCTTGTCCACCACAATGATGTGGCTTCTCGCCGCATGGCGCTGCGTCGCGCATTAGCAGCAGGTTGGGCTGCGGCTGCTGCAGCCTTGCGCGCGCGCGCGTGGGAAGCATGGTGCGAGGCCATGTTGCGGCGGATGGCGGTGCGGCAGGTGGTGGAACAAGCGTTCCAGCGCCGCTGCAGACGGAGGCTGGGCCAGGCCTTCGACGTGTGGCTGAAGTACACACAGGTAATGGGGCACCATAGACACCCACAGCTGGCACATACAGCTGCCGCCTGCCTTCCACATCACGTTGTCCAGCTGCTTTAAAACACCTCCAAACCGCAGCAGCTCCGTTGTCCATGCCGTCTGTTACAGCGCCGCAGACCCGCTCCTTTCCGAAGCTTTGCCATGTCATACCATGCACAACAGCACACGTATAGTGAGATGTGTGCTTTGCGAGTTCGGACTTCGCCGCAATGTAGTATTTGTTGCTGACAATGCTTCGGAGATCCTCCTAATTATATCTCGGGGTCGACTCGGGCGGGTTCTGCCACCATCCTGCAGGCAATGCGCACAGGTGGCATTGACCCAGGCTCCCCTTATCTGACTCCTCGTGACCGCGACGTCGATCGCCGGCTGGTCACCAGGATGGCGGCACTGGCTGGAAACGATCAGGTAGGCTCGTTGATGAGTGGGGAGATGGGTACAGCAGGTTGGCATTGTCGCTACATTGTCTGCCTGGCTTGCTGCGTGACTGAAAGGGTACGGGCTGCGTCCATGCCCTCCCACAGCCCCTGGTGGTCCGTTTCCCTCCGATTTTGCGCCCTCCTGGTGTATCCTGCAAGGCATCTCAGTCACCCATGACCTAATTATCTGACAAGTGCGTGTCGCGAGGCCCTTCAGTGTCCTCTGCTTCATTGGCCATTACAGCACTAGCCTCCTAAGTAATACACAGCGCATGGCACCCCGCCTCGCCCGGCCACAACACCCCGCCTGGGGTCCCCTCTGCAGGCGCTCGCGGGTCCCGAGATCGCGTCGTCAGCAGGCGTGCTGGACGGCCTCTATCCTTCGAGTGCACTCAAGCACGCCCTGGAGCGGCGGCAGGAAGTCTCGGCCTTCCTGTCCTTGGCGCGCAACACCCTCTCCGCCGGCGGCGCCCGCCGTACGCCCGGCTCTGCCTTCGCCTCCGCGATGCTGGCGGAGCGCCAACGACAGGGGGATCGGCGGGCCAGTCACGGCAGTGGCAGTGGGAGCGGCAGCACGGCTGGGAGCAGCCACGGCAGTTCCCTGGTCTCGGCGCCTTCCTCTGGGGCAAACGGAGCCGACTTGTCGGAACTTGCGCTGCAAGTCGTGCGGGTGAGGGATACGTGTCCACGCAATCTACGTTAGTAGCAGGGAGCAGGGAGGACCAGGTGGAAAGGCTCAGCCAGGCGGAACGGGCTTGCGGTAGCGGGGCCACTGGAAACTACGAGGGAAACAGGAAAAAGAACGTGTTTGCATACATGGGATTATACAATGGATCCGACCGGATCACCGGTACTGTCCGCACCAAAACACTGTACAGCCAAGAATGGCTCGAAATCGTTTTGTATTTGCGCTGGATGCTTGTCCGATAAAGGAAAGGGTACTTCAGATGTTATGGCTTGTCTTCGTGGCCAGTGACGTCTTGCTTGCTCATTGCAGCCTATCCAGGGAAGGAGCGCTACCGGCCTTAATATACGAGTCACCGTTGCATGGGAATAATGCACACTTCCCTGCCTATTTGCGTGTGTTGCGTACCCAGGCAACACCCGGGCTCAGCCCCGCAGGCAAGACTCGGGCCCCAACGGCTCCGAGGCCGCGGCCAACGAAACCCTTGAGCTCGGACCTTGGCATTAGCGGCAGTCTCTACGACGATAGGTGAGATGGGATAGTGTCCTATTGGACTTGGAGGAGCGCTTGGTGTTGCGTCGGTACCTCGCTTACGTCTCACCATTAGGGCCAGTTGCGGACTAAGCGTATACCGCGTTTTCGCCTTCTCCACAGGCTAGACTTGCGTGCTCTATATGACAACGTCGGGATGCGCGCTAGCTACCCTCCGCCGCCAGCCGCGGCAGCAACGGCAGGTCTGCCGCCGCCTGGCCCCTTCGGCGGATTCACCCCCGTCCGCCCGCTGGGCGATAGCCCGATGCCGTTGCCGCGAGGCGTCGTCATGCCTTCCAACCCCGCTTCCGCTGCGCACATCGCGCCGCGCCGCATTGATTTCACGGGGTCTCGTGGCGATGTTGGCACATCGGTGATCCCGCTGCCGGCAGCGTACGATAATAGCCAATACTATTACGGGTATGGCACTCCGTCAAGGTCCCAGCAAGCGCGCGTTGGCGCTGACAGCGACATCTCCAGCGTCACAAGCGGCGAACTGCTGCCCCTGGATGAGGTGCAGGCGCGAGCTATTGCCCCGGCTGCTGCTGAAAAGCCACCGGCGGTGGCAGCGGTTCCCTTCTGGATTAGTGGCACGACACCCGGGGCACGGCATGCTTCAGCCAAGGGCAGGAACTGGGCTTGGGGCTCATCACCCCAGGCTACCGGTGGGAAGGTTAATGTTGGGGATGGGGCAGGGAGCACACAAGCCAGCTTGGGACAACAGCAGGCAGCAGTCAGTGGGCGGATGGCAGGGGGGGGGGTCCTGCAGGGCGAAAGACACATCCCGGGGCGACCGACGTCTGGAGGATGGGCAGGTGGGACAGGGACAGGGGCGAGCAGCATTGCGCGCGGCCTGCTATCCACGGCGGCAGCGGCGGGAACCGGTTTTCGTGCGTCCATCCTCGATATACGCGCGGCGCAGGGCCGCTGATGGGTAGCGTGCATCTGCCCTACTGCCGTCCAAGCCAAGGCCGGGGAGGAGCTTCGTGGCAAGCAATTTGTGTGGAAGGCACCAAAATAGGGCTAGGCGTTGTTGGTAGACAACTTTGGGATTGGGTGTAGCTTGCTGGCTCTTACCAGGGCCAGTCCGTAGCTTGCTAATCTGTAAGTTACATGGCAAAGGCGGTACAGGTGGCCTGTTCTTGAAGGCTTACCTTGGCGGAGAATGTGTGCGCGTGCGTGTGCGTGTGCGTTTGTGGTGTACAGCTTTATTCCTGGAGGTTAGCGACCTTAGTTGGCTGAATATTTTGGTTGGACGCCTAGGCATATCCTATCACGGGGTGTTAAGACAAGCGTCGTGTTGTTTGGTGCTATTTGGTCCAGACGTTGGCTAGAGTAGATTTTTGTACAGGCGTGTGGCTGCATGCGATGGGCATGCGATGGGCGTGCCAAAGGCGGCTGGCAAGACGGCACCACGGGGTTTGGCGCCGATGGTGGGTCAACGGCTTCCATTGGGGATATAGATACGCCCCAGAAGACAGTTCAGCGTGCATGCGCACAACCCAAGTATGTTGCATTCGCGCGTGTAGTGTGCAGAGCAGGCGAGCTGCCAGATAAGTTCTTGCATCGGTGGAGCTCTAGTCCATGCGAAGGTTGGTAGAAAGTAGAAAGGAGCATGCAAACCACCGTACTGAGTTGCAAAGATTTCCCGCATACGTATCATTGTGTGTTTGTGTGTGCAACGTGTGGTACGTTTTGGGGTGGTGTGAGGGCCATGTTGCCAGTGCAACTTCTTAATCACATGGGCGTACTTAAAAGTTGAGTGCTGGAAGTCCCACTGCGCGGCGCCCACGCCGCAAGCGCATGCTGTGCCGCGCGCACTGTTGGGAGGCGGCTTGGGCACACTTGGGTGGTGGCAGCGAACAGAGCATGACACGTCCAAGTCGATATAGAGGGCGCCAACAAGGCCGTACATCCGCCGAGGTGTGGATCCCAACGGGCCGCGTTGCGCTTGTAGTTGATTGGATCCTTCCAAAATTCCATCTAGGATCTTCCAATAGTAAATACTGTCTGTGGCGTGCCATATGCGCTTGAAAGTCGTGGCAAGGCTTTAAGTGGATGCTGTTGCAGTGGAATTTTTTTACAGCGCTCCTAATCGCGATCGGTGTACCGTCATGTTGTAAGTATTCGCTGCCTGGGGTCGCCTTGCATCAGTTGAAGCCTTTGTTTTCCCTGGCACACACCGCACATAAAAAATGCTGAAAATAAGAATTGTGGCGTGCAGTTGGTCCCTTGCACCTACTCCAGTGGTGCCAGAGTTGCAAAGGGCAGGCTTCCTACCCGATTCGAACCAGTCCCTAGCCCAAGGTTATGACTTTACCAGCTGGGTCCTGACCTCCATCGCGTATCGCAGTGGTTGGGAGAGCTGCGGTCTTGTCGAGCACGCCCCAAATCCCCAAGACCATGGCCAACGTGCCGCAACGCGCAGAAACCCACGTCCATACGTTTCGCTGCCACGCACACCAAGGGCAAGGCAGAGAGCACAGCTGGATTGCCTATACCCGCAGGTGTCTTGCTGTTCTTGGCGCTGTCTTGACGAAGGAGGTGGACACACCATGCAAGTTTCAGGATTCCTTCCTTCAGTCCCGTGATACAGGGATGAAACTATCAAGGTGCTCATTAACCTAAACACGCCGAAAGGTAAAACCCGGTAAAGCTCGGGCAAATTTCGACCAAGGCTTCGACCTCGTCGTGGATGCCTGGCTGTAACTGCCTCAACAAACTTCGTAATCTGCAATCTGCTCAAACAGTCGAACGGAGAATGCATAGCGGCCATCCGAAAAGCATACCATATTGATCTATTTTAATACAGCACGCACAGTTTCTATCAACAACCATCATAAAATCGCCATCTTTCTCTGCAGGTTTTGCGCTTAAATGGTAAACTGGGGCCAGTCGGCAATCGGAATGTTGTATGGCCGCAGAATGAGTCACGGCCGTTGCATCTAGCGACGATCATGCCAAAACGAGGGAACGGACGCTTCCAAACATCGCATCAAGCTTCTCAGTTTTTAGGATATAAGAAATAAGGCTAACAGGGTAATAGCGACCAGGATACGGAACGACCATCTGCTTTTGGGCGAGCTGTCAAGCCTACCGCCATGCATTAGCCTTGAAAAAAATACAGAAATAATTCACTTATATATTATATAGCCCATAATAAAATGTCTTTGTTCAGTCAACATCAACGTCGGACCCAAGAGGTGCCACGTCGGGGCTGCTGTCTGAGCTGTATGCCTCCATGACTCTCACCTCTTCAAGTAATGATAGGTATAAACATGAATATTTTTATGATGGTTTCCTGGGTGATGTAATACGTTTCACCTTTTGTTTCGTGTTAGGGAAAATTCGTTGTCGAGCGCTAGGACTGAGTGTCACACGCATAAGCGCACGTTGCTGCTAACCACTAATGCGTAATATATGCTCTGAACATCATTAAATCGAAATTCCTAGTATATGGAAAGCCACTTATCTATCGGCAGACCACCAGCTGGTGGTCTGCGGCGATGCTGCAGCATCGCCGGCTTATCCGTACGTACTAGTCCAGCCTTCAAATTCGCAGCAAGAAACGTATACTGCATTTCAAGTTGATGCCATAGCCATGTGAATCACATGTAAGGTCACACCGTTGCACACTCCCGGCTTACTTGGCCTACACTGAAATAGGGGACCATTATCACAGGGCGGTGTAGGAGGCCCGAGACGTCGCCGGATGCGTCTGCGACAGTTTGCGGCCATGCTATCAAGGCATTGGAAGCTAATTTTGCGCAGGTCGGTCCACCGCTCCTGTCGCTTTTGTTCTCGCGAGCACACACATATGTTAAGGACAATCCACCCTCATTGTCCACACTGCATGCCGGAGATTTTGTCAGTTGTACGCCAGCATTCTTCTTCTTCTTCTTACCATGCGGCGCACGGCTCAATTGTGTTCTGATAAGTAAGGTGCATGCTTGCTATGAAACCCTCTGTAACGTACGCTGTGCCAAAACACTTTGAAATCATGCTTGCTGTCTTATACTATTACAGGTTAATACTACAAAGGACGGCTGCGGTGGCTCGGAGGGTAACCCTTTGTTGACGACGTGGCAGCTCGCAATCTACAGCAGTGATGTGCTCCGCTACATGGCGCGGCTTCTTTGATTGTCAGGTTTTTCAGACGTCGCTTGCCAAAGTATGGATGGAAGACATTCCGGCTTCATGTCGGATAGCGGTCCGCTACGCGTCGTCATGTCCACAGCGACCCTTCAATCACCGACTTTAGCAAGCAAGGCGGCAGCGGTGGCGCAACGGCAGACATCATCATCGTGCACGCATCGGTTTAACAATGGTGTGGATGTAGGAATCACTGGCCGATTGCTTCTAGTTCTATGATCCGTATCTGTAAGGGCCTCGATAGCGTCGTGTTTCGTTGTTCGTCCATGATTGCTCGCCATCCATATGTGGGACGAAACATATCGTGTTCGTATGTTGCATAAGATCTTCTTGATAATATTGTTCATCCACAAGGACGGCTGGCGGAGCAGTTCTCAAATAGCCAGAATCCACTATCCCGTCCGGATCCCCAACCAAACGCAGTCCCCCTTGCCGCCGCTTAGCCCGCTCGCATAAGATTCTTTCCAACGAGCCGGACCGCTCGGACGATTGATCGTCCAGCTCCTGCTGATCAGGCGAGTGCCCGAGCGCCGAGTGTCTACAAACAATCAAACACATGAGCCGCATAAGTCAAACCTAAACGCATTATGATCAGCATCATCAGCATCATGCCGACGATTCGTTCCATATAAATCATGCCGCACAAAAAACCCTCACATTGATGTCGTCATCGGTTACGCGACGGCCATCCTGCTCTGCTCTCTGGGATGGAAAGGTCACAAACCCTTCCGGAAACCTGGCATCGGTATTCTCGTTGTTGCATATTTTTGTGGTGGCACTTGTTGTCCGGCCCGGTTCGCATTTATGAGGGTCGGGCGGGCAAATGGTTGGTCGCGGAAGAGGACATCGGGTCGATCGAGGCGGGATGCACCTAGTGGCCTGTGGTGGGGCAGCAGTAGCAGTAGCAGCAGCAGCAGCCGCTGCTGCTACTGCTGCTGAGGGTGGGTGAAGTTATGGAGGGCTGTTCTGTGGACAACCGCTGCACCCTGCTTTTCATGTGATTGTGGTGGTACATTCATTGATCTTGTTGCTGTCCTTGATGCTCGCCGCTGGAAGCTTACGTAGCTTCGTTACTTCGTGTTCGTGGTGGATATTAGCAATGAATTTGTTTTCGAGAAATCGTGTTGTGATAGGCGCTTTTTTGCCGCCCGATCACATTCTTTGAGTACTGCTGGATCAATTTAACAGGGTCATTACTGGTCGCATGGCGCAAGCCCTTCAGCCTACACCGTTTGGCTCGTCGCATGAACCAAATATATAAATGCGGAACATACGCGAGTGTGCGTGAGTTCGCGTGTCAATTGCGTGAAGGTGTGTGAAATCAAAGCTTTACAAGAGCCCGGGAGGAGGACGGCGGATGGCTCGAATCCATCAATATGTCTCTGATGGTAGTGGGCTGTTGTCGTATCGGTACGGATGTTGTTGTTTGTGGTGCCTCCACCGCCGAATTCACATAGACCTGAGCGGAACGCCGTCGATTAGCAATCACCTGCTGCCAGTATGCAGTAGCCATTTCCCCATGCACTTACTAATTTCATAGACGTGTTCATGTCGTAAACGATCATCCGGCATCATCACCTTGGTAGCTGGTTAGGAAGGGAGGCCGTGGTTCAAAGTGGGGGTTATGCTGTTGTCTGCTACAAAGGTTTTGGCACTTGGGTTGGGAATACTGTTGGTCTGGCGGGTGCAGCGGAGCGGTCAATCACATTCTGGGGTGTTTTGCTCGGATGCAGTGCGAGGGGGAGTGGGGCTAGCGCGTGCCACTACTGCCTGCAATCACTCACCTTCGTGTGCGTGTATGTGCTCAACTGTGTCGTCAGCGGGATGCAATCATGTGGCGTGTCGCATCTCTTTTCTTTTCCGATGTGCATGTTTGCAGTACGGGGTTGCAGCTCTTGGGGAAGGCCGTGATTATCCGGCCTCGGGCCTTAGATCTTCATCGCGAGATCCCCCGCCAGCTGCACCCCCTGCTTCGTGACGCTGAGCCTCGAGGAGGCGGCTTTAGTTCACCCGGGGGATGTCGTGGGTTGGGGGTCGCCCCTAGAGGCAAGGGGCAACTCAGCCAACAAAGAGGAGGCGTGGGTGTTGAAGTGTTAGGCTTGCCGCTGAGTTATCGAAGTACCCTGCAGCCGCTGATACCCTCTATCATCATGCGCTTAGCCAGGGTGAGTGCAATTAACTAGGTAGGTCTGCAGTAAGTCCGCGGAAACCGTTTTGAGAAGGACACTATATTTCGTCCTTTGCACTTCATTTGTTCATAATTTTGTGGTTATAGGTCATGGGGTTGTCGTGGCAGGCGTGGGCCGTGGCTGCGTTTCCACGGGGAAGCGCGGAAGGTCGCCCGCCTGTCAGTTGTTCGTGTACGGGTGCGGCTGCTTGTTCGCCTCGGCAGCGATGTTCAAACCTGCTCGGCCGATAAGGGGAATACTCAAGTTCCTGTCCCTCAAGGCGGCGGGACACACGATTATGTGCGTGGGGGCGATGGTGGGTGGCGCATGACGGTGGTGGGTTCTCAGCTTGCTTCTGTGAGCCGATTCCCGTTGTACTCCCCATGCCAGGTGGTTGTCCAGGTGGCAGCACGACGTGGCGCTCTTGTTTTCTTGCCGTTGGCGTTCGAAGAGGTGTTACGGAGCGGCTACGCAAAATTGTCCTAAGACTGCTGCTGAGTATGCCTGGATGCTTGTGCAATCGTTGCTAAGCTGCTGTCTCTCTAGCTGTCTACATTTCTACCCTGTAATTGGTATTAGCGCGGCCATTTATTTATGCGCTTATGCAGGAGACCAATTAAGCAGATGGTCCTACTTCACTCTTCAAACATGTTTAGGATGTCTCCTGACATGTTTCGTTTCGTTTCGTTTCCCCCGCAAGGAGTTTTACCGTTTCGGAGCAACCTCAGTCTTAAGGGGATAAAAAGGGAATTCCAGGCGATTTCGCTTTCTAGGCCAGGCCGGGCAAAAGCAGTAAGAAAGGGAAAATCGTTTCCTGGCGCAGGTTTTCGTCTCTGCCCCGGTATTGGAAGGTATTGATTGCGACATTTAGCCACCATCTATTGGCCGTTTTATATTGCTCACTACACATCAACTGTTGTTGTGGTGCAACAACGTCAGCGATTTATGCACAAGTACAAGGCACGCGCCCTGCGAGTGGTGGAATAGAGTACGGCAGCCCGATGGACGACAACGGCAGCAGTTCTCAAATGATTTCGGTGACCCCATCCACAGCTGCACACGCGCCACGGCAGTAGCAGCGACCATGCATGTGACGGAGATTCATGCAGCGGCCTCGAGCAAAGCAGGACATTCTTTAGAGCCTATGTATCGTTTTCCATTCGCCATGCGTTTGACGAATGTACCAACATCAGGGGCATGCGATGTAAGACGCACAACTAAGCCGGCGCGGTTCACGTGCGGAGATGAATAGGCAAGATTGGAGAAACAAGGTAGAAAATACCACACAGCATACCCAGGGCATTTTCACAAGCGGGCGACCCTGCCGTTGGGTAGTTGTGTTGGCGCGGCGCGAGTCGGCGTGCACGCTACGCGATACAAGCATCCACACGCTTAAATTTGCCTCCATCGAATTGCTGCACATTGATTACTCCTTATCCAGTTAATTATACATTTTGCAGGCCTTATTTGGCACACTGTGAGCCATGTGAACAGAGGCAAGCTTTATAGGTTTCATTCTGGGGCAATGCATGACAGCGCTGAAGGTCCTCCTGAAGTGGATGGAGGGGAAAATGGTGCGCACTAGGTCTTGTCCTGCTGTATACCTTGGTCTTAGTGCTTAACGCGGACGGTGACACGCTGGCGATGTCCGCACTCTGGTGTGCGTAATAAACAAGCCGCCTAAGACTCTAGAACGGTAACGCTCGAAAACTTGACATCCGTAACAGGCTCAACCTTTACCATAAGAAGACGGCTATCCATCAAAACTTTCCTAGCTGGCTTCGCGGCGTCGTTTCTGTAGCCAAGATAGAAGGGGAAACGTGACATGCATTACACGATTTTAATTGTACGCATCATTCGCGCAATCATAATCTCTACTTTTAGAACGAATTGAATGTCTGGAAACTAAACGGCTCACGCGTTCCCGATTACTTCTTGGCTGCGTGTAAGTCTTCGCAATGACCGAGTAACAAAATGAAAATTTTGAATGACAAACACCCGCGCAACTAGTTCTTGGAGTACGGCATGCAGTACTTCGAGTAAATTTCAACTTGTGCGGCACATTCCGACATTGATGCCATTGAATCGATTCATTCGAATGCACATAGTATTAATATACACGAATGGGGAACTCTTGTAACAAAGTGACACCTATCGTCTGCACGGCTCGCGTGACGTGCACTGTGCCGATATGGTGCGCAGTCGCACAACCTGAGTCAAAAATATATCCTGATGTTATAGAACCCAAGCAGCGAGAAGAAGGTCAGTTGCAGCCTACGTTTCAGGAGGGTCCTCTCACGCTAAATCGGGCATCAACAGCCGAGGCGGGGACGCCGAGTCGTCGAGGGCTGACGCTTGACCCAGTCGAGCCATTCCAGCCAACAGAACCGTGTTCACCAGCTGTTGCCCAGCGCGTCGAAGCAGTCGTTACGGATGATTCGGAGCCAGCCAATGATAACCCTGCCACTTCGAACGTTGTCGCCGCGTCGCCAAAAGCGGCAAAGGAACAGGAGGCGTTGGAAATTACCGATGCAGAAGGATTAGGAAGGCGGCCTGAGTCTTTCAGCGACCGCACGGCGCAGCACGAAGTGCAGGAAGAACCAGCGGCTGATGACGCTAAGGATCCCGCTGAACATGGCTTAATGTCCGATGGGGAATCTGAGTCTTCTGGGGATACATCTTCAAGCGCGTCTGAAAGTGACTCAACTAAAGATGAGGAATCCGACGACGATGCTTCATCGCAAGCTTCGTCGGCGAGAGACGCTGATAAGGAGGAGGAGGACAATCGCCAATCGTCGGATGAGGAGGGCGAACCGGATGCAATGTCCGAGGATTCTTCAATAGGGCTGGAGGCATTTACGTTTGCTCCCGCTGCGCTAGTGGCTCTGGAACAATTTCATCTTAAGGACAAAGCGGAAATTTTGTCGCGCCGGCTGGCAGGGAGGGCTTGTGTCCAGCTGCTTCAGTCGATTTGCTTGCACGTTCTGGACACTGGTGCCGCTGCACAGAACTGCCAGCTATTGCTGGCACAAATTCAAGTTGTTGTACACGTTATCGCGCACGCTCAGCAGATTGGCGCCCGCAAGGCAGTTCGAATGCTCCTTGAAGACCTTCAACCAATACTTGTGGGCTCTGAGGCAGTCATTAGAAGCTGGAGCCATAAGGGCACTATGAAAAAGTTTATGTCTGGGCGGGCAGCGGATGAAGAGTTCCTGGAGCTGCATTTGCAGTTGAAGGAGTTTTCACAGGTACGTCCTCACCGTCCACCAACGTCATCATTACTACCACCACCACCACCACAACCACTATCACCATTCCTCCCCCCTTCACACGCTTCAAAACGGGGTTTTCCAAGCACATCTGCTGGCCCGTGCCGGGACTAGGCAATCGCATACACGCTTACCTTTCCCCTCATTCCCCGCTCCCCCGACCTCGCCCCCCGGCCCGCCTCGTCATAACAGCATCCATTTCCGCAACCCCAACAGGACACGGACCCCACCTCCTTCCCCCACTACTTGACCTTCCGTCACCGCCATCTCACTCACACCACCGCTCTTGTATTCGCTAGTTTCCGCTCTATACCTGCCCCGACACGATCACCCGCAACGACCTGCTTACATGTTCCCCCGTTCCCCCCTTCGCTCACCCTCCCTACCACACAGTCCCCGGCCTTCGTGCACCTGTTCTCCTCGCTGCCCCCGGACGAGGCTGCGGAGCTCTCGGAGCTTCAGGCCAGTCAGCAGCTGGGCGGCTACACATCCGTGGAGGCCAACCGGGCCGCCTTTGAGCGCCTGCTCCTGCTCTTCATCCTGCGGTACAAACCCACCAAGGTCCGCACCCAGAGACAGAGGCTCGTGGACCTGCTCGCCGCGTACAACAAGGCGAGGAGCTGCGGAGGCGGCGACGGCAACCAGGAGGGGCAGGGCGGTGAAGGCGCCGACTTCGGCGGGAAGACGGTGGACGAGCAGATTGAGCACTTGGCCAAGACGCGGCTGGGTCGTGCGGCCAAGCACGCGGTGCCGCTGATGCAGGTGCTGATGACCAACATGTGGGGTGCGGATCCGGCCTCGGTGCCGCCCTCTCGGGTGGGCAAGTGGCGCTTGGCGGTGCGGATGGCGCTGGAGCCGCTGCGGGTCGCCACGGGGTCCCTGCAGCTGCCGCAGGTACCCGAGGAAGACGTGCAGGAGTGGGTGGAGTCGTAATTGTAGTAGTAGTAGTAGTAGAAGGAGGAGGAGGTACGGGGAGGATAAGTGTAGCGTAGGCAGGTGAAAGCGTGCGGACAGCGGCGGACGGGAAGTTGCATCCCTGCCAGAGCTGACGGCGCCCGCACTGCCGGACACTTGGGCAGCGAGCCAGTCGTTGTGTTGTTGCTGTTGTTGGTTAGCTGTTGCTGTTTTAAAAGTTGTATAAGGGTTGTGGCTCTAGGGCCTCTTGGTCTGCTCTGGAAGAGGGCTTGAGTTCTGAGGGGGCAGCTGTCAGGGGTAGTTTGCAATGTGCGTGCGCGCGGTGGAGGGGGCATGCAGCGGCATTGGTGGGGACGAAGGCGGCCTCCCAACTGCTGAAGAACACACCAGGGTAGGGGGGTACTGCTGAAGAACAGCTTTACGCAGGAGGTACATTCCCGCAGGAGGCTGCGGTTTATCTTAGGTGGGTGGGTGAGCTGAACTCGTCGTGAGGAGAAGCGTTTGCGGCGCAAAGAGCTCGGCTCCTTCCGGTTCCATTTAGTATTGTTGCGATGAAATGGCAGCGGCCTTGCAAGAATTCGGCGCGGTATTGCCGGGTGGTGTTGAACTGTGATATTCCTAGATGAAGCTAAGCGCGATGTCCTTCAAGGGCAGGTTGGCGCTGCAGATACTGGCAGGAGCACGTCGCGATGCTGAGGGTGGGTCGGGGTGTGGGCGGGCTGCAATGTTGCGGAGAGAGCTGTGTGCGTCCGTCCGTCCGTCCGTCTTCCGGTGGAGAGTTGTGGAGCTCTGTGGTGGTTATGTTCAAAGGGAGAGGCTCCTGGATGCGTGCAGGTGAGGTGGGTGGCTTCCACCCCGCGGGTAGGATCGGAGGGAGGGGCTGAGGAGGGAGGGGCTGAGGAGGAAGGGTCCCGGGCGGAGCTGAGATTGGCAGGTTGTGCAGTGCTGGCTGAAATCTGTGCGTTGCGTTCATAGCACACCCCATGTTATTGATATGTATAGACACGCATGAAGAGCGGGTGTTGGCCACACGCACACGAGCACGTGCATGCGGGTCCCATCTGTGCATCTGTACCGGCGGTGAGGGCGGAGAGTGCTCAACATCGAAGTTCATCATAGGGCCCCTGGCGAGACACAGCGCTTCCGGAGCTCAGCGCGGGAGAGGAGGTTATAGCTGCTCGAGTGGGGCCGAAAGTTCCCCTCCCCGCCGTATTAATCATTCATCTTGACCCCTTAGGGGCCCCGTCCAGCGCGGGGGCCAACAGACCCAAGCTGCGCCTTACAAGGTAGTGGTGCGACCCGGACCAAAGATGACGATGCGACGTCTGCCGCGGTTCGGTATCGTTGCGTTGTATACGTGTATTGATAATGTGGTACGCAAGTTTGGTGATATGGTCGTTTTAGCAGCGGTGGTGCGCTTTATTTGCTTGGCTGTGGCCTCACAGCAAACAGCCATACATGCGCACCTGTTTGCGTATGTATGTATGTGTGTCGCTGTAGGCAGGTGTGCTTTGCAGGGATTGGACAAGTACGCGTGTGTGTGTGTGTGTGTGTTGGGGGTTTCATGTTTAGCCACCGAGCATTGCATTGCACTGCAGACATATATAAATATATAAGCAAGGGAACTGCGATAATGCACAACGTGTGTGTACTCCTGGTGTGCTGGGGGGATTGAGGGGGCGCATTGCGGCAGTAAGGATAGCCTTGACTTGCTGACACACTCCTCAGGTGCTCCCGATGGCGCCCTCCCTCCCCGGGGCCCTGGACCTCATGGTGTTGTGTTGGTGCCGTTATGAACTCGTTGTGTACGGCAGCTTCTAGGTTGTTCGGCTGTGTTGTGGATTGCATGTGCGCTTGTATCAAGCATAGATAATCAACCTTATAATTCTCTGGGTTGCAGCATGTCTGCTCCTTTTCTTCCCTCTAGCCATTTATGGTATATCACACGTAAGCAAGCTTGCTGTTGGACAGGGAGGGCAGATCGGCCTGCCGCGGGTTCGCTTCCGCTTCCGCTCGGTTGAGGCCATCTTGCTTGGTGGCTTCTTTCTGGCTGGTGGCCCGTTGTCGCCCTTCATTGCCCTTGGGCGCTTGCTGCCTTTTTGGTTCTTTCATCGTTTTTGTTTTTGTAGATTGATCGATTTTGGAGAGGGCAGCAGATGCACAGCGCAGCAGTATACGTCGGAATATACAGACCGGCACTGCAACGCCAGGTCTGGGTGAGGTGGTGATTTGGGTTATGATAAGGGGCACTGCAGATTGCATAGGTCGTCCTGTCAGTTTATGAAGCGAATGAAGCTCTTTGCCTAATTGTAACTGCTATAACTACAATAGGAAACGTTCACGGCCTACCTCGACTTCCGATAAGTAAATAAACGACGAAGGAGAAAACTTTAATGGAACATGAGGCAAGCGGGGTGTTATTCCCAGGCACCCGCTGAGGTTCTCTCTTCCATTCCAAGGGTGCGAGTAAATTGTGGGAGGACTTGCGTATTGCGTATATGTTGGAGGGGCCCATGGGTCCTCACAAGATTATGCGGCAAACCAGCTCTTTGCAGGAGTCAGCGATGCCGGTATGAGGATTGTACTTGGAGGGCCACCAGCCACAATCGCTCAACGTACAGCTCTAAAAATGTGCGAATAAAGTAAATGTTAACCTTGGGGAACCTTGGGATGCGTCACAAGGTTACCCACCACCAGTTCTCGCTACACCCGGTCAAATTGCAAATTATGGCGCATAAGTCCTTCTGATGCTCTGCTACATGTATGACAATGTACTTCAATGCGGTAATGTCACTTGGACGACAACCAATGGTGGGAAACAGTTGGAACTTGGTTGGCTGTCAATACTTGGGCGCAAGCGTGGATAGTTTATCACATGCGGTACAGAAGTATTCTCCACAATTGAAGTAATGCCGACTCATCCAGATTTAAAGTGCTGGGCGTGCAAGTCGCAGCCTTGAGCAGTTCGGCAACCGTCGATCTGTTCCATATCAGCATCAAGCGACCGACCCTGGCCTGACTTTAGCTATGGCTATCGATCGCGCCCCCGTAAACGTGCGAATTTGGAGCGATGGAATGCACGCGAGGTTCAAGCAAGGCATCATCAGCCGCTTGGTAGCTATGGTAACGCTTTTCATTTACACTGGATGGATGCACATCCTCTTCGCGCTTTTCATCCTGGCAATCTGCCGGTACACTTGGGCCATCGTTGCACTCCTCGGCTTGTACGCGACCCTGCTGCTGCCTCCCAAGCCAGTGCTATGGGGCCCCTTCTGCCGCTCCTGGATATTCCGAACATGGCGCGAGTAAGTCCCAAATTCGAGCATCTGCTCCAAGCTCAACTCGGCCCGTGATTATCAATTTCCGTACCTGGTTCCGTACCTCCAAAACCCTCCTAGATACTTTATGTTTAGCTACATGTTCGAGGAAGTCCTGGATCCCAACAAGAAGTACATCTTCGCTGAGTGAGTCGGAAGAAGGAGACGAGGCGGCGCAAGGGGGGAGACGGGGATGCAGGCGGTAGGGGCAGGAGGGAAACCAACCCGGGAAGGGGCGGCGGGGCGCCGCGGGCATCCACTGATCGGAACCATCGTATCGCAATGCCCACAGGCAATGACCACTCGAACCAGATATGTTCCACTGCGCGCTTCTGAACCCGATAGAACCGCACTAAGCACCGAACTAGCTTTTAGCCTCAGGCCTTAAACCGCATCACCCACCCACCCAACCACTGCCCCCCACTCCACATCGCCACCACGACTCCCACCCACCTCCCCTTCGGCGGATCCCTCCTCCTGGCCGCTGTCACATCATGGCGTCATCATCATCATCATCACCACCATCATCGTCATCATCATCATCGTCATTACATCATCACCACCACCTTCCGCAGGTTCCCCCACGGTGTGTGGTAATGGGTGGGTGGGGTGGGCGATACACACACGCGGTGTTTGCGTGCGTGTGGGGTATTGCGCGGTTAGCGGCACCGGCCACCACATGCGGGCTTTTGCGGCTCAATCCACTGTGGGCGCAAACTTTTATGAAGATAGATGACAGGAGTACGTACGCATACAAACATACAAACATACACACGTTTACGTGCTCACCGGTAACTGAGCTACGGACCCTCTTGAGCTGAAACCCGCCCCGTCTCCCTCCCGCTGCCTCCGCGGGGGCCCCCCTGCCCGGGGCGGCACTACCCGGGCTCCCCCCCTCCCCTTCCGGGGGTATCCGCAGGTGTCTTCCCGATGGGAGCGCTGCTGGGCGCCACGGAGTGTCAGTCCATGTTCCCGGGCTTCCACATCTTCGGCCTGGCGGCCAATGTGGTGTTCTCGGTGCCCTTCTGGCGGCACTTCATGGCGTGGCTGGGCTCGGTGCCCGCCACCACCCGCCACTTCAAGAAGGTGCTCAAGGCAGGCTCGGTGGCGGTCATTGTCGGCGGCATCGCGGAAATGTACATGCAGGACGTGTGCAAGGAGCAGGTGCTGGGGGGCTGTGGTTCGGGTATATGGGGGAGAAGGGGCGGTCAGGGGGCTGACTCACCGCCATCGCGGCGACAAGGAGGGCCGTATGCACTGCTACTGCTGCTGGAGGTCCGAGCCGGTTGCCGAGCAGTCCGTACCACACCGCTCACACCCGCACACCCTCACAGGCCTTTAGGTACCTCCTCCCTCGGGCATTCGGTGCTGGGACCTACAGACAGTATTGGTATTTTGCATTCTGCATATAATAAATAGTTCTCAACCCATCACACCACACCAGCCCAGCCCACACCACACCAGGGCCCCCCGCCCCGCCCCCCCCCCCGGGAGTCATTGCCCTGGGAGCGCTCTGGCTGCTTCCGTGTCCCTCGCTGCGGTTCCCGGTCTCCCTCTAGCAGCCGCCTCCTGTCGGGGCTGCTGCTGTTCTTCTTGTCGTTGCTGTTGTTGTTGTTCTCACCCAACCCGGGCACCCCCGCAGGTGATGCTCCGAGACCGCAAGGGCTTCGTACGGGTGGCAGTGGAGGAGGGTGTTGACGGGGGCATCGTGCCTGTCTTCCATTTCGGCAACTCCAGGGTGGGTGGTAAGGTTGGCTGGTTGGCTGGTTGGCCGTTCACCTCCCTCGTCGTCCACCCGCCCACACCACCCTCCAACACCCTCGCACCCCGCACCACCACCCCATAGGTTTTGGACTTCGGCCCCCAGGGCCTCAGCTCCCTGAGCCGCCAGCTGCGGGCCGCATTGGGCTTCCTGTACGGCATCTGGTACTTGCCGCTACCCCGACCCCGGCCCATTTACATGGTGGTGGGGAAGCCCATTGCCGTACCCCAAGTACGGCGGGAGGATCCCAAGGTGTGTTCTTGTGTGTGCGGGGCGGGGCGGGGTGAAGGGGCGCGCAGAGGACGTGTGTGGGTGTATTAGGCGGGTTGGCGTGGCGCAGACCGGCGGAGTAGGGCACGTGTCGGGGGGATGTGGGTTTCGGCGCTGGTGGTCGCTGAGTGAGCGGCGGAGGTGGTGGAGGTGGCGGAGCGAAGCAGCTCTGGATCGCAGCACTCGGGATGGAAACAATGCCGTCAGCGACAAGGGGGGTGAAGGGGTGGAGGGGCACAAGGGGGTACATGGCACGGCATGGGGCCCTGGGCGCCGGGCAAGAGCTCTCGACACTGCAGGCCGCATCCGGCCGGGGTGCAACCCAACGGCAACCCTGGGGGCTCTTTAGACTGTTTTGCCACCCTTTGACAAACAACCTCCCCCTGGCTCCGTTCGCCTTTTGCTGCCGTACCTGGCGAGTTCTGCAGTACGAGGAGGTGGTCAATGAGGTCCACGCGCGCGTCTGCAGTGCGCTGCAACAGATGTACGACGATCACCGGGCGGAGTACGGCTGGTCGGACCGGCCGCTCGTCATAAATTGACGACATCCGGTGTTGTATCTCTTCTGGCCACCCTGCCCTTCCGTGTGGGGGCGCTCTGCGGGGTGAAGTACAGGGGCCACGTAAATTATGTGGCTGCGGAAATGACTCTCCACATGCGCGCGCTTCCCTTCGCAATTTGCTTCGGGCCATGTGACGGCTGGGTGCTGTACGACTATAACGCACAAGTCTTAAGTGACGAAGAAATGTGGATGGCGATGCCATGGCGATGTCATGACGATGGGGGGGGGAAGGAGTGTATTTGCGTTTGGTGCTGAGCGCGAGGGCGAAGAGAAGGAGGAGGACGTAAAAGCCGTTTGTCTGACATGTGGCCTACATGTCTGCGCTGTACGCCGTGTATGTGCGCTTGTGTTGTGCCGCAACTGAAAAGGTTATTTCGAGGCTGCTCTACGGCTTAAAACGATTGATGCTAGAGAGCCATTCTTACCTTGCCTGCGCAGTGAAGGAGCTGGAAAAAGGTGGGACAGGATCGCTGTAGAGTGAGCTCAGGGTGAAATAGGTGTACTCAACCACCCAACCACCAACTACCTACCCGCTGCCAGTATGTTGTCCCTGGCTAACCTCCACAGCCCCCGGGGCCCCTCCAGCAGGAGGCCGCTCCCGCGCTCCAGGGTAGCCGCAGCAGCCCGCAGCCTCCTGCCCGCCTGGCTAGCCGTACCGAGGGTTTGATCCGATAACACGTCCGCCATGTGGGACCAAAGGTGCGCCAGGGCTCTGTTACATTCCAGCCCATCCATGCGAACTGTTACAGCAAGATTGCCGAACAACTCCTAACAAGACTTGCCCATGTATAGATTTATATCAACATACGCTGTACAGAGGTAAATTGCAAAACTTGGACCATGTGCAGTTTTAGGATTCAATGTGCGTCATTTCACCTACATCCCTAAATTGGCCATTCATATGTTGGTCATCACTCGGTAACCCTGCCAAACCGGTCGGTAACTGGCTGGTAGGGTAGCCGACATAACGAGCTAACGACCCAGTAAGTGGGGGTTCACCGACCGATAAGGTTACTGGTAGGGTTACCGGTCATTATCTGGAAATGTCGGTTACCCTACTAAACTGACCGGTTGGGTTGTAGTTAACCGGTCGGTGACCGATGGCCCTTTTATGTCATAGGGGGGCCGCGGTGTGCGTGCACGCTGCGGCGCCCGCTGTTTCTGCTCACGCTGCCTTGATTGCGGTGCGGCCTCCCGCGGTTTCCTCTGGTTGACATGGAGGCGGCGCGCAATGCACCGTCCATGGATTTGCATCGCCGCCTTAGCAGCAGGTGTGCATACACCAGATTCATACATCACTCCCGCCGCCGACATTCTTCGGTTTCCAAAAGGGAGCAGTTGGCATGGATGGGGGCCTTTATTAACTGGGTTTACGTGGTGGTTCGCACCGCCTAAGTATGGTTACAGTACGATTACAGTAATAGAGCAGGAAGGCAGCAGCGGGGAGAGAAGATTACAGCGGCTTTTGCGGTTGCGAAGGAAGAGTTGCGCGATGCGCTGTATATTTTGATTTGAGCTGTTGACCTATTTCATCGAACATCCGTACAACTGTAGAAATGGACGCTGAGATATCCTTCTATTGAGAAGCATTTTACCTTCCTACGCTATATGATTACGTAGTCAACGTAATAAGGTTGGGAGGTAACAGAATGACCACGGCCAGGGCTAACATAGCCCACCATGAGAGAAGGTACACGTCATGGATGGATTTCAGCAATCCCCAAACGGCATTGAGGAGAAGTTGTTCACAATCCCTCTCTATGTCCGGTGTGCAATCCTTCCACACCGGTGGCATGTATGACATTAAAACACTATTCCTTCCCCCCGGACCGCGGCAACCAGCTGCAGGCGGTGCACCAGCCAGTCACTAAACCCTCCGCCTGCACCCTCGCGTTCAGCACCGAGACGCGCACATCAGCAGCACCTCACCGGGCTCCAACTCTATTAACCAACGCAAACTGTCATCATCATCGCGAAGGAGCCAAAAAAATAAAACGATTCGATTCAAGAGCAGCAGGAGGAAAAGGAAAACAGCGAGACCTGACTGACAGAAAAAAGAAAGCCGTTCAGACCTGGAAAGGAACCCTGAAGATACGAGGCAGATTTCGCGGCGGGTGCCGACTGCCCTTAAAATTAATCATCCACTGCAGCTTTGCCGGCGCCCCCCCCCCGGCAGCTTCACCGCACCCCACCGGGACCTTCATTCCGTCTCCGTGCTCGCCGATAAGTCTCCATGAAGCCCTCCACCTCCCAGGAGGGCCCTGATCCAATGCAACACCGCCACGCGAACGCTGCCGCCTCACATCCACACGGCCGCCCCCTCCCCCTCTCCGGATGATGGCCCCCGCTCAGTTGCAAACTCCCTAGACGAGACCGCACACCGGTCACAGGTCGGGTCCGGAGGAGCAATACCGCCCGCTCCTGCACAGGGACTGACTAAGGCGGGTGACAGGTACCTAGGCGGTACCTAGGCGGCCCTATCTCCTATTTCACCAGCAAAATAACGTATAGGTTCTCTCGCGGCTCGACTCTCTCGCGGCTCGACATACACAGCGATCGATCTCTTTCACCACTGGGCCCCTTAACCTGCGGTTTCCAGCTTTTGAACAGCAGCACAATACAGCACCGACAGCACAGCTTGTGCCACAGCCCGTACGACGATGACACTGTATCGTGCCACTGCTAATGCTAAAAAGACCTTATCTTATTGAGACGCGTCCGTCCTGCCTTGTAGGGGCTTCCCTCGAGTAACCCCCGGGGGGGGGAGACATCAACGATAAACGCAGAGGGGGATAGCTACCAGGCGAGGCGAGAAAGGTCCACATTGTTAATAAGAGGAAGAAAAAAGAGAAAAGGAAAAGCAAAAGGCAAGAGAGCGCTTAAAACGTTGCTGAGATACTCGGGGACCATATACAACACGTGAACGACGGTGGTGCAGTTAAATATTGTGGCGACGGTTTATATAATAATTCAGACATAACAGACACTGCAGGTATACCGCAAAAACACAGAGCACACCATGCCAGGCTATGAAACTCGACCTACCTCCATGACCCAGTCGCCGCTCCCCGGCCCCCTCTCCCCCGCCCCCCTCGCCCACATGACCCGCCCAGCACACCCCCGATACAGACCCGCCCCCAAACTTGCCAGAGTTCCGTACCCATATCCTCCCCATCCTACAACCATCCCCCGACCTCCATCACTTCCATCACTTCCCAATCACGCCGCCAGGCATTACCGGTCCACCATCCCCACGGGTGCCCCTCCTCTGCTTTCTTCCTGCCGCAGTTTCCCCGGGAGATCAGGTCACCCCGGCCTCCGGGCCACCCAACCCAACCCAACCCAACCCAACCACCCTCGTGTTGTACACAGGGCTCGCTCCTACAACACCCCCTGAGCGACCCACCCTCAGGCAGGTGGGGAGGCGCGAGGGGCCGTTGAGGCGGCGTGCACCAACCTAGGCTAAAAGTAAGCACCTCATATATACCCCCCCCATACCCCACCACTACCCGCATCCCACTCCCCATCAGGTCATCAGCGGACCCGCAGCAGACCCCGCAGCTCCGAAACCACTCCACACAGCCGCTCTCGGAACACCCGCCGACTGAGGCGGCTCAGGTCGAAGGTCCGCGGGTCGAGGCCCATGCTGGCGGCGGCCACTGCGGCGGCGGCGGCGGCCGCACTCGCGGTCCCGGGGGGGTCGGTGGGTGCCAGGAGCTTGTCCAGGGCGGCGCCCACCTGGTCCGCGACCCGTGGGTCGGAGGACTGCAACCACAACCAGTGTCGCCCAGGGGGTGCAATATAGCCCACACAGGTCCAAGATACGACGGACCGAAATAAGGCCACGGTGGGGAAATACACACACACACGGGTGGGATCTGATGAGTGAGGTGCAGAGCGACGAAGAGTGACTTGGGGCATTGCTACGTGGCCCCCAAGTGCTAGGTAGGTAAACACGTGGGTGCACATGGGCAACTCCGAGCTCTTCTATCCGCACCGCCCGTGTAAGTGATTGGAGAGCATCTTGAGCTTGTATTAACACGCATACAAAACGTCACGACGGAACATCTCATCCACCGGGAAAACGGAGATATACGCATACACAGACATACACGCGCACACGGATACTCACACACGTGTAAAATTGCATGTAGCTTCCCCCCATGCTGTTGATATCTCGCTGGGACCCTTACGATATGGTGTGGGGTGGGTATGCATACCCCATCGATGCCCATACCCACACACATACATCCGTAAGCCGCAACCCTACCGGCGCCTACCTGCACCAGAGCGGCCCCCAGGTTGCCAAACGCTGCGGGCTCTGCTTGCAGCAGGGGCAACAGCGCATCCCCCGCCAGCTCCACCACATCGGGACCCACATCGCCTGAAGGGGGGAAAGGAAGGGGAGATACGTACGGCAAACACGTCAAGGGGAAACAGCTGCCGATATGTCCATATATAAAGCACCAACTGCCGCATGAGACCTACTGGAGGAAGGGGGAGGGGAGGGGGGGATTCGGAGCCAGTACCAACCGGGGGAGAGAGGAACCAAGATCCAAGTCCACGCCGTCAACCTCCACATCACCCAGATGGCCCCCTTATCCCCCCTTGCTGCAGCCCCCCACACCGTCCCAACACCCACCCACCCATCAACACGATCTGCATGAGCAGCTGCACCAGGTGGGCAGCCAGGGGGCCACCACCCGCCGCCGCAGGGGCCTGGTGGGCTCCGAAACCCCGGCCACCATTGAGCAGCGACTGGTGGTGGTACTTGGCCAGGCCTGTTGGAAGGCAGAGGGAGGGCAGGGCAGGGCAGGGAAAGGAAGCGAACACGTTGTTAATATACGCAGGGGATGACTCCTCCTCCCCCCACTCCTCCTCCTCCGCCCCCCAGCCGGCCCCCACTCACCCGCCAGGCCCTCCAGCGCCGACTGCACTACCACGCCGTCGAAGCCACCGGCGCTGACCGAGGGAACAGAAGAACAACGCGAGGACGCGGAGGACGCGCCGCCCGGCCCCAGCCCGTTAGCTCCGGATACAACATTGGCTGCACCAGCGCCATGCTGTTGTTGTTGCTGCTGCTGCTGCTGGTTGTGGACGAGTGAGTAGCCCCGGGCACCCGCCTCAAGGCAGGATAGCAGGGTGGCGAAGTGAGGGGCCGGCAGCGCCACCACCTGTGCGGGTGTTTGGTGGTGTGTGTGTGTGGGGGGGTATGGGGGCCCCAGGACAGCGAATTGGGGGTTGGGGGACCCAAGCGGATGCGAGGTGCTCATATTGCAGCAAAGGAACCCCTCTAGCTCGAGGCCAGTCCCCTCCTTTTCCCTCCATCTCTTTCCACCCCCCCAAGACCACCGCTACCACCACTAGTGCCACCACCACTACACCCACCCACCGCATGTGGGTGCACCTCCATCATGTACGCCAGCAGGGAGAACAGCAGCCGGGTCAGTTTGCCCCCCGTACCGCCACCGCCTGCCGCCCCGGCCCCGGCGGCAGTAGCGGCCGCCAGCAGCTCGGGGGTCAGCAGCGGCAGTAGCACATCCAGACCCGTCAGGACCACCTGCAGCCCGCTCGGAAACCGGGTCAGAGCTCGCGTCGCTAAAAGAAAACAAGGAAGTGATGTGAGAAGAGACATCATCATCGTCGGGATGATGAGAAGCGCACTGCCTTGAGGGTCTCACGCGAGAGAAAAAGTGTGCGAGCTTGCTTGTTGTGTACACTGCACCGACACGCACTCCCCCCGGCAGTTCCAGCCGCCCGCTTGTCTTCCTTCACACGCACCGCACCGCTACCGCTACCGCACCGCACCGGGGGCAGAGGGCCGTGTAACCCCCAGCCCAGCCCAGGAGCCCTCACCTGCGTGTGTGTGTGTGTGTGTTCATGCACATGGCGGGGGAGACAGTACACAGTACACAGTACACAGTACACACTACATAAGTGTGGCATTGCCATCTGGACACATGAGCTAGAATGGAGGGGAAGAAGGAAGGAGGGAAGGAAGACCTAGCCAACGCAGCCGCGCTCCCCCTCGCCATCCTCGTACACCCCGCAATCACAATGTACCTAACCCCACAATCCCCAACCACGTTCCCCCTCCCTTTCCCCCCTCACTCCCTGCCAACCCCCCACCTGCGCGACACCGGATTCGTTCTCGCCCACCACCAGACCGCCGCCGCCGCCGCCGCCGCCACCCGCTGCAACCCCAGCTCCCGCCGCCGCCATGCCGCCTTGCAGTGGCCCCTTGGGGGTGTTGCCCCTGCTGCTGCTGCTGCCGGCGGCCCCGGGGCCCAGCCCTGCGCCCCCCATGTTGACTGACCGCGGGGTGGATCCCGCACTGCTGGTGGTGGCCCAGCCGTCCGAGGCGGCGGCCGCCAGGGCCACATCCCGCTGGGTGATGTGTGTGAGCAGCTGCAGCAGTGCACGCAGCTCCCGGGCGGCGTCCTGAGCGGCGTCCTCGCGGAGGAGCGCCGCGGACCCTAGGCAGGGGGGTTGCGTGCGTGTGCATGTGCGTGTGTGTAAGCTTAGTTGTCTGTATGTTCAGTGATCTTCGGAGCCGTGATCGGGGAGGGGGGAAATGCCGTATGGGTGGTGCGGTACACTGGAGAATAACTCCATACCGACGCCAGCTCCGGATAGTCACGTGCGACATGGTGGAAGTTTCCATTAGGACTGCAGACGTAGCTGCTTGCGTTTTCCAAAGTAGACGTTGATATTTAAAAAGTGATGTCACGAGCCCATAGGATTACGCGGAGGCGGCGCTGTAGTGGCGAAGGGCGACTAAGGGCTAGGGACTGCCTACTACAGACACTGAGGGCACCAAAGGTCCCAGCTAGGTAGGACTTGACACCCCATGCTCCTGTCCTAAGCTCTAGCGGACATTGCAGAGGCTCATGCTGCTACCACAGCACGTGTGGGCCCCCTAGCAGGGCGCAGGTTGTTGCGCTCGCTCCTAGGTGCCCGGCCGGCCACCTAGGCCTCTGCTGCGGCATCCGGGTCGATATCGCCCCGCGGGAGAGGTCGTCTGGCGGGAGGGGAGGGGAGCTCGTGCACCGGTCCAGCGTGTTGCGCCGAGGGAGAGGTAACCAGGTAGGTAGGTAGGTAGGTAGGTAGGTAGGTAGCTGGAAAACCCGAACACACTAGAAGAGCGCAGCACACGGCCCATATACCGCGCGCCTCACCCATATACCGGGTGTGAATAGACGAATGGAGCAAATAGGTGGGAAGAGGTGCGCGGCGGTTTGCTAGCGGACTCGTGCAAAGGGAAGGATTTGTTGTTGTGCTGCTTCTCTAGCAGCTGGCGCTGTCCGACCGTTACCACCCGACTCGCGTGAACCGGGGAAGCCGGGTGTAGACACGAGTGTAGAAATGTGTGTGTGGGCGCGTGTCTGTGTCTGTCTGTGTGTAGAGGGTTGTTGAAATGAACTGAGCCGCGAGGCGGTTGTGCTGGAGATGCTACATGCGCAACTTTGGCCAAGCAATATACGTGTGCTTATGCGGAGCGGATGTTGGGACAGTCGCAGCTCAGCAGGCAGCCAGCCACCCACCTGCCGTTGCGGCGCCTTGGCGCTCCTGGCTGCGGCTGTGGTGCAACCGGTGGGGATGGTGGTGGTGGTTGCTGTGGGCCTTCCTGCGCGCCCCGGCTGCTGCTGCTGCTGCGGCCGCTGCCAGCGACACCCTGGCCGCCCGGCCCAGTCGGTACTGCCTCAGCAGCTCCAGCACCCAGCTCATCAGCATGTGGGCCTGATCGCTCTGCGGTAGGGAAGCAAACACCAATCAGGGCGGTCACTAGGGGGTGAACCCGCGGGGTCGGGGGGAAATGGAGCCGGACGACCCGCGGATGGGGGGTGGGGAGTGGGGATCATATGCAGATTGCAAGGAGTCAGCTGTCGACGTTCAAAGCGGCATCAACCAGGAAGCCCCGGGTGGTGCCAACAGTGCAAGGCACGAGGACCTGGGGGTGTGTGAGACGAGGGCCGCAAGGGGGACGGAAGGGGTGTGCAGCAGCAGCAGCAGGGCAATGGGCCTCTAGTTACACAGCGCCAGCTACCACCCGCTGCGCCCCTCGCCTTTCTTCAGTTTCGCAGCTCAGTTGGAAAAAGTTAAATGCATCCACATGGACAGGTACACATACAGGCATATCGCCCGCACAATGAACATACATAGCTAGTTGTCTGCTTATTGAGTCGCCGTTCCGTGAAGCCCACACCAAAACGCACCTGCAGGTACCCCACGTGGTGCTCCACAACGGCTGCCGCCAATTTGAGCAGCACCGCACCGACCCGTGGGTCATCTCCAAAGGCCCGCTGCAGCACCAACAACGGAGCCAGCAGCTCAGACAACAGCGCCCACCCGGCGGCGCGAGCAGGGGGACCGGCGGCGGCGGCGCCGCGACATGCGCCACCGCGCAGCACCTCCAGCATGCCGCACAGCGCCGCGATGACGTCAGCACGTGCCGTCATGTCGTACAGGTCGTGTCGTGTCGCCAGCGCGCGGACCTCCGCCGTCGTGGGCCCCAGCAGCTGAGTGATGTAGTGTCCGGCGGCGGTGGCAGCGGCGGCGGCGCCGGGACCCCCGACGGCGACATCCGCGGAGGGGAAGCCACACGCCGCCTGACAGAGGCTCTGCAAAGCAACCAGTGACATACACAAACATGCACCCGCACACGCGCAACACATACCATTGCGTCTAGAGGACTGAATGTCGTAACACGCAAGTCGCGTGTTTCTGTCTGTCCGTCTGTATGTCTTGTCCGTCTGTATGTATATTTGTGTTACACATCGATCAGGGCCTGACGCTGGCCAGGGGCAACCCATGTATGCATTCCAATCCGATCCTCCCCCACCTTGGTTAGTCGCTGGCTCTCCACGTAGCATCATAGCAAGCCCACCCCTCCTCTCCCCTCCCCTCCAAACCGCCATGGCCCCCTCCTGCTGCCCCCCTTCCGCTACTCTGTTCCCCCTCTCCCACCTGGCTGAGCCAGCGTTGCAGCTTGGGTGCCAGTCCAGCAGCCAGCTGCGGCCGCCTGGCTGCGAAGGCCCCACAGAGCTCCCCCCAGGAGCGGCTGCAGTCCAGCAGGGAGGACGACAGGGGGCGGCGGCGGGAGAGAACGGGAAGCAGCACCGTACACACCTGTAGGGTGGGGGGAAAGGGGTGGAGGGAGTGAAGGGGATAAGTGGAGGGGTAGGTTGTGGGAGCAAAACGAACCACTGGCGAATGGAGCAGATACCATAGATAGACGGGTAGTCCAGGAGAAGATAAATGTTGTCAGGAAAAAATACTGACCAGTGATGTCATCTGCGTGATCGTCTTGGCGGCGACGTGGCCAGCTTGGATTGCGAAACGAGTGACTAGCTGGCAAGTCCAAAGTCCAGAGAAGGCTGGCAAAAAACGCGGAAGAACTACCTAGCCGCCTAGGTTGTGGGGGTTGACGGGGACGTGGGTGGGTTTGGGAAAGCTAACCCGGGTTGCCTCACCCCTCACCATCCCATGGAGCTCCGCCTCCCCAGGGAAGGCCACCAGGCAGGTGGACGCCAGCCTGGCTAGGCCGTCCGCCACAGCCTCTGCCTGCCCCGACCCACGGGTCGCATATGCCGCAGTGAGGGCTGCCGGTAGCCCCTCCGCCTCCTCCGGGAACAGGTACGTGTCGCTCCACCTGGCCAGCGACCAGACACACGACTCCATCAGCCTGCGGGGAACAGCATGAGATCAGGCGAGATAAAATGACATCATGGAGCAGTTAACCGCCAAGCAGGCCCCCCCTCCACCCCACCTGGGACTGAGTACCGCCGCCGCCCCCTCCTGCAGCGCCAGTGCCGGCAGACCCAGCAGGGCCGCAGTGAGCCCCTCCACGGCTGCAACGGAGGGACCGCCGCCCTCCATGGCTATGGACAGGGGCAGGGGCATCAGCGGAGTCTCACCTGCAGGGGGGGGGAAGTGCGGGTGTGAGTGTGTGTGTGGGGGGGGTTGAGGTGTGTGTGTGGGGGTGTTTAGGGGAAGACAAACCGCGATCGTGTGAAGTTGATGCCAACGGTGGAGGGTGGAGGGTGGGGGAGACAGGCAAGTCGAGGCGTAGTTCAGTTCACACGCAACACACACCCACGGAAACCCACTGCCGGTGCCAAGGCCAATACGCAAGGGGGGAAGAGGCTGCTGAAGGTGAAAGCTTCTCTGCTGCAGGAGGGACATGGTGGCTTGGGTTGTAACCAGCGGAGGAGAGAGAGAGAAAGAGCGGGGGGGGGAAGAAGAGAAGTAGTAGGACCGCCCAGCGCTATACACGAGAGTCCGGGCCCAGCCATGTGTGTTTCAGCACGTCGCCTACGGGCGTATAACCCGCCAGCAGCCCCGGAGCGGTCATACTTCCCTTCCCCTTCCCATCCCCTCTCCCCATCCCACCCTAACCCCGCCCCCCCCGAGACCGCTGACCGCACCTGCCCCGCTATCCGCCAGGCAATGTGCCGCCATGCGCACCAGCCAGCACAACCGCTCCAGGGACACAGCCCACGCCTCCCCGCCTGAGCCCCCGGCGGCCGCCGCCGCCGCCAGCAGCTGCTGCTGCGCCGCCGCCATGGCCCCCGCCAGCAGAGGGAACGTGGCGGCGGGTGCAGCACGGGCCAGCATCGCCGCCTCCGCCATGCGTGCATCCTCAGCTGCCGCCTCCGCCGCCTCGTTCTCCACCGCAATGTCCTGGGACCGCCGGGGTGGGGTTGGTCATCAACGAGGGCGGAAGAAGCGAAGAACCGATTGCCCCGACGTTCAAAGCGGGGGGTTGTGTGTCTACATGTGTGTATGTGTATGTGTATGTGTATGTGTATGTGTATGTGTATGTGTATGTGTATGTGTATGTGTATGTGTGAGAGAGGGGGTCCCCTAAGGGGGACATCTAATGGAATGTGTGTGTGCGTGTGTGTGTGTTTACGGGTTGGGGGTCGAACTAGTGTGTGTGTGGGGGGGGGGGGGCCGGGCTGGCAACCCCTGAATCAGCTCCAAGGCGTGAGCCCCTCTTGGGTCGCCAGTACTCCCCTTCCCAGTCCCCCTCCCCCTCCCCCCCCTCTCCTTGGGCCCCCCTCCTCTGCCGCCTCCACGTGCCCACCTCCCCCCCACCCCACACATGCACCTGAAGCTCCCGGGGCACCCACCAGCTCCCCCCCGTTAACATCACAGTGCACATTGCTCTCCCAGTGGCGGTGCTGGCCCCGCTTCTCTGTTATCGCTCACCTGCCCCCCTCCCGTCACCTCCTGCTCCGCCGCCCTCATGGCCGCCTCCACCAGCGCCCCGAACACCGCCGCAGCGCCCTCCGCCAGACCCGGCAGGCTGGGGGGACCCAGCACCCCCACTGACAGGGGCAGGACCAGGGGGTTGCTGCAGTCGCGCTGGACCATAAGAGCCCACGACTGGGGGGAAGGAGGACGGGGGCCCGTGTGCGTGTGTGCATGTGCGTGCGTATGTATGTATGTGTGCATATCCGAGGAGGCAGGCAGCGGATCTAACAGCGATCGGAGAAGGGTTAAGAGGGCGGGTTAAGGAAGCGAGGTAGCAAGGTGGAATAGGGCCCAACAGGCGGGTAGTGGATATACGCAAGTATGGGGGAAGGGGAGGGGTGTGGGCGGAGGGCAGTGGGCATGCGGGCATGGAGGAATGATATACCGATAGACAACACTATGCATAGCGTAAATTTATCAAAATTAACTAAGGTGAGGACGGGTAGGGGGGGTTTGCTGGGGGGGGGCTCCTGCCCTTCCCCCCCTCACACACACACACACATGGTTGGCGGCGTATCTCCTGTTCGGTTCCGTACTCCCTCCCCACCCAGTCCCCCAACCCCGGGCTCCGGAGACGTGAGCTCGCGTCCGAATTCCGTCGTTACCGTCTGCATGCGCCATGTGTGTCCTCCTAGAAAATAAACCTAAAAATCCTCCTTCCTTCTTCCCCCTTCCTTGTGTGGTATTTGTGCTCTCTCTCTCTTCCACTTTCTCTTCCCTCTCACTCACCTCCACCAGCATGTCCTTGCATTCCACCACCCACTGCTCCGAATCCGGAATACAGCTGACACGGATGACCTCCAGGGTTAGTGCCTGGGGCAGGGGGAGCGGGGGGGGGGGGAGGGAGAGGGCGGAAGTTACATACGCACAAATGCACAGGGAAGATAACTGCCGACGTCCACGACGTAGCACTCCGCACATAGGAAACGCGGGTAGGATGGCGGTAGGGAGAGAGAGAGCAGGCCACTCTATCGTAATGGGCTTTCCAACAACGCACCACAAAACGCACCACGAAGTGATATGGAGAAACCCTGCCGTGAACGAGCTTTTCAGACCTAAGCGTCCTCATCCAGCAATACCACAGCTCTCCCCGTCTGTCTTTCCTTGGGGCGGATGCTGCGCCGCCCGACAAGAGGGCAGAACAACCGCGTCACAAGCACATCGATACGCATGTGTGCGTTCCAAATCCAGATCTCCAGAACCATATCGTATGCCTCCTGTGATGCGCTCGAGATCGGACTCCAAACAGGCCCTCCAGGCCCCTTGTTCCAAATTCCCTTTCCTCCTCCTCCACGCCTCCCTGTCCCCTTCCCCCCCTTGGCAGCAGCTTCATTCGCTAGTGGTTCGTCTCTTCCCCTCCCCCCCCACCTCCCACCTGCAGCAGCGCCAGGAAGCCCCCGGAAGGCTGTTGTTGCGGAGCCCCCGACCCAAAGGAGCCACCACCGCCAGCACCACCTGCCGCCACTACGTCATTTCCGGCGTCCTCCAGCAATCTCGGCGGGTGGGCGGCGGCCAGTGCGAGAATGGCCCTTTGGGGGGACGGCAGGGGGCAGGGGGCACATGCACCGTAATCACTGTGCGAAACTGGGCAGGGAGGGAAGGAAAGGGGAAGGAGAGGGAAGAGGGGCAAAAAATAGCCCACACCGGGGATGCGTACGTGTGCGTGTGCGTATGTGCACGCGCGCGCGAGAGAGAGTGTGTGTGTGTGTGTCCACCACGAAAAAGTCCCGACGTAGACAGACAGCGGTTACTGGAGTTCGGGTTCGTTCCACCACACTAGCTGACCAAGCAAAGGGGCAACACGACCGCGTATCAATCCGCCAAACCTCATCCTTCACCTCCCTCACCTCACTAGCACCCGGGTTAGCAGCAATTGGCGTTGCGGCCCAACAAAGGAATATTAACCCCAACTACAGCACTGCACGGTGATGATGATGGTGGTGGTAGTGACAATGATGATGAATGCAACCGAAGCTTCAACGGCACCCCTACTTTCCCCCACTTCCAAGAAATCAAGACGCGGAAACACCCCCCCACCTTTACACCAATGCACACACACACACGCGCAACCCCCCCTTAGGCCTGGAACCTGCCCCGCACCTCGTCCTCATCACAGCACGCCTTACAATCCTCCCCACTACCCGCTCTTTCACCTAAAGCGTGCCCCTCCCCGGCCCCCTTCCTTCCCCACCCCGCCCTGGCCCCCTCCCCCCCGACTGGCCCCGCCGCTGTGCTGGTCCCCCGACTGTGCCTCACTTGCAGCCCTCCCACAGCGGCATCTCGTCTCCCGCCACCGCCGCCGCCACCACCTGGCGCGGAGAGGCCACCCAGGCCACCACGCAGCGCAGCACCGCCCGCAGGTAACCGCCCCGCACACCCCCCCCGGGACCCATCAGCACCTCTGCACCTGCAGCAAATACACCAACACGCATACATACATACATACATACATACATACATACATACATCCGAGTATCGGCAGACAAGGGCAAGGTAAGGTTACCGGATCGAGAGATAAAGCGAGAGGGAGATCTATCGCATGAACAATATGGGAATATCTTCATTGATGAGTCTACAGCACACGGTGGCGTTGTCCCGGATACATGACTGCTCCCGTGACGGTCAGAGGGAGTCACAAAACAGGAACAACACGGGCAACAGAAACGAGACCCAAATTGCACGCACTCCTATCGCCTGCTGTTGTTCGGTTCTTCGGGGGTTGACCACCTCATCCTCCGCAGGAAGTCAGGAGGTTGAACGTAAGACATCCACTAGGGGGGCTATCGGCTTGGTAAGAAAGGTAGTGCTAGGTATACGTGGCCCAGGTAAGCGCAGGAGCCCCCCCAGGTAGAGCCGCTACCGCGCCGCCGTTGCAAGTGGTTGGGTCCTCCGTCATGTCCCCGGGGCAGCGGGTCACTCACCTTCTCGAGGGAACACGTCCGAGGACAGGTTGCTGAGCGCCACCACCACACCGCGAGCCCGCGATAGGAGGTCCCGCGCCGCCGCTGGTGCTCCCTGCGCCGCCGCCGCCGCCGTCAGCTGCCCTAGCAGTGCCGCCACCCAATCCAGAGTGTCAGGAGACAGCAGCAGGGAAGCCCAGTCGGCGCCGGCGGAGGGACCGGAGGAACCCGGTGCTGCCGCCGCCGCCGCCGCGGC